AATTTATCGTACAACAGATTATCGATCGCAGTGTCGCTTTTGCTTTAAGCAAAACCCTACATTACATGATTAATTTTGAGAGAGCAATGGAGATAGTTCAGGAAATGAAATAAAGTTCCATACACAATTTGGAGCTAGGAAATCCGAAGAGGTCGAAAAAGTATTTTTTGCAAAGCATAAAGAAAGGCCCCTAATATAAGTCAGCAAGTCGAAATAAGGTTTAACTGAATTCTGCAATCTTCTATAGTTCCTTGTTTGTCGACACACCATTGAGTCCAAAATCGTCAATCAAGAATTTTTCACATTACTCTAATGCTGTATTGACCATTCGTTTTCGATCCGCATCAATATGTTCTAGTTCTTTGCGGCACACGAGTTGGGTAACGCAGCAAAAAGTTATGAATACATATGAAGCCACCTGTTTGAGTTCACTTTACCATAAATTCCTTACAAAACCATTTCAAGGGTTCCTCAATGGTTTTCTGTAATGAAAGTGAGCACTTGCAATGGATTGAGAATATTAATGAATATGAATATGAGATGACGATAGAATAAAAAGTTCATCCTGATTATAGCGTGAAAAAGTTCATCGTCGCTTTCATAAAGAAGAGTTGTTTTTTATGAACGTTTACAGCTTACATCATCATCAACTCTCTCAGGTGTTTATAACTGGCAAGAAATAAATTTTTTTCAACCTTTTTATCTTCGCTCTTTTTTGTCCATCATCTAATCAAGTTGCCTCGCCGCAATGTTTACCAAAGGAATATCAAATTTCACCAGAATCGAGCACACGATGGGGAAGATGTGTGATGTACATTTTTGACTTGATGATCTATTCGTTTTTATGTTTAACTAATTTAAATGAACAACACAACAGACACAAGATTAGAAGAAGAAAAATCACAAATGAGAAATTGGATTCCAATTTATTTGCTAATCATAAATATATCAAAGTGATAATCTCAAACTACTAGCAGTTATCTTTACAAACGAAACGCGAAAGAGCTTATAAAGTATCTCACGGTCAGCATGTGCGTGGCTTATGCAGATAAATTGATAAAGAACAAGAATTTTTTTAAAAATATTTTTGGATATACGGAGGCGCATTTTTTTGATGTTTTAGATTTTGATCGCTAATTAATTTGTTATTCAAAGACTCTAAATGTTCTATTTTGATTTTATTTTACGCTAAGATTTTCGTTATCAATTTTAACTGTTCCTTTGGGAGAAATATCGGATTCAATTAGTGTCGTCGACTTATAAAAATATTCGTCCAACAATAGTAATAATTTTTTACGATTATTTCCCTATACGGGCTAATTATGAAATGAGAATCATTTCTAGATCTGTTTCATTGAAAATTTATTCAGCATTGAAAGTTTCTTTGAATTTCTTCAAGGGGATCACAACATGATGGGGAAAAAAATTAATCGGAATTCAGTGAGAATTATTCATCAAGGGGAAAACAACATAAGAGGAAAAAAATGATCAGAAATAATTGAAAAATTAAGTAACAAATCCCATTGTGGTGATAAACTTCCTTTCAAAGTTTTTTAACATCATGTTGTTTTCCCCTTAAATTTCTTTCTTTAAAAATGCTGTGGATTTTAAATCGTAACACTTATCTAGATATTTAGTAAGAGTTATGACTGAAAGTTTGGCTTTAATGAAGATATTTTATGTTTCCGATCCTTATTTATAGCGATATAATGAGATATAGTCACAACATTATTATAATCTTGTTAATCGCTTTTCATTTTTATTTTAAAAACTTTCTCTCAATTTGGTTTTTTAATATTTTAGAGGATTTCATTTGGTGGACCAACATTTGTGAATTTGCAATGATTTTTGAGCTAAGAATTTTGAGTTCTTTTATTTCTTAAATATACACTTATTGTCAATGCATTTTTAATGACTCTTCTCATAATGTGACACAAGTTTCCTCATTTTAATCATCAAAATTAATGCCAATAATAAATTTCTGAACCACTATTAGTATCTTGCATCTTTATTAAGGCTATACATATAATTTTAGATCTTTATGTCCACACATTTTGATTGCTTGGGAGATAACAAGGTTCTGCACACGTTAGGCATCTAAAGACTGTAAAATTTAAACGAGTTTTAAATTAAATTGAATATTGATATACATCAGATTTATGCTTAAAATTCATTAAACAATTTCTGATTTTTCACTCTTTTGACATTTCTGTTATCCATCTTCATATCTTTAGATCTTTTTGAAAGTTAACCAGCAACACGTAGTCTCTGTTGAACGAATTAACTTTCAAAAAATTTTGTTCCTTACGATACACAACTTATTCAACTATAATTATGTAATAACAATAATCATATTTTATGCCTTGCTTCCCATAAAATTCCAATATCTTTCTTAATATTTCTACGAATGATCCAATTGATCTCATTCATACAAATCAAACGTAAAAATCCCATTCAAGTTCTAGTTCACCAACCATCAAATCCATTAACGTCTTCCAAGTTGACAAATATCTATTCCGGTGATCGAGATATATATCCATAAGATATAAAAGATATGATATAAAATAAACGATGCGTGTTTATATTGAGATAAAAATGGCGACAATAAAGCCTCTACCTAATTATTGATTTTGCAATAAATGAAAAGATATTTCATGTAGAGATGAGCAAGTCAAAAGAATCATTACGATTATATCCCATCAATGTTATTATTTTGGATGCCAACTGATTTTATGACTCATGTTTCCTCTCGTCTTATCTCCATTCACATACAATTTTATCTTCCTTTTCTTATCGTGAGATTTTATTTCCATTATATTATTTTGGACCCGGACTGAACAAGAGCTATGGAAAATATGTTTTAGATTTTAACAGAACATATGCAATTCTCACTTTCCTGTGAGAAACCTGACTTTAAGTTACTTTGGAGTTCTGTGACTAATAAGGCTCTGGTTTTATGGTTACCGTTGGCCAAGTGAGCCTAAAGCGAAACAGACTTACCAATAACGACTTTAGCTGACTTCAGCTTATGAAAATAGCTATGGATAGTGGCAGCATTGGACTTAGAATTGTTGATAGTGATAAAGCTAGATTCAAGCGCTACACAAGAGTTGCGACTGTAGAAATCAAAGGCATTAACAACCATAAACTCACATAAACCAAACTCATATGTCCCTCGGGTTTATCATCCCATCGTATACTTTGTCCACAGCAAGATAAACATTAAATTGTTAGATATTGAGGCTAGAATATAAGGCAAAGCCAACAAGACAATTTGCATAATTAGAGGATCAACAAAAAGTCATTTACATTTCGATTCTGTAAGTCGAGTTTTTTTTTCTTTTCGCCGTTTTGCTCCGCACGGTCGCTTACTGTCATCAACAAGTGGAATATTTTTTTTGGCATTCTTATAAATGGCATGGCGCTTTGATTCTTTTATTCTCCCTTATGTGTGCAACATTGACGGTGCCATTTTTATGATGTTTATTTTTTATGATTCCGTTTCCATTTCTGCTTGACGCCATAACACAACAGTAGAACTGAAATGAGATTGTTAATGATTGTGTAAACAAAATCATTTTTGTGATACCAAACAAAAAAGTTGTGTCTGTGCTTTTGTCATTTAGTGTCTTTTTGATAATGCCACAGGCAGAAATAGAAAGAAAAGTTTTAGAATAATGTGTTACTTTTCTTACGCCATTAAAGAATTTGTAAAGTACAGAAGGAACATTTCTGGTTGTAATGACCTCTCGGCGGAAATTCTTGTGAACTCAATCAAATTGTCTCGTACTTAGACTTGACAATGAGACTTCTCTTCCATGCCACATTCGAATGATGGAAAAACTTTTTTTCTCACTTTTTATTTGACCGAGATTTCTCTATCGATTGTTCCTCCTTTAGAGCATTCTCTTCCTACCTTCAATTCACATTTTTCTCGTCTTTTGAATCGAAAAAGTTTATTTTTTTGCTTTATTTCTAACTTTTTTCTTGATTCCCAACAAGAAAGTTTCTCTTGCTTCATAAAAGAGTTTCTTATTTTCATTGTTTTGTTAGGGGTTGAAAACTTTGAATTGAAAATTCTTTAAAAATTCAATTTTGAGTTTATAATGTGACATTTTAAATCAAGTCATACGAATAACATTTTAACAGATGTTATTGAATTTTTTTGATATGAAATATTTGATTGGTTTTTGATTTTGAATTATTGAAATGTTTAGTACGTTTTTTGGAAACTGGAATCGTGCTTTTTAAAGCAACAAATATTTCTAAAAATTTCTAAAATTGAGAAAAAAATGTGAAAATATCAAATAAAAGTGTGACATCAGAGAAATGCCATCACAACTCATTTAAAAATCTCAAAACGCGAAAATATATTTAAGCATCCATAGTCAATGAGATTAAGGATATTAAGCAAGCCTCCTAATTGAGTAAATCTGATTAGACAATAAATCATTGAAATAACGTTTTCTTCCGATCTGCTTCATAAAATGATGATTAATTTCTTGACTTACCATTAATTTATACTGAAGTAGAGGCGTGGCCAGAGAAGATCTATGCCCAATCTTATAGGAAAATTTGTTCAATATACTAAGAGTTTTTATTTCATACTTTCCACCGTCCTTTCTTAAATATTTTCATTTTTAAAAATAAAATTTTAATCACCTTCCTCGAAAAATTCAGGTTCCTATCCTGCATTAATAGCACTAATTAGTTTGCAATAGTTAAACTTTAACTGCTAATTTTTAACCCCTTAAATCAGTGTTGTCCAAATTTTTTGAGCCACAGCACGTGTTATTTTCCAAATAAAAATTCTACTGCACACAGTGTGGATGACACTGCTTTAGATAATTAAAACTCGTCCATAAAAATATATTTTCCATCAAAGAATCGCTAGTGAAGAAAAACAGGATTTGATCTGTAAAATCAACTGCAGATTCTTGTTAAAGTTGCCAATCCTTACAATCAAACAACCACTACTTAAAAAAGTAGAAATAAAAAGCATGAGCAAATGTATAGAGGAAAATAGTACATGTAAGCTCATAACAACAACAACAATGTCACGAGAAGAAAGTAAAGCAAGGAAATCCATTTAAAACCTGGAAAAAAAAGAGATTAAAGAGATTCATTTAAGGCAATAAGTTCAAAGTCATTTACTTTTATATATTTTTTTAATACTTATGATTTTTTTTTTTATTTCACTTTTCATCATCATTTTATTCTTCATTTTTTATAGAAATAACATGGACATATAATTTTTCATTTTTCTTCACTTTTATACTCTCATGATATGTATATATAATTATAATGTCTCTATATATTTTGATATCATCATTATTTTTTTCTTTCTCATTCTTCATTAGTGTTTGTGTGTATATAATAATTATTTTTGTGTGTATGTGTAATTTTCATTTCACATCTTAGTCATAATAAGTTTTTTTTATCTCACTTCTTGTGAAATTTTAGCGTATATATTTTCTAACGAACAGAAAACATTTTTTGTTGCATGATATGTTTGATACTGATATGTATAATTTTTTTTTATCATTCTCATTCTGCATAGTAAAATAGAATTTTTAATATAATTTCATATTCAGCTTATCATTAGATTTATTATTAGTATTATTTCATATAAACTAGATATGTATGGTAGGTCTTTCATATTCATCATATTTAAATATAATCCTAGAAATTATAATAATAATAATTTTTCTTATTATTTTATTATTATTTTTTTGTTCACTAGACAGTTTTCCATATGTTATCATATCTCTTGAGGAAATTATACATTTAATGATAAACTTTTTTTTGTATGATTTTTTCACATTTTTTTTCTACGATAAATTTTCTACTACAACGAATAGAAATGAAGAGATGTTGGGATTTGGGGTGGGTGGAAATTGGGTTTTTTGAAACATTTTTTAACTTAAATTTAAATCAATTTTAATCAAAAATAAAAATAAATTTTGAAAAAATTTCAGTTTTCAAGAATGAAAATTTTAAAAGCAAACACTTAAAAAACAAAGATTTTTATTTTTATAAAAACAAGTTTTGAAATTTTTTTTTTGTTTTCAAAAAACATTCAATTCTAAAAAAGAATTTAACTTTATTTCTGAAACTTTTAACTTCAATTCATTTAAAATTGTCGTCAAAAAATTCGACTCAAACTTTCAAAACTTCACCCACCTAAATAAATTTTATTATTATTTTTTAATGCCTTGTCAGAAATATAAAAATTCATATTTATCATAAACATTAAAAAATTCTCATATATGCATTAAAATATATAATTTTTCTCTCTCATATAACAAGAAAAATTGACATAAAATTCTTTATAAAAACATGATGATAATAATTTTTAACTTCTTCCTCTCATTTCCAATGCCAACACTTTTTTTCCTCTTAATTTTTATATTAAAAAATTTTTTTCTCTAAAATCTCATTAAACTCGATGAAATCCTCCAAAAAAACATTTGCAGCATAAGCTTTTTTTTCGTGTATTCTTTAAAAACCATTTCCATTTTCTTTTATGAAAATTGCTCGTTTTTACGTGAAAAGTGCTGCAATTTGAATTTCTTTTGCTTGCGTCTTTTCTTCATTCTTTTATGTCTACTTCCGTATTTCTATCCGTGCAAGTGAATGCTATGATGAAAGAATTAATTTCAACAAGCTTAAACCCGGCTGGTGCAACTTTTTAAAAAGAAATTTTAAATTTTCAAAAAATCATTAATTTGAATTTTTTTTGAATTTTAAATTCTTTTGAAAATTCTTTCAAGGCAGCAATGTCATGTATAGTCCGGGGAAATTCCTCCACATCATCAATAGATATTTCCTCCTTCATAAGATGAGAAAGCAGGAAGAAAATCATTTCCATTTAATTAAAATCTCGTTAGGAATTAACATTTTTTGCCACATTTTGAATTAAAATTCTTTGAGAGTCAAATAAAATTATTTGGAAGTGGAATTCCTTTGAAATTAAAAGAAGCTTTTGCGATATTTTTTTTTCAATTTTGCACGAAAAAACTTTATCTTTGCTGAATTTCTTTACGTAATAAATTTTGTATAAATTGGAGCAAAATTTGTGTAAATTGAAAAAACATTCCGCATAAATTTTGAATTAAATTGCAACAGTAAAAAAGCTAAATTAGAACAAATTTTAAATGAGCAGGTTCAGATATTTAATACTTTCAGCATTTAAAAGACGTGATATTTGTTAAAGTGGCTTTCAATTATCTTTTGAAAACCATGCCTGTTGAATTGATTTGATTCTTGTTGCAACCTTAGTAAAGATTGAGTTTTCCATAGCATGAAGCATTTATCAAAGCACTTTTACGTGCATTTCTGACATACATTACTCAAAACCACTCCACAATAGAAAATATATAAGTTTAATATCCACAAATCTTACAAAAGCACCAAAGATTTGTATAGAAAAAAATTTGCTTTCAATAAGTCAGCAAAGCTTTAGAAAAACTTCTTAAAAGCTTTTTTTTAAAAATCCTTTTAAAGAGAATTTTGAATCCCAAAAAAAGATTTCTCAATTTAATATCAAATGTTGAATAAGATTCTTTCATAAAGGTTTAAAGTTGAAGCTTCTAAAAGTGGGAAAAAATTTTCATATTTTTTTACACAAAGAAGTCAAAAAAAAGTCTTTAAGTTTTTTTATAAACGACTTCTTTTGATGCTTCACTAACCAGAAGCACTGCGAAAGAATTTACTCTACACAATTCTTTCATCCTACGCACATCAAGATGGTAAAACATTCTCGTTAATGCATTTTGCTTACCAGTGGAACCAATTTAGGTAAACTAAGCGCATTAAGAAATTTTCGACAAGCATCAAAGTTGTCAGCAATCTTTTTTAACGTAAAAAGGAGCAATAATTTGGCCTCAACGTCAACAATCCAACAGAAAAATATATTTATTCATATTAATATTATTATTAATTGGTTTTTAAGTATGTATACATATTATACCTATAGTATCTATAAACTTCTCATCTCGTATGCTCACAGAAATAAAATAAAGGTGACTCATCGTTGTATCATTCATATATGAACAGAAGATATATGAAATTAAGCGAAAAAAATGCACATAAATATTCATTAGTACCATAATTATCGTTATTAGTGTCTCTATATAATATATGTGGGAATGTGTATTTGTATAAAAAATATATGTACGTCTTTAATCGCTTGATTCAACAGTATGTAAGTTGATATAATATTTTATAAGGAAATAAGCAAACGGAAAAAATCTTTCTACACAATTTTTTTATGTATTTATTTATGTAATTTCTACAATATACATCAAAATATTTTCATCATGCTTTATTCATTGGTAATTGAAATTGACATCGGTTTATTCATTCTTGCTGCTATGAATATTTTTTCATTTTTCTACTTTATGTAGATAATATATGTTGATGATAATAATAATAATAATATTAATTTGGTATATTATGAATGAATTTTACTTCAAGTGGGATTATGCTAATTTTTTTTTATTTTATATCCATCGAAATGTTTATTGACCGTCGCATGAGTCACAGTGCTGTATTTTATCGTATTTAACCTTTTTGCTCAAATATTTTTTGTTTTTTTTTGTTTTTTTTTTATTTTTTTGCTATTAAAAATCATATTAAAAATTAATGTTGAACATAAAATTCTAACATCAATACAGATACATGAATATTGAGCAATATTTTTATAATTTCTGGTGATTTTTTTTTGCAAAAAGAGATTTTTTGTTTCAAAAAGATCTTAATTCGAACTCCAATTTTTTTAAGATTAATAATTTATCAATCAATCATATCTCCTTTTCGCTAATTTCGGTACAACTAAAGTCAAAGTTTATCTGAGCTTATAGTTAAAAAATTTAAAATATTTGCCAAGTTAGATAACCTTTAAAGATTTATTTGAGTTCAAAGTAGTAAATTAAAAATCGAATAGAATTTGATTATTCCTATCCCTAAATCAAACCAAAAAAATCTCAAGAAATTCTCTTTTTGGCATAAAAAAATCACCAACTTAATTTATTAAGAACAAAAAATTAAAAAATCAACAACACAAATTTCCCTACAAATCTCTTCATTTTAATTGATTAATTTTCATCATCTAAATTATTTATTATTTATTCTCCCATCAAATTCTTCATTGAGAAGCATGTAAGCGTAGAAACAATCCGTTATCTATTATATTATGCTTTCATATTAGCACTTAATTTAATCAATTAGTACTTCACTCAATGGAATATTTTTTTTTCATCTAAATCTCTTTTGCAAATTGTCAAAACAGCTATGATTTGTTTTTCTTTTTTCATGCTTATATTGATAGATTATTAATCACTTAAATTAATGCATGTCATTGCCCCAATCAATTTACTATTTTATTTCTTTTTGCTGTTACTCAATAATCATAATAAATATTTTGTAGCAATTTAATTTCAATATAAATGTTTATCATTATTATCAACCATCAAAATTCATACCGAAAAATTATTTAATTGATTATTTATAATGGAACTACAATCGTAATCTCTAGCATTTTCAATTATTATCCTATATCATTTCATTTCGCTGCGATTGCTGTGTATTTTATTCGTGTCATTTTTCCTAGCACATTAATGCATAAAAAAACAATATGCGACATACTTTATATCAAACAACTTACAAATAAACTTTTGCGAGTTTCTTGTTGATTTACAATCTTGACCTACATGACATAAAACTTCTTTAACTTTTCATTTAGCGTATCTTCCATAATTTATGATTATCTATGTGATTTCTATATAATTTGCATTTTTATCTTCTTTCACATCGTCTTATCGACGAATATCTTTTATTTAAATGCACGCTCAAATAGAAATAAGACGTATCCAACTTTACTTTTTGAATTATTTTTAAGACATTTTCACCACTTTTTCTTTATGTAAAAAATTTCATCAATCTACCTCAATATCAATGTATATAATGGTAATAATGTATATAAGTGTATTATTGTGATTTATCTAAATAGTTTCATCTAAAAAATCATCAACTATAGTTAGTAAAGCTCATGGTAGGGTAAATTTTTTATAACTTTTTTTTATTCATTTCTACTTAGATAAGAGTATGAAATAGACATTTTGTATTGTATTTCGCAGTTTATTTTTAAAGTTTTTAATTTTATTCTTTCCTCGAGCAAGTCTTATGAGATTCAAGTTTCAATTTTGAGAATTTTTCGTTAATAATAACTTAAAATCAAATTCAAAATCAAATTCAAAATCAAATTCAAAATCAAATTCAAAATCAAATTCAAAATCAAATTCAAAATCAAATTCAAAATCAAATTCAAAATCAAATTCAAAATCAAATTCAAAATCAAATTCAAAATCAAATTCAAAATCAAATTCAAAATCAAATTCAAAATCAAATTCAAAATCAAATTCAAAATCAAATTCAAAATCAAATTCAAAATCAAATTCAAAATCAAATTCAAAATCAAATTCAAAATCAAATTCAAAATCAAATTCAAAATCAAATTCAAAATCAAATTCAAAATCAAATTCAAAATCAAATTCAAAATCAAATTCAAAATCAAATTCAAAATCAAATTCAAAATCAAATTCAAAATCAAATTCAAAATCAAATTCAAAATCAAATTCAAAATCAAATTCAAAATCAAATTCAAAATCAAATTCAAAATCAAATTCAAAATCAAATTCAAAATCAAATTCAAAATCAAATTCAAAATCAAATTCAAAATCAAATTCAAAATCAAATTCAAAATCAAATTCAAAATCAAATTCAAAATCAAATTCAAAATCAAATTCAAAATCAAATTCAAAATCAAATTCAAAATCAAATTCAAAATCAAATTCAAAATCAAATTCAAAATCAAATTCAAAATCAAATTCAAAATCAAATTCAAAATCAAATTCAAAATCAAATTCAAAATCAAATTCAAAATCAAATTCAAAATCAAATTCAAAATCAAATTCAAAATCAAATTCAAAATCAAATTCAAAATCAAATTCAAAATCAAATTCAAAATCAAATTCAAAATCAAATTCAAAATCAAATTCAAAATCAAATTCAAAATCAAATTCAAAATCAAATTCAAAATCAAATTCAAAATCAAATTCAAAATCAAATTCAAAATCAAATTCAAAATCAAATTCAAAATCAAATTCAAAATCAAATTCAAAATCAAATTCAAAATCAAATTCAAAATCAAATTCAAAATCAAATTCAAAATCAAATTCAAAATCAAATTCAAAATCAAATTCAAAATCAAATTCAAAATCAAATTCAAAATCAAATTCAAAATCAAATTCAAAATCAAAATCAAATTCAAAATCAAATTCAAAATCAAATTCAAAATCAAATTCAAAATCTAAATTTACTTTCTCATATTTTATAAAACAACTAGTTCTGATTTCAACATAAATCATCAATTCAATGTTTACAAGAAAACATAAAAGCAAGAAAAAGTAGATTCAATAATAAATTGTAGTAATGTGTCTATTTAGGCATGTGACTGAAAAGAAAAACAAGATGACAATCGAAATATGCTTCATATGGCAGAAACAAAGACTTATTAAATTAATTTCTGATATGCCATTTTTATCTTACTATGCGAATATTGACATAAATAAATATATTTTTAGTCTCTTACCATCATGTGTCTATGTCATCAACTTACGTTATTCGCTTGAGAGCACATTTCGCTTAAAGCAAATGAAACTAAAAAAAATGTGAGATTAGAAATAAAATACACGAAAAAGAAATTGACTTTCTCTTCTTCTCTACTGGCATTGTATTTGCTTAATACTCTTCAATCATAATGTTCTGTCAGAAGTAAGAAAAATAAAGGATGGGAGAGAAAATTCCATAACTCATTCCATTATCTTATTGTGGCTAAGCATACAAATAATAAAGCATGTTAGGACGGATATGCTACTTGCTTTGTTTACTTCATTTAATAATAATAATAATTTTCATGTTTACATTGCCTTTCATTTTTATCCTGTTTCATGTTCTTATGTTGTATGCTTAGCTTCGCCAATGTCCAATTTCCTTATTTCTTTGCATTATAGTCACGAAATGTTTGTGTGTGTCTGCAAATTCTATTTACTTTCCATTGAAAGGTCTATTTTGCTATGGTTGTGGTAATTTTTTGGACTTTGCTTATAATTTTCTTTTATTTTTTAAGAAAATCTGGAACTGATTGAATCTTAATATTTTGCTGATTTACAACTGGATTACCGGAAATTGTTTTGGAAGTGTAGATCTCGCTTTAACTGCTGCATATATGATGCATATATGATAATGTAAAACAAGTCAGGTTCGATGGGAATCGAACCCACTACCTCAAAAGAGTCGATCTCTGACCACTCGATGAGTGCTACCGAGGGACTTATCTCACTTCGGGTATCCGTCGTACACATACAGCATATTTCACATGATATTAGTCTCAAATTAAGTGTGAGCAATTCTAGAAATCGGTAGAAGATAGCAAGTTATTAAGTTAACTTTCAGTTGCAATTTAAGCAAAAATTCAACTAGGAAAAATCACTGCTACAAAATATAACTTGCAGTAATTCTAAATTAAAGAATGACAACCCAAAAAGATGAACTTTCCATCGTGTGAATTAATTGCATTAATTCATTAAAATTGACATCACTTGAATGAGTAAAAACTTAATTGATTTTGCTATCAATTTTAATTATCTTTTAGCAAAATTTTGAATGTTTTTCAAAAATAATTTTAATTTAATTTTTTATTCAAAAATGTTTATCGCTTTCCTCCTTCCACATCTCTAATATTTTCTCTCTCATCTTCTATATCCTCTTCAATTATCGATGATAGCATGTCATTTTGACAAAAACAATCATCTCCTCTTCATACACAACAATATTATGCTCTTCATTCAATAAATTTTTTGTAGGTTTAGTAGGCGGTTTAATTTCATTCCCATGGCTAAATGATATAGATTATCATTCTTTTGTTTTATGCAATAATTCGATATCGTTTATACTCACATCGTTGAGAAAAAAATGTGAATTTATATTGAACATCTCATGTAATTTATTTATATCTTTCTAAGTAGATAATGCAGTATATGTGATAGAAATTCTCGTTATTTTATTATTATTCTTTAGTATGTTGTGTATAAATTGATATGTCCTAGATAATCCTCAATTTCTTCCTCATAGTATAGACTTGTTTTTTATAATTATCATCATATAATAGTGATATGTATACGACTTTAGTGTGTATTGTTTTTGGCCCGAGGTTTTTTAGAAGCTGATTACTGCTCTGTGGTGTCATGCTGTCACACGATATGTAGATCGTCATTTTGTGGTTGTCTGATACGTTCAATTCATGTTCGACAGACTTATCGAAAGTCTAGGGGTGTTATAATATGCACGTTCGAAAAATTTAAATTTCAAAAACCGTTACAATTTTTGGTCATTTTATTAAAGTTTTTGACAGTTTTGAAAACAGATTTAGCTTTATTATGCTTATTATCAAATGATAACATAATATTTTCATCTTAATTTCATGAAAAAATTGCTTAATTTATGTTTTTACTTTTTCCTAATTTTCGAAAATTTCGAACTGCAGGGTATGAAACTTCGAATTTTGCATAGCAGACAGACAAATAAGACATTTTTGAAAGTGTTCTTGGAAACTGTAACGGTCTAAACTCTTGAATTGTTCGTATCAGGTGGTTGTAATTTATCCGCTATTGAGATTGTTTTGTCAGATTTGGAGGCTGCTTGTTCGTTTAATTAAATACATGACACTGAGGTCAATAGTTTATGGTTAAGGATGAGGAAACCTTCGTTAAGAAGTCTATATATATATCTTTCCTAATTTATAAAGATTCTGAATTATTTTTATTTGAACATAAGCTTTAAAGTACCTGCAGCTAGATATTGCCTACATTTTAAACTTATATCCCTTAATTGAAGCACTATCCATAAATCTGACAAAATATCCCCAACAACTTCCGTATTGTAGCTTGTTGTGGTCATGAACACCAGAAAGCATACAGCACACCGCATTTTTCAAAACAAATTGAACAAGTATAGGCTTTGGACAGATGCCAAACAAGCGTTTTATTTTTTTATCCATATTTATTCCAATTTTTTTTTCTACTTCATCCTTAACACTTTTTTGTAATTTTTATTTTTTGAATTTTAATTTTTTTTTTTAATTTTTTGATATAAAAACACTCAACTTTTACTTGTCACGATAGTAGTAATAATAGTTACACGAATACATTTTTTGTGATTTTCTTCTTTTTTTGTTTCTTGTGTTCATACAGATACAGGCACTAATCTAATATATACTTTTTATTTATCTCATGCATTACAAAAATGTGATGATTATTAGTTTATTAAAAGTTGTTAAATCTTGTTTTGGAAGAACTTAAAAAGGATCAAAAAATAATTTTTTATGATTTTATTTTTCCTTTTACATTTCAATTAAAATATAAATAAACATTAATATGTAGCATTCAAGAGCGCCAGGCTCGTGCATTATCATCATCATGATTATTTTCTTTCATTGCTTTATTTCACTTATTTTTAAAATCTACGATAAACACATCAAAATAGCGTTAAATAATAGGACAGAATATATATTTTACAGGATAGGAGAAAATTAAATGGAGTGGGGAGAGGTGATGGGTGTCTATCGATGTTTTGATACTACAAATCAGATTTTTGAAAATAACAATGTTTTGCTATATAAACTTAATATTCAAAAATTGATGTATGTTCTGCAGTGACCTATAACTTTGATATACACAGCTGTCTATTGAGATTTATCTTGCTTAAAAGCTGTAGATTACAGACTAGATTTTTTTTTATTTCAATTGTTTTATTATGTTTAACTTGTTTCAAGAGTTCAGAAATGATCAAAATAATTTAAAATAATCAGAAATGCCAGTTGATCAGATTCAGATTCGCAATTTTTCATCTGGATTTAAAAATTATTATTTTAAAAAAACCAGAGCTCGAAGTCGACTCAAGAAAGAACTTCAAAAATTTAAAAAATAAAAACAAGTTTATTTTCAAAATTTAAAGCAACGATAAACACCAAAAACATACTTCCAACTCCAAGATAGAACAGAAAGTAGTCATGAATTTTACTTCATTGTTTCCTTAAAAATCGCTATTATATTTAATATATATGCGTCTCCAAAATTCCTATAAAAAGGGACCTTTTATATAAATACTTAACATCCACATTGAATTTATTTTTCATCATATACTTATTTTTATATTTATTAGGGATGCCTCCAATTTCTTTCATTTATTTTCATAGAAAAATATCAATTTTAAATTTCATTTAATTTTCTTCTTCATCTTCTTAAATTCTTTATTAAGCGTGCATTTTTATAATTTTTTCATACAATTTTCATTTCATTTCATTTTTTTTGGTATGTATATAAATGCCTAAGGGTAATTTTTTTCTCATTTAACATGATATGTATTTTTAGAGATATGTGTATGTCCATCGATCAGTAAAAAAATCAAATTTTTTTTATCCTTAATTGTTTTTAACTTTTTCTCTTCATTTCTCAATTCTTAATTTTTTTTATTGTTTATCGCATTAAATATTTTTTTAAATATTACCTAAAAAAGCATGTCATAAGAATTCATTAGTTTTTTTTTTACTTGTCATCTAATACATAGAGGTATTTTTAGTTTATTTTTTATTCTTTTTTTTCTTACTTTTTTTTTTGTTGCGTTGGCTTTTTCTATTCGAAAAAACATATCGTGTTTGTGTATTTTTGTGAACTGTAGATCTACATTGTGGTATAAAATGCAAATTTAAATAATAGAAAAACTTTTATTTTATTTTTGCTGGATGTGCAATATTTTTTCTTCTTCATCATATAGAATTTTCATTTTTTATTTTGGTTTAGTTCTCTAGAAAAGTTTTTCATTTCATTTATTCATATACTTTTGGTATCAAAAAAGTTTCACTAAAAAATTCTATCAGTTGTTCATTTTAATATTCAAGAAAAATTTAGATTTGTTGAGTTTATTTGTTGGATTTGATTGACAGAATTTGATGGTTGATTTTTGAGATGAAAGTTGTTGCAAGTTGCTAAATAGCAAATTTCCAAAATATACAAGCTTCAAAATAGCGTTTGTTTTCTTCTATTCATCTCTGCTTCATTCTCAAAAATCCACCACAATGTCCTCAATTTAATCACCAATAACAAGAGAAAAATCATCAATTTCATAAGTGAATTCGAAAGTTTTTTTTTTGTAAGTTTTTCCATTTTAAAAAGATTAGTGAAAAAGGCCATTGTGTAAATTTCAAAAAGTTTCACATTTTCTTAAGAAAAAAAAATTCATTATTCTTTCTCATTTTTGTCAAAATACGCATGAAAAAATCTTTTATTGATCAAAACAATTTTGCAACAAGTTTTATTTATTTCATTTATTATTAAAATTGAATAAGAAAAAATTTTCAAATTTATTTTTCATCCTTAATCATGAAGGATATAAAATTGATTGTGATTTTATTGAAAAATCGTTTATCGTCTGAACAAGATTCAAAAAAAGGCTTTGCATTTCGTCTGAGTAGATGTAGATGTTGATGGATGAATGGATATTTTAAAGGTTAAATAGATCAAAGATGTAAGAATGTTAAAAACCTTTTGATTTATAATAAAGATTTTCAATAGCTTGAAATGGAATTTTTGGTAATTCTTTCTTTAAATTCTATTGAACAAAAGATTATACTTTAGATTGCTAAATTGTCCAATATTTAACCATATAATTGTGTATGACTTTTAAGCTACTTGGCGCAGAACCGTGATGAAAGAATGTCAGCTTAATTTGCGGACAATCTTTTGTTCTAACCCAAGCTTCACATAAGAACATGGTTACATTAAGTAAGAGGGTTGTGAACGATTAAAATCACTTTAAGAGAATCAAAGGATCGACTGAAATGGAGCTGATTACCGATCAATTAACATTTAATCAAGAAAAGCCTTAACTGGAGCCTATCTTTTTGAGTGATAAAGTTCATTGGTCGCAAATAATTAAAAAATTAAGTTTTATGTCAACGTGAACTTCATCAACCTAAAACTGGCCAAAAACTATCGCAAATCGCTCTCTTCTAAGATTATCCACAAAATTATTTCATTAGAAATTCAAAATGATAATTCTTGATATTTCACTGTTTATGGCTGTCTATGTCATAATAAATGTGGTGTCAGACATTGTAAAAATTAAAATCAATCAACCAAAATAACCAGTAGCCAAAAAGTTTTGCATATTATATCCAAATCATTAGCTTTAGAATGATAAAATGTTATTTTTTGTGCTGCGGCACGAGAGACCAAATGATGTCATTAAATTTTTAGAATTTGAAATTTTTATGGAATTCGAACATTTTGGAATATTTAAATGCAAACATTTTATGTAAGGCTGAACCGAAATTCTCTTTAAAATATCAATCTATTCATGGTTTAATGGAATTCTTTAGAAATTGTTTACGTAGGTTTATTCGATTCTATTGAATAGAGTAAAGTCAGTAGATCTGTTATTCAACTGAAAACTTTTGGATATCCGTCTCGACAGTGTAATTGATTTTACTTCTCAAGTGCATTCAGCTAAATAAATTTTGTAAGTTTTCGAATCTTTTCTTAAAGTTAAATTTGTTGCTTTCTGTCTGGATTTATATCAAGCTCCTTAAATATTCCATTTGATTAAATCGGAATAGAAGTTCGATAGACTTGAATGAGAACCTTTGTAATGGAATTGATTCTTAAGTAAAATGTCCTTAAACCTGCCATTTCTGAAAGGGTTTATTTCCATTGTATTCCAAAGTATTCCTTACGCATTTGAACTTATTTTAGTTTATTGAAGCTTTTAGGTGCCATTAAAGTCCGTCCTATATTATTTTTGTTTTGAGTAACAAGTTTGGTGATTTAACATCAATTCTACTCTTCAAAAAGTCCAAAGCCATTTATACACAAAGATCCAAATTTAGAAACTTAGTTTCTACGAAAATCTTTGTCACAATTTTTTTTTTGTTTAAAATTTATCTCATTCCAATTTGAATTTTTCTCATAAATGTTCATTTACTGCAAGTATTCGTTAAACTGGTTCTATTTTGTCTCGAGTGAGTGCAAGGATTTAAAAAATAATGGTAAATAAATTTTAATAAAATTGCATCGCATCGGAAAATTTTATTCTTTAATTAATTGATTTGTATTATCTAACGAATGTATAATATGTAGGATGTGGATCAGAATCCTCTTATGTTTTAATTATCGTATGTAAATCGGGAAAGAGGAAAATTTTAAAAACAAACTTTCTGAATGATTCTGGATAATCTACAATCAATGAATGTATTTTGTAACATTGTTATTCCATTTCCTCAATAAATACGAATAATTAATTAAATTTAAATTGATTCACAATTCGACGTGATAAAATTATGTGCAAAATTATCGCCGAAATGGACTTTTATTCTCCGCTATTTTAGGTCTTTATGGAAATACTTGTCAAATTAATGAATTTGAATTGTTCACAAATTTTCATATTCTTTTGGATTTTGAAGCATTTTTTTGTACAATTTTTATGTCAAAAAAAATTAAAAGAATTTTTTTCTCTAGCAACATAAAAATTTGTGAACCAAAAGAGTTAAAATAAAAGTGAAGTGCTTTTTCTGTGTATCCACAACAATATGCATCTCTAAATACTTTTTAATGCTCTTTGAATTTTTTCTATTCATCAACAAGTGTTCACTTAACATTTTTTTTATATATTCTGCTACTGCTGCTTTTGCTTAAACAATTTTTTTTTTATTTTTAGTTTGTTTATCCATTTTCCACAAAATAAAGCAAACGATGTGTTTTGTTCGCCTTTCTCTCTGTCCTTCCTATTAAGTAGTAACACAAAAAAACAAAGTTTCTTTTATTCATTCAACTATTCTCGTTCTCTCAATTTCATTATGGTTAGGTCAAGAGTTTTTCTTTATCATGTTGACATAAAGCTCTCTCTTGAGTTCAGAGTTGTTAAAGGTTTTAATTAGTGGAAACAAATTTATTCTTTCGTTTAAATTGTTATTAACCTAAATTGTGTATCTTTTTGGATTTTATTCATTTTATTATCAAATTTTTTTGAAAATTCTGAATTTTATAAATGGTAAGTTTCAAGATAGTTTGTTAATTGTGGAACTGATCCTTATTTGATGTACGAATTCTATTAATCACTTTGTCTAGTAATCCAATTCAAATAATCAAACAGTCTTAAAACCGAAACAACTCTGAATGCCATCATAAAAAATCCAATTGAATGAATTTTTTATTCAGCGAATGTGCCAAGAACGATTCATAAAAGAGAGCATAAAAGAAACTTATATTCTTTTGAAACACCATAATGGACGGACAGAGATGATGATCCTCATTCATTCTACATTTATTTTTATTTTTGTGTTAATTCACTAAAAATCTACAATGCTCTATAGTGCCTGCAATTTGTTTTCGCTAAATTTTATTTTAACATTTTGTTTTTATTATTTTGTTGCTGCATAAATTCTTTCATTCATTCATTTCACTTATTATTTTTTTTTCAACTATTTGATATGTATTCTGTAATTATTTTCATTTTCCTTCTCTACAAACTCCTTTCTCATCATAATTCATTGTGTGTGATTTATTTAAAGCTTCACCGATATGTCTTCATTTTATTTTTCACATGGGTTTTGATTAATAACTTTTCTATATTTTTTTGCCTAAATAATAAATTTAGATTATCTATTAAGTTGTGGTTATGGGAGAATTTTATGATTTTTGATGAGAGTTTAATGGCATGATTAAATGTTTCCAACTAAGGTGGTCCATAAGATAGCTTTTATTGATCAATATTGAAGATATTAAATTTGATTTCAAAACTGTTTATATGTTAACTTATGAGATGGAATGAGGAAAAAGGTTATTTTTAGATTTTTATTAAAACTTTAATTTGCTTAGGTCAACTTTCATGGCAATAAAATCATAAGATCTGACTCAATCTGAATAGATGATTTCATCAAAATTAAATTTTAACGACAGTTATAATGAATTAATCTGGGTAAGCACATAAAACATTTTGTTTTCCCAGAATAAATCCTTAAATACATTTATGAACCACCAATATCTCTGCTAACCAGCAAAACCAACTTCTATCAACATGACAAATTTCTCCCACAACCACACATTATCATATAATCTATAATTTGTTTTATTAATTAATTACTTATAGAACTTATGAAAAATGTATAATTTTCCCTTAAATGCGTATTTATTCATCCTTACTTCTGTGTATGTGTCAAAAACATTGTTTTCTCCACTCTTTATTTTATTATTAGTATATTTAATAATAATTTATTATTCTTTATTTTATTATATTGTTTTTTTAGCATTCAATGTTATAATATCTATAGATCCAGTCTAAAATGCAATATTATAAGCGTTGTTTATTTTGTTTGTCTGTTTATACGAGATAAACATTGTCATCATCAGCATCATCATCATTCATTCATTCGACTTATAAAACTCGATTCAGTGATATCAGTAGAAATGCTGTTATCATTAAAAGTACTCGACTAACATCAAGTATCAGACCACTTGATGCACGACCCTCTGAACGTCCACCATCTCGATCACACGGCACTGATGTCGGCACTACTTTGAATTATAAGAGAAAAAAGAAGAATATTTTTATTTATTTAACATTTTGTTGACTTTTAATTCTTTTGTACATAAAAATTGGAAGAGATTCACATCTGTGATTGGTTTTGATGATACTGACAGAGTTGGAAATTTCTTAAGATTCGAACTTCAAACTTTGACAATAATTTGAATTTTAAGAATTAAAATTGTTCCTTTAAAGCTCTCAATTATCTCAATAGGTTTCATGATCCAAACCATAATCAGCACCTCAATGTAAACTCCAACTCTGATCTCATTCAAAATCTTATTACCATAAAATCGTAAAACAAAAACTTTTATTAATTCTTTTTAATATTAATGATCAGCACTAATAAATTGTCTCCAAATATAAAAAGGAATGTTTATTGCTTAATTCTTTAATAGCTGAAGTCATCAATTTAAAGTGTGAATTAAATTAAATCAAATTTGACACAAGACAACAAGATGATTAAAAGTATTTAAAAAAAATGTTGACTTACGCCAGTTTCTGAGTCGTGGAAGGAAATCATTCCAAAATGCACATGACGTTGCGGCTGGTCCTCTACCATATTTGTTTGCTCTCATGTCTTCTTCTCCTTCGGCGTTGAATATGAAATAGATTGGATTGTCTGCCTTGTATTGTGGCCAATGAATGCCTTAAAAATAAAATAACGAGTTTTAAAAATTTGAAAAAATTGAGCTTTTAGAACTAAAAAGCTTTTCAGAACTAATGGAAACTTACCGTCGAGTGAAGGATTTCTGTAAAGAAAGTAGAGAGAGCTTTTTAGTACAAATCTCAAGATTTTTGATTTCATGCGCATACAGAGCTTTTAGCAGCGCACTATCAACGTAAAATGAAAGTTTACTCACCCAGTTCTAGCAAATTTACTAACAGATTGTACCATCATTCGACTAAGATCACGTTCACGTTGTCGATATTGTAACGTAGTATTCAGTGGATGACCAAATATGTATTCTACTTCATCAGCATGCATGACACCCATCCACTCTCCCCACAGTGAAGTGCTCGTTCGCTGTTGTTGTTTGCCACCGAATAAATGAGATGAGAAAAATAAAAGAAAAAGTTTTTTTTAGCATTCATGTTTAACGAATTGTAAGTCTAAAAGCGAAAAAGTTTGTTTTCTTCCTTCTTTTCATTTCTTGCTGTTTTTTTTTCGGTGAATCATGCTGCCGTTGAGGAAATAAAATGTCAATTTTAGAAATCGTAAACTGGAAGTAAGAGCGCCTTTTAATTATTTTATTCAATATCTTTATCATTTTCTTAATCATATTATTCTAAAGAAGTGCAAACTTATATGATTTTATTCTTTTATAAGTTTGCTCATGTCTATTTCAAGCTATTCAAGTTCATCAATATTTCAGTATTTTCAATACAATTCTAACTTCAACAACATGTCGAACTGGTCAAGCTATAAAACAAATTTAAAGTTTAAGATGTTAATTGAATCTACAGTTCAACATAAAGAAAACAACACAGAAACAAGACACAAATTTCTGTTGAAAATTGTATAACAATTTGAAATCAAATAGAACAAAACCAAACAACACAAAAGAGAAGTAAAATTCTGATAAGCATTGATTGAGTGGAAACTTTTCTCTTTTCTATTTTGAAGAAGAAGAAACTAAATGGAAGGAGGAGTAAGAAAAGCAAAAATCATGTCACTGACTTTGTTTCCTTCAACTCATGGCTATTAAGGTTGTAGTAAACACAACAAATATGAGAAACATAAGAGAAAAGGAAAAACGTAATTCCTTTCGATTTTAATTTCATGATAAGAAGAAAATAAAAACGAGTTTGAAAGCTTCTTGTGATATTGTTTTGTGAATGTATAGAGGTGCAGTTTGTATATTTATGATTGTAATTTGATATTTGTCTAGATTATTATGAAGGCATAGAATTTTATTTTTTACGTCAATTTATCGAGATTTAATATTTAAATTTTGAATATTTTTAAATGCCTTGTAAGGGATTGATTCCTCAAGCTTATAAATACACCCCTGGATCCTGTTATGTATATAATAAATACTTTAGAGTACAAATATTTCAGTTGTAAAAATTTTGACAACACCTGGAAGCATTCTCATCATCAAGAGCCTCAGCAGCTTAAATTTCCAAGAAATAAATATCATAACGACGAAGCAACAATACTTAATTTATACCAAACTTAATGCAGTCAGTCCCAAAGAGCATATGAGTTTGCGAGAACAAAAATACGCTTAGAACTTTTGCCTTTTCCTCAAACTCGACAACATACACGGAATATAAAAGAAATTAGAATTGTAAATAATGTATAAACTCAAGAGAAACTTTACATTCCAATTTTAATTTTTTTTTTCCGTTTCGTCTTTCATTTGTATGAGTGTGTATGTCACATTAAAGTCATTCTTTTGTTGTCTAAGTCCTTCAATATTAAAGTCTGTATGAGAAATGAAAACAACAGCATAAACGATAGCATTTATAATCGTAATGAAGCGTCGGCGCCGTTCAATTTAATTTTTTCAAAACACGAAGAAATAATAAAGAACATTTTAATAATTTTCCCATACACACACTCTTAAAATAAAAAGAAGGAAAAATGAAGAAAATTAAAAGCTTCTTTTGAAACTTGTTGCTTTCGTGAGAGACCGGACCCGAAAAATTTGCTAATCTATTCAATATTCACTTGAAATAAATTTTTGTTTTCAAAGAATTTAAAAGTGTTTGATTTATGGTTGCAAGTTTTGGTAACTTAACTTCTGTAAATGTGTAAAGTAATGTTTGTGTTAGGATGTCTTTTAATTTAGTGAGCTTGGCTTCGTGGCTTAATGGCTTAGTGCTTTGGTACCTAATTATTGCATTATTGGAATAGCGTTTATGGGTTCGAGATTTGGCAAGAGAATTATTTTCGCTTGTACTTATTTAAATCAAATGCACTGATAATAAAGCTTAGAGCCTTTCATTGTAGGCATAAGAGTCATCACAGGAGTGGTTTGTATCCCACTATACACTGTAGGTCTAGGATTGAGCGGAAGGTCTAGTGAATCCTCACTCTTTAAACTGACAAGTGTGAATCTTAAGATCTGAAAATCTAAATTGTATATTTTATGTCTTTTTATTGCTTCGAAAGTGAAAAAGGCGCATTAAAATTTAATTTATTAAAAATCCTTAATAAATTAAACATGATTTTTTCTTTCATTCATCCTCCCTCATCTCCTTCTCTTGCAAAGCTACTGCTTTGAACCTTAATTAATATGTCAACCTAATTGACATTTTATCTCTGATTTTAACAAATTTAAAAAAAAGAAGATAATGTCATTGACACTATAAGAATTCAAAAGAATTATCAATAAAATATTATCCAATAATTTATTCAACAAAACCTCCAAAAAAAATTCAATAGAAACGCGTGAAAAAATTTCCACAAGATATCATTCACCCTAATTACATTCACAGACGAATTTCCTCGAAGAATACTTTTTCGGATCGATATTAATGAAAAAATAAAACAAAAAAAAATTTAATATCACGAGACTTAGTGAAAGGTAAAGAGCTTTTAACAGCTCCTTGGGAAAGGCAATTTCCTATTTTTCTCTACCTTCCATTATTCTCATTTTGTTCTATTCACTCACAAACACACACAAAGGCAATTTACTCTCATACAAATTTCACAACGATGAAAAACTTTTTTTTTTCATTCTCTTTTTCTCACTTTCTATTCCATTTTGCAATAATAAAACACCTGCTGAAAATCCCATAATTTTTTTTGAAACGCAGGGACAATGAAGAGTTCTAAGAAGAACATGGAAAAAAATCCTTCATTATTTCAAACTAAAACACTTTAAAGTTTTATTATGTTACCGTATCTAATGCTGTCACGTGCTTGAAATTCATTTTCATGGACACAAAAGCTTTTTAATTACGTGGCAGTATTCCAAATTGATGAATTTATTACGGTGATACAGAAAAATGACATACATTAACAAAAATTATTGCTCCTTTAAGCTGCTATTGACTTTGCCACGTGTCATTTAATTTATGATGAATTATGTTCATGATTTATATGAATTTGACAACTGACTAAATTACTAATAGATTGTTAATGACACTTGTTCTACAGCTTGAGTTCATTGTGACAAAAATGTAATAACACAATAATAAAGTTGTGCAAATGCATTTACTACATATTTTAATTTTTATAGTTTTTTGAAAGTTTTTTTTATAATCTTTAAATAATTTTGGCTTTGTGTTCGAAATGAAGGAGCAGAAATAACTTTTACTCTAAAACATCATAAATCAATATCAAAATGAAGAATAAAATTTGTTCTCATACTCAAAAGTCAAGGTCATGGACAGAACTAAACACGTTTATCAAAACAAGACTGTAAATTCTTGAGAAAGGAACATTTTTGAATATTTAATCTTTAAAAAAATTCAACCCTGAACTTTCTCAACAATTATTATTTGGATTCATATTTCAAGATGTCACGCGACTGAATATAAATAACGAATTCATCCTCGTGCCTTTAATAATTCAAATATTTTCAATCTTAGAAATTTACGCAAAAACAATTCTTTTGTCACATTCTTGAATAAATAATTCATTGATTAATGATTATCATTATCATTCATTGAGATCATAATTTGATACTTGATACTTTTTTATCTAATGAGTCATGACAGAAAAGGAATTCTTAGAAGATCACAATTCATACATGTGCATTCAAGTGGCGTAGTAAGGAGCAGAAAAAAAATCTTTAACAATTCAGATCAATTTAGATTCAGAGGTGTGCTAGGGCGTTTCGCAGCTAATGATGCATTTAAACCAAGACTTAAAATTTATGATGGGATCCGAAACACTCCTTTGATGACATTTTTGACTGTAGTCTACAAATAAAGGCTGTGTGCTTCATTTCCAGTACATATGATACAAGGACAAGTTAAAAATTTCCTATACCTACTCTCGAACCCATGATTCTTGTAACTGTATTGCAATAATTAGGTACCAAAGTACTAAACCATTCCGCCATTGCAATAAGTTGCAATCAGTGTTGGAAAAAATACTCAATTTTAACCTCCTTTTTTACACCATTGCTGTCTTAAGAAAAGTTGAGCATACTTTTTAAAAAAAATCTGCATGTGGACAGAAATTATTTCCAAACCTTGAGAAGTCAATGAAAAAATAAGAAAATGTGACTATAACCGAGACAAAACATGTCTTTTTTAAACAAGATTTCTAGAAGGGAAACAAAGAATCTTGACAATAAAAGTTGATCATAGTCGAGAATGTGAATAAATCAATGATTTCAGGGTCATCCAAATGGATTAAGCTTAATGGTTTTTCTTGATCCGGGAGATTTTCATTATTTATGGACATGATAATGCTGCTCATTAACTTTTTGCATTAAACTCTTTTATTAGATTCAGACTAATGTTTTGAACAGTCTTATGCCATGAAGTGTCAGTAACCGAACTTTGGTATCGAAAACAATTTACTGACATTGAAAAATATTTCAAGACAAACAATATTTTTTTGAGCTTATGCATTGTTAGGCAGAATATTCAAGGTTTGAAAATATTAAATTGTTTATCAGATAATAAATGTGGTTAAGACATTTTGAGAAAAAGAAAGGATTTTTTGATCAATTTCAATAATTTTCAGAATAATTTTGTATGAAATTTCATCCTTAAAACAAAGATTATTTCATTATTATTATTTTGAGTATTACTTAAAAATTCACATAAAAAAGTTTTAACTCGAGAATCATGAGAACATTCGCAATTTGAGTTTTTTTTTGGCATCAAGTTACAATTCATTGTTTTTTGAAATAAAAATTAAACCAAAAATTATTTATTTTGCATTCATAAATAAATGTATGATTCATGTAATATGAGCGGCTTTTTAAGTAAACATTCATCAGTTTTAACCCAAACATTAAAATTTCATGGCCGATTTTGCAGTCTTGAATGAAAATGAACTTGCATAATTGAAGGTAATCTCTGAAAAACATTTTTTTTAATTTAGTTCCGAAAAATGTTAAGACAACTTATTTTATTAGCCAAAAAAGTATTCTGTATCGAAAATTGTGCAAGAAAGTTCATTTTCTTTCTAAAAGCTGATCAGAGTAGAAGCATTAAATTTCAAAATCAAAATGATGAGCTATAAAGTGAATTTTTGTGCTGTTCTTCTTCTCCTTTTGACAGTCACTAATAATGTAGATTGTGGTGTGATTGCATTTGGAATTTGTGAGGCAACGTGTAATAATCTAGCAACAGCCTGCTATACTGTAAGTAAATTAGATAAAATCAGTGTTGAAATGTTGCGATTTGTTCAAGTCGGATTATATCTGACCAAGTGAAGATGAATATTAATACAGACAGAAGTAACCTCAATAAATCATCACTTTCTATTTCAGAAAATTTATGCGGGAAAATATCTGAAAGTTCTTGTACGTTTTATTATTTTTTGGTGCAGCTTCAAAAATGATTCATTTTAAATTGCGTGTGTTTTGAGTGAAGATTTTAAAATTTTGAAAGATTTGAAAAATTTAAATTTGTTCGAGTTTTGAAAAAATATCAAAATTTTACTTTTAAAAAACCTTTTAAATTTCAAACTAGTAACAAAATTTTCTTAAATGTTTAGGCAACTGGATTTACTATTGCGCCATTAACTCTTGGTCTTGGAACACCAGTAGCAGTTTTAGCATGTAATGCAGCCTTTGCAGAATGCATGAGTTCGTGTGTTTTAGCTGGATTATCGCCACTTTTGTAGAATTTAATACTTTGTGGTTTTAGTTCTTTTATATGTGATTGAATAATTTTAATAAAATTTGTTTTTTATGATTCTGAAATTTTGATGGCATTTTTGCTTTTTAATAATTTTTGGAGATTTAAATTTTTAAATGCTTAGTATTAGACACCCCCTTTGCATGGATACAAAAATAAATCCAGTTTTGCAAGAACTTCCATGAACTCAAAACTTCATTTTATTAAACTTACATGAAATACGAATCTGATTACAAACATCTAAAAATATCTTAATGCATCGCAACCTACCCACGTATTCAACAAGGTTCAAATAAACCTGAAGACTAAGTATATTGACTGTAAACCTACACGTGTAACATCAAATCAAGTGAAATAAGATATCGAAGATGTCTAAAAATAATTCAATTATCATTAAATCTAAAAATATGTAACATTAACCCTTGGATAATTAAAAATGTATGTTATGTGGCAAGGCAATAAATACTGAGAAATTTTTCAGCATCAATAGTCACTTATCCGAAAATCTGCTCAAAAAAGTAAATAAACAAAGAAAGTTTATAAAATATCGAATAACGCCCAAACAATGTAAAATTCTAGCGAAAATTGCTGCACATCAGCTCAAATCTTTTTATAACAGTCGCAGTCTATAAATATACTTTCGTAAGTAAACTTTTACAGTTTTCAAAGATTATGAATTTTCCATCGTCCTTATGCATTTATAATTAACAAAAAATGTCAGAAAAAATAAATTTCTGTGAAAATCTTCTCCGCTTGTCTAAATTTAGCTTTCGATGTAAATTTCTTTTGCAGAATCTTCTCCAGTCTTTTATATGCAAGGTCAAAGAAGACTTTTATTTATCTTTTTTTTTTGTTTAGCAAAATCATTTGCCTATAACAGTTCGTCTCAGCATTTACATTGTGCTTGCAGGTATGTTAAAAAAATATTTTTAGACATTCATCTCGAATATTACAGATTGAAATGTTCAGTTAAAGAGCCTTTGTGTAAGTGATGAGCTCAAATACATTCATCATTCTGGTTGTTTTATACATCAAATAACAGGGGAAATACGCAATAAACTTAAAGTTTTTAGATGTTAAATAAATTTTAACGGTTTTAAAATTTAATTGTAAATCCAATCATTATTTAAAGACGTTCCATCGAAAATACTCTTCTGCATCACTTGATTATATTCTCTAGTACATAGCTTTACAAAGTCACATTAGAGTCAATAGAAAAAAGATATTGATTTTTTTTTATTCCCTCACCATATTCCATTTTTTTTTATATCTTGATAATACTGAAGCTTTGTGGTTGAATTTTTATTTTTATCAAACTTATAGCAATTTTTAATACTTTTATTTAAAATAATTTTTTATTATTGGTTTTCCCTTGTCTATGCTACTGCAATAAAATATAAAGCTAAATTCGATATTCCTTTAAATAATCCTCTTAGAATTATATATGTGCCAGTAAATTTCGTAGCAAAAGAGCTGACACGACACTTCACGTTAATTAAGCAAACAACTTTTTGCATTTTCATTTCTTTTCGGTTTTCAATGAGAACCAAAAACTCGTGCATATATTTTCATTTATCTTATCTTCTTGTTCCAAAAACTCTCTGAAAATGCGCACAACGCAATAAAAAGCTCGAGTTAATTACCTAAAGGTGCTTTGAGGATTTTTTTCAATTCTCATGAGATTGGCATCGCAATTTCTATGTTATTTACTTTTCTGATAAATCATCGTACAATGTACTTATCTGTCTCTGGCATAATATATCGCTCTCATTCTCTTACACTGTGTGTCTCTTACACTCCTTTGTGGTAAAACTTATACAATTTTTTTTGGTAAATACTTGCAAATTTATTGTGTTATTTCTATAAATGCTTATTCAATTTCAAGGAATTTCACCGCGTGACCAAACTTTTAAGAATTCCATGATAAAAAAAACTTTTAACATAATTGAGCAGAGTCTGAAGATGATTGGCTGAATAAGTCAATCCGCCTGTTTGACTTAAGTGGATTATTCTTGATTTCGGATTATCCACTTCAGTTTTTTGGAAATATCTCCTGACGATTAGGGTTATTAAGAGAACGTGATATCTACTTAGAGTACTTTGCTACTTAAATTAACATATACTTAGAATTTTTAAATTTTCATTAGTTTGAGAACTAAAGCAAAAATCGAAGTTAATCTACTAGATTTGGCTAGAAAATTGAATAATTAATAGTTCTTAATGAAAAGTAAAAGTTTAAAGTATGCAAAAATTTCAGGCATAGTTCACTCTATTGTAATCCAAATTTAGAAATATCACCTCCCATAAAGTTTAAGATATTTACAAAAAACTGAAGCGGATAATCCGAAATCGAGGATAATCCACTTTAGTGAAACAGGTCGAATGTTCTAGTCAAAGGCGTAGCCAGACTTATTAAAAAAGAGGATAACTCAAAAAAAACTAAATCAGAGACCTAATTATCCTATTTTTGGTTACAGATCATTTATGAACCCTATCATTAAATAATGAAATTCGCTTAAAACCAAAAATGTTTCTAAAATCATCCTCATGGAACATGCCAGCACTCTAAGCGAATCAAATGAGCTGCCTCATGCATTAAATATGTTCACGTAATATCATGCTCGACGATTACATAACTCCCAAGCATAATATAACAAATAGACATCCCTTTGATGTTTACTTTATTATCAAGATCAAATTAAAGATCTGTGCTGGAATCTGTGCATATAAAAAATAATTGCAATATCAATAAAACTTAAATTCAAGTTGATTATTTTATTGAAAGGTTTTGAAAGCAAAAATCAATGATTTTAAATAATTTCCAAAAATGAAATTTAATTTTTGCATATTTTATGGATTTTGTTTTGTTGAAATGAGAACAATTTGAGGGAAATGCAGAATCAATACAGACAATTTGAATGAAAAGTTCCATTGATATTAAGTAAGTGAGGTAATTTAATGAAATAACAATGAACCATATTTCCATTTACGCTCATTAAGGCATGCAATAAATCATGAAAATGTTGATAATGAAGAGAAAATCTGATTGAATTCGAATGTTAATATCCATTTGGCGGGAGCATATAACGTGGATATCAATCATCATTGTGGTTCAAGGAATTCTTAGAAAATTGCATTTAAGTTAATTGAAACTGAACAAAAACATCAGAAATTGATCGAAAATATTCATCATTGAATAAAAATTGTTTTTTTAAAAAAATTACGGCTAGTTCCTTTTGGCAAAACAAATAAAAGAATCGGATCAATTTGATTGAAAAAGGCTTAAACATTTCAATTTTCGGAACGGAATCTTTGAATTTAATTTTGATTATTTTCTTAACCTTTAAAGCTTCTTGTGCAATTCAAGTCAAAAGACTCTTTATTTTTTTGTTTTTCACATCTTCACGCCTTGAGAACTCAACGAGATATGATAAATTAATTTGATATTCAACATCCAACGAAGAGTTTTAATTAATAAACTTTTTCTTGCTTCTATCTAAATCCATTCTAAGAAGGAAACGGAAGTTTTTTTTTCTCATCAAAAGGAAGGAAATTAAGAAAAAAAAATAACTGGATTTTTGTTTGAAAACTATGAAAAAATACAGGAACAAAGAGAATAAATTATTATTAAAAATGATAAAGTTATGTCTGAAATCTTTAAAGTCTGGAAACTTTTCAATCAAAAGTTTTGCAGAAATTTAAAGAATTGACTCTTTAGAAGCAACTTGATTGGTAAATTTAATCACCAGTTTTTTGTTGTTGCTACTTAAACTATGGTAATTTGTGAGGACTTTAAGTTTCGAGACTTACCAATTAAAGCTCAATTTATGGTAAGCCATGATTAAAGTTGAACACAGCATGCGGCTCGTGTAACTTCCGAAAAATTTCTACGGTACACCAATGTGCTACGGCACACAGTTTGGACAACACTGATCTAGTGAATAAGACAGTGGGATAAATACGATGAAAACGTTAAAGCCAAATGTCAGCACAGCTACAAGATAGTTTTACTTAAAAAGTCTTTTAAAAATTGAAAATAATTATTTTTTATAATTTGTATTAATTTAAAAAAAAACTTTCAAAATCAACTATTTCATTTTAATTCCCCTTAAAAATTTCTACAAGAGCCACAATATTTTCAACAAAAAATTTAGGATTTACAGGGTAAGTAAAACAATTGAAAGATATATTTTTTCACCCCACTCAAAAGACAACAACGGGGAAAAAAGTTTCTCCTTTACTTTTATTCTCCCTATGCCCTTTTCTCCAGCAAGATACATTCAGTGAACTTTTGACATTTTCATAGAAATATAACAGAAATGAATAAAAACAGCACGAACGAGAAGTGGAAAAATATTAAATTAATACTAAAATTTTTTGCTGAGTAAGAGTACACGAGAACAGCATCTTCTTTCACTTATTCATTTTTACGATGCTTGTTATCATTGTGTTATAAGGAGTAAGGATATGCACACATTTATAATTCATGATGTATAAATGCGAGTGAAAAAATAAAAGGGCGCATTTAGAAAGTAAAAATTTTTACGTTCAATTGCGACTTCCTAAAAACTTAAAGGTCATGACGCATGTTACAGCTGATGTTTGGGATAATGGAACTTTGTCATATGTTTTGCAAGCAACAGTACAAAACATTCCAAAAAGTAATGACGTAGTGTTGAGTTCAATCTTAATGTAAAGATTCAAATGTTAAAAAGATTAAGAAATCTTAGACAGCTACCATGTGACTCAAAGGTCAACAAATAATGCATGATCTTTAAACTTTCATTTAATCTCTTTTGAGTTTCGTGGGCTACGTGATTGTAAAGTAAACAAAATTAAGATAAAAAAAAATGTTGCGTCATCTTAATCAACATTTGACTTTTAAATTTATCGAATTTATTTATTTATTAATAATATTCTGATGATGAATGACTTCTTAATTAAGAAAAAAAAATTCAAATTTATAGTTCGGCGAAAAAATTAAGCCCACAGAAATTAATAACAAATAATAATATTAATAAATAGATTTTTAAGATTTAACTTATGTTGATTATTTAACCTTAAAGTTTTTTTCTAAGGATTAGTGTTTAGCACAATTCTAAGAAAACTTAAGTTTTTGTTTATATTCGGTTTCGTTTTGAAGTGTTAAATTTGTTTAACTCCACATATGGCCACTCAAAGAACTCACATGAGGAAGTTTTGACCCTGACCCCCCTCCCCCCCCCCCCCCCTTCAGCAATTAAAAGCTGGACCATAATTATTTAAGTGTTAATAAAATAATTGTAATAGAGCATTTGATGAATCTTTTTGAATTCCTTCTTCATCTTTCTCTGGCTTCAGCATTAGTCTAGCTATTGACTTTTGTCCAATTAAATGCTGAATGTTGAAAACCAATTATTTAAATTGCATATTTTGTTTTACTCAAATTAATAAAATTTCCAAATCAATAAGTCAATAATTCTAAAATGTATTTTGTGAACTGTAAATTTCATCGATAGATTTCAAATCTACAAAATTTTTGACCTTACTTATCCCCTAATTTACAATTACCATTACTATAGAAATGATATGCTTCAATTCTTAAAGACATTTTTAAAGCTCCCTTCAAATATTTGTTTAGAGAAATGAAAAGTTTAAAAAGAAAACCAAAAAAATTGTTTGCAAAAATATCGATTTTTCTTCTATCCTTTAAATCCATCGAAAATAACAAACAAGATTGAAGAAGATATCACATTAAAATTCAACTAATGTAATGTCGTACGATGAAATGAAAAGGAGAAAAAGTTCATCGTTTCGCTATCAACGATAAGAGTGAGACATAATAAAAAGAATAATGACATCAATGTAGTACTCACATGTGTAAAATAGTAATAGTAAACATTTGCACCACGATCGGCAAGTCCAATTGCAAATTCATTTGTCGGACAGATGAAAAAGTGATCAGCAACCGCCTTAGCCACCTGCTGTTGATTTTGATAATCATCGTTTGCTGTTTCATAACTTGTGTACTGTAATTGAAAGGATGAAATAAATTAATATTAATTGAAAGCATAAAAAGTATCGCATTAATAGCCTTGCTCTCGTTTCTTTTCCAGAAAATGACAAATTTCAGACTTGTTTCAACTTAAATAGTTCAGTAATAAAGAGATTGCGATTCAATAAGTTTGAGTAAAAGATTGATGAGTTCAAGGAACTCATCAATTCATAAACACTTGCTCAGTCGAAGATGTGGCCCTCATTTATGAAACTGTGTATTTATGTATCAATGCAATGCGTATCTCACACTTTATCGTAGGATTTGAAGATTGTTCACAAAGTTTCTTCTATCTTTCATTCAAAATGCTTCTTAAAAGAAATAATTTATCAAGTAAATGACAAATATTACGGTTTGTGTTTAGATGTAAAAGAGGAAGGCAATTCGTGATTAAAAGAGCGCAATTTCTCTGTGCCAAATTAAAGTAATTTATTAACGATATAAAATGATACTTTACTTTTTCATTTAACATTTTCAATATTGTGATAAAAATACATTGAGACAGTTACAAAGCCAAAAAGGTGGTTTGGAACGAAAAAAAATTTAGTGAATATTTTTGGAATTGTAGCTTTTCCGCTGCTTTGAGAAAATACAGAATAAAGTATGAAGATTTTAAATTCGTTCTATTTAACTATTTAGCATAGAAGATAATTAGACTGTTCACAAAAGCCACCAAGTTCAATTTTATTTAAAAAAAGTAAAGCATGGAAACTTTCCCAAATATCACAAAAATATCCAAAATAATCCCTTAGCCTGTATGCACGATAATAAAGATATCTTAAAGAATCCTTAGTGTATTGGACATTTAATCTTGGGATTCAATGGGATGTCTCAATTTCAATGCATGCAGGCTCAGGGATTATTTTGGATATTTTTGGGATATTTGGGATAAATGAGATATTTAAGATAGTTTCCACGCCTTGAAAAAAAGCATTACAAAATCCTCTCAACTTGCGTAATAAATTCCATTTCTTGATCACCATTAAATATGCCACATTCATTTTAGTGATTGATTTATGGAATGCCAAGACTCAGTTACAGGTTCTAAAAAACCAAAACACAATGTTTGAGTAAAAAGAAATAAAGGAAGGAATGAAAAAAAATAGAAAAGTGAAAAAAATGTGTCCTTGACATAAAACTGCTTGGAAATGAATAATAAAATTGAGGTAAAAATTAAAGACAGCTTAAATGTGGTCTCGGAAAATTTAAGTCGAACAAATTTCAAAGTAAATTTTAAAAAACATAGAAAAAAAATTTAACTTCAGTCATTGATGCAAATTTCTTTTTAATTTAAATTGAATTATTTTTTTTGAAGATATATGAATGATGTAGCACAAATCTAATATGTTAGAAATTCGATATCATTTTTTTGCTTCTGGATAAGAATGAACTTTATCAGATTTTCTGTTTTGTTTTCATATTAAATTTATTTTCAATATCTGAAAATAATTTTAAGAAAATATTATATTTTACATTGAATTTTCATTATTTTTTGACTCAGAACTTGCTTGACAGAATTATTCCTACATGTAATAAGCATAACATATTACTTGGTTCTCTTTTGAAAACAACAATTAGAATTCTCCATACAAATAAAGCTACAAAAAATGGGTCTAAAATGTTTTTAAACATGTGAAATTATTTTATCATTCAACAGCGTTCTTATCGCACCCTAAAATCGAAGAACAAATGAGAAACTTTCTATTCAGCATGAGAAAAAAAAACTTGAGCAAAGCTCTCATTGCCCATAAATTATGATACCAGGAACTTTTGTGACATGCAGAAGAGAGGAAGAAAAAAAAACTTACCTGAAAAATGATAGCTTCACGCTCTGGCTGCGATGCCTTAGTAAATATTGTATTCATGATGTCTAGAAATTTTTCCCTCGATAGCTGTGTTGGCAAAGAACGATCGAAATAATCGATAAAATCATATAGGAGGAAATATGTGCCTGTGGAAAAAAAAGAAGAAGAAGAGTGGAGGTTAAAAAATCTATAGAATAAGAGGGAGAACAAATCAAGGTTATAAAACGATAAAGCACAATCATTTTTTATGTAAAGCAGTTTTTCACGCGAATTGGCTCGAGAGATATTTTTGAAAATATAGAAAAATAATGTTGAGATGGGAATTATCACTGTCGTTTCTAGTTAATTGCATATTATCATTATTATTGTTTCCGATTCTTCTACTTTCTAGTTGAGAATACAAGCATAAGTTTTATAATGATAATTAATGATCAAAATTGTTATTGTTACCTGTATTGAATACAATGTCTAGATCTCGCGATATGCTCATTATATATTCTACGAAAGTTTCAAATACACAACAACTTTTCCACTTCCGAAAAGCAATACAAAACGCTCAAAAACAGCTTGAATATAAAGTTCATCCCTTTCTACATAATTTAATTTCATGGAAATTGAGACTGATATATGAATTCGTTTTATCATTAAATAACACACACACACACAAACACACACACACACACACACACAAAAACAAAATCGAAGAATGGGTCGACACAATGGGTCAAGAAAATTTTATCCTTACTTAATATCGAATATGCACGTAGACATATACACACATAACTAAGATTAAATTGTCAAACCCTAAAAAAAATGTTTTATCGACTAAAGCAGAAATGTAAGAAAAAGAAATGGTATGTGACCTTTTCAGAGTAATCAAGAGTGAAAGAGAAGAAGGTAACAGAGCGTAGTTTGTTGTACACATTCGGAATAAAATAGTAAATATATAAAATCAAAAGCGCATTATTGTCTTTAGAGTAATGTGTTTCTTCTTTATGTTGTATCGTTCGTAAAATCGCAGTCATTTACCCGAATGCGATTTATTTTGTTAAGGGTAAACATTTTCGTAAACATTAGATGTATCTGTTTTAAGTATGTTGGGCTATTTTGTATTATTTTCCCAGACATTTATTTTAATGGCATTTATCCCTTATCAAGAATGATAAAAAGGTAGAATTTTTATTGTTTTTCTGCTTGTCGAATATTTTGATCTGTTTCGAGAAAACTTAATAGGTCAAAAGTAATTTTTCAAATCTTTGGAACTAAACGATGTTTGGGCGTTCTACTCAGGAGCTTGTCAAGATTTTTCAACAGCTAGGAGGCATAAAATAGCTAGAATTTTTTGGAAGTTTTAAAATTTTGTTTTTTGACTGTATCTAAGACTGCTTAAACCTTGAAACTAGATAAAGTCTATGGTCAAGTTACCTTGCAACCGATGTCTAAAGTTTTATAATTTTTTGACAAAATTAAAACAAACTCGCCAGTCGCTATAAATGTTTTCTTTTAATTAAACCTTATTTAAAGCCATTTCTACATTTGCATTAAAATCAAACCATCTTACAAAGTTACATTCCCAAAAATAATATTTGAAATCGCCTTATAGATTATCGCATACTGAAATGCTTGTTGAGTCGTAAGAATATAATAAAAATTTGAAAGAACGGCTTTGTCGTCGTTAAGAAATGAAATAAAAAATTTCTTCGTATCTCGCACAAAATAGCTGTGACCTTTCTGGATGAAATAACGCATTAAACTTTATGAACAATTTTTATTATTTTTAAAAGTTTGCTCATTTCCAGTAAAAATTATTTTTTGTGGAGCTCAAAAGTTCTATTTTAAAACCCTTAAATTAAAATTTCAGCTGAAAATGATTTTTTAATTCCATTGAAGTTAAGGAAATAACTAATTTTGATTTAAAGACATTAAATCTTTATTTTTCACATTCTCCTTCTGTTAACCTCTGATTTGTCATTGTCTTCTTACTCGGTGTGTCTGTTATGACATTCACATATGGAAGATATATTCCACTGAGAATGTGAGCAATTTGATAAGCTTTCAAAATAACAAAATGGAATACTTAAGGAGAAATAATTTGATTAAAGAAATCACTAAGACTGATAGCTTCAAACGTATTTTGAGTTATTGAAGAGATTTGTTTGTGAAACAATTTGAATGCCAATTTTTCAAGTGTTTTGGAATATAAGCTAGTTCAATGTAGATTCTGTATAAATAAACTTAGTTATGGAGGAGAAATGAACTAGTTCTTGACAATTGAATTCATTTTGTAAACTCATAAAAAACCCTCCAACAATCTATTTCAGACTTTCATCGATCCCACATTAATGCATTTGTTACAAGAGTCAAAAAACGCTTGACACCATTAGCTGTCATTCCTGTCATCCATAAGTAAGAACATAATAAATGAAAATTATGTACATTCGTTAAGAAAAAGCTATAATACTATAACAATGGATGGTAAAATGACTACAATACTGTTCATAAAGAAAGAAAAGAAAGTAATAATGTTGTAAACAATTCAACCACCACGTGAACACATTGTCCTTTACGACAATTCTCATGGAATTTTAGTATAAAGCTTGTATATAGTGTAGTAAGGAAAAAGAGGAAGGAGAAAACGATAAGTCGATTTTTTGTGGCACATCGATAAGTAAAAATGTAATGTTCGTGACAAAAATGTTTAAATCAAGAAAAAATAAAGTAAAGAAGTAAGAGAAAATCCGAAAGTAAGCACCTTTCAATGAATTTTCATTTTTTTTTGTCGACTTCACGACAGTCAATGTTTTTGTTTGTTGTCTACTGTTGAGCACAAAGACAGTCAAAAATATTTAAGTTTCCTACGCAAATACTTAAACTTCTCACTTAATGTTTGATGTCTCGTAAGAATTTGAAATTGATTACGATATTAATTTGAGAGATTAATCTTTAACCCTAACCACATTAAGAAGTTTACATTAGAGATTAAATTTTATCGTAAGAAAAACTTTTTTTATTTCTTTCAATCGATTTTCTGCCACTATATAAACTTGATAATGTACGAAGATAAGCAGTTTTTCACGCGGTTTCCATCAATATGTTTACCATTCTCTTGACATTTCACAGCTACAGCAATGACGATGATGATTATAATCATGAAGAATAAAGCGTACAAATATTTTTGTGTTATTCATCTCCTTCCACAGTGCGCAATATAAATGTGATGTAAACATTTTATACAATTTTCGAATGAAAAGAAGTTTTGGGAGATTCATCGCGACACAGCTTCAGGTAAAAGATGACGATGATTATTTTTTTTTTAAAAAAAAAGGAAAAGAGCAGAAAAAATTCATCGCGAGAAGAAAAAACAACAAAAGTTTGAGGCAGGATCCCTTGAGATAGTTTTTAAAGTAATTTTTTGTCTAAGCTTTAATAAAAATACGATCAAAAGAACTTTAAAATACATTTTCATTTCCTTAAAACTTTGATTTAGGCTAAGAAATATTAAGAACTTCCAGATTAATTCACTACAGCTAGCTTATCCCATTCTAATGTCACTCTTATACTACACACCATAAAATTAATATGTTTATTGTGAAACTTTGTGTCACCAAGAGTCAATCCTGCATGTTCTGAGAAGGAACACTTACAGATAACTAGTCTGTTGCCTATTCACGAAGCCATGGAGATAGATTCTTTTGTATTTTAGTCTACTTTCTGAGTCTATGAGGCCATAAAATATCATAAATTATGTATAAATAAAATTCTGACTAATTTCCTTCGAAGGACATGAGCAGCATGAAAAAGATGTTCAAAGACACTTCTCATCTATCTATGCTTGTATACAAAATGGATTTAAAGATGAGCAATGGCAACGTAGCAGCGGTAATTTACCTTTTTCTTTCTTCCTTTCTTTTTCTACCCTCCTTGACCTTTCACTCGTTACTTCTTCTGTTTTCTTAGAAAATGAGAGGTAACAAATAGAGATTCTGAGTTGATGGAAAATATTTCATGAGGAATAATCGGACATATAATTATCATGGCAAAAAAGGATGAATTCCTTGAAATTTCCTTGATAATTTGTAATTTATATAGCCATTAATTATTAGTATTTTGTGTCAAGCTTTTAATTTTACCAAACAGAAAACCAATTAAAATATTGAATTATTTTTTAAAGCCCATAGGACCTATAAATAAGGAACGTTTATAGGAGAACAAGGGTTTGGCGCAAATAATTATATTTATAATTTTTGACAAGTTTTAGAAAGCATTGGCAATCAAGTTTTAATACGCTACATATTAAACTATTCTAACACACTTATAAATTTTTTTAAAACCAGTAGGAAGTGCTCAGTTTAAGTATTACACAAAAAGTAAATGACACTTTTCAATTTTTTTGAAAATTTTCAATTTTTTCATTTTCATCAATTTTAAGAATCTCTAGTTAAGACAAAAAAAAAGTTTGGGAATAGAAAAATAAGAAAGAACAAGCTCCCACCAAAAGTAAACAAACTCGTAAAGCGTAGCAATTTTAGCAAACATTTATTTTACGTATCCATAGCTACTGCTGCTCTTTCTCTCTTTTTTTCATTTTTAGTACGGGGAGGGTCCTTTTATCTGCTCGTTTTGTATACAGCTTTATAGAAAAGAAAAATATTATCTTAATTTTCTTCAACTATTTCTTATTCACATTCTTGATTCTCGTTCTCTCAATATTAATCAAGAAAGGCATGGAAAAATAAGAATAGGAATTAAATAAAATAAAATAAAATGTGATTGCTGTGACTTTGTTTCCTTTGTTGCTTTATATTGCCTCCACTAGTCATTATATACGTCGTTTTGGTTATTGTACATCCAAACACAAAATAATCTTCTCTACAGCCAAAAAAAAGCATACTTTTAAGGATGAAATGAGAGGCCTGGAAACGCAGTTATAAAACGACCTTGAACTCCTCCCTTACATTCTTTCTCTCTCATACTCTGCATGCCTCATTCTCTCACAAACACTTTCATTTCCCTTCCTCAAAAAAAGTTTTTTTTTACAACCAACATATCGTGTGTACCATGCAGAAATAAAGAAATGAAAATGTTTATTCATTTCCTTCTTCTTATTGTATCGTTTTAGAAGTTTATGCGTGTGTATTGGTAAGCGTAAAAATTTTTTTCAGCGTGAAAATAAAAGCTTTTACTACAGAAAAGCTCGCCATAATAAAAAAGAGTCTTCTTTTTCTTCCTCGTTTTTTCTCAAAACATTTTAAATAAAAAAGCATAAGAGACACGAGAAAAAAAAAGGAAAGAACAGTTTAGATCGTCTGGGATGAGAAAATGAAGTGGGCGATTTTTTTTTTTTTTGAAGTAAATTGAAAGCGATTATGCCACCCTCAATAAAGTTTGATAAACAAAAATTTGTAGATAGACATGTGTTCTTTAATGGAAACATACAAACTTTCCAACACTATGCGTGTGTGCTTTCAATTTGAAATGATATAGACGTTTCCGTAAAAAATTTATCAAAAGGATGAATAAATAAGTGAATAAAAGACACAATATCATTAGGAGAACGGCAAGGTTATATGCAATATTAAATTCTTGGAAGAGAGGAATTTGTGTTCAATCAAACGGATAGACCTTTTGTAATGAAAATAATAAATTCTTGGTTTTTCAATTTTTCAAACCTTTAACGTTAAGAATGACAATCGAATTGATTTATGCTTTCCCTGGCAACAAGATTGTTGGTTTTTAAGCAAGCCTTAAGATATTCTATAATAAATTCAGTACTCATTCCTAAAGTGTTTTTCACTTTTGATTTTAAACTGTTTTGAAATCTCAAACTAAGAACACCTGAATTGCTCCACTTAAAAAAATTATTTAAACAATCCACAATCTGGATAATCCAATCACAATGTGTATTTTGTGATGTCCATACCAAAATTAATATAAGACACAAAAGATAATGAAATTCAATGACCCTTAAAATACTTGAGAAATGAGCATTTTTTGGGGGCTGTTCAGTGTCAAATATCAAGTCAAATGATTTTTGAAGCATAAAAAGGAAACGAATTTTTTAATTTTTAAGTGCCAAAAAATTATTCTTTGTTGCACAAATAAAGGAAATAAAATTTGAGATAATCCCACACATTCGTAAAATGATAATGTAAATGCTGTTGATAATGGAAACATCAAGGTTGCAGAAAAGGATATGAAAGGCTATTTTTCATGAAATATCTATGGCAACCACAGGCTTTAGTTTTAGTTTTTATTGAAGAATTAAATTTATGGCAGAATTTAATGGAAACGAGTAACAAAAACTATTAAGTTTATAGCCCTTTATGTATTTAACAAAAACTATTAACATTAATGACCAATTAGTATCCTTAAAAGAGGTCAATTATTGATTTTTTTTTTGTTTTATTCTGTAGTAATTTATGACTTATGGTTCCGGGTGTAACTAAAGGTTTCCAAGCTATAGTATTTCATTCAATTTAGCTGAAGAAAAGTATTCTAAAGAACCTTTAATTTTCTTTTAAAGTTGTTTCCATGCTTGCAATTTTCTTTGGCAGTAAAAAATTACCTGGAAACATTATTTGTAGAATTTTTTTAAACTTTTTCGATGATTGTTTTTATTTTTGAACATCCACTTGAGTATGTTCCGGTACCAGTGAGTATTCTTATGTTCTGTTAGAGGATAGACTATTATTTTAAAACAAATTACTGGGTAATTAAATATTTTTGATCAGATCTCAAAGTTGATTGAATTTTTTCAGGAATTTTTCTAAATTTCTTTTCAAATTTTGGCGAACTTTAAGCTTTGTTTTTGATGTTAATACATATTTAACGTCGGAATGATTACATTGTTTCTCTATTTTTTTTTTCTTCTTAAAATTTTAACATAAAATTACATTGTCTCGAAAAATCAAAACAATGTAAAGCGGTTTTGATGTTGCAAGTTTGAATTGTTAGCAACAAAATCCTTAAGGGATGTAAATTCAGAAGCAATATTTTGAAAATACTTAAAGCTGATTTAAATACAATTTTTGTGTAATATGATAATGCCACAAAGAATTGATTCTTAACTAGGTTTGGAGTTTAGAACTTAAAGATTTATTTAAGCAGATTTAAAAACTGTTCATGTTATTTTTTTGAGAAAATATGTGTAAAGGCTAAAAATTGAGTAGCTTTGATAATTTATCAAGTTTGAGAGAACAATCCAGATAATTCAACATCAATTTTACAAAAACTTAACATTGATTTCTGCAAAAAAATCAATATTAAAATTTAAAATAAAAAGCAAATTTATAAAAATATTGTGAAATTTCAAGGTTCTTTCCAATTTTTACGTTACGTTAGATCTTCTCAGAAAACAATTAAGAAAAGCACTCTCAAAGCATTTAATTCATCCAACATACTTAAGATTTCTCAGGAGTTCAACAATACAAAGTGGAATTTTTAATTACATTAATTTCCGTGAGTACTTTTCAAGGCAATTCTTTACCAAATAGAAAAGCAAATTTCCACGAAAAGTTTTCTTAAAAATTTCTTTTTTTTCAATTATTCTAATTTGAGTTCAAAACTCATCTCATATATTTTTCATCTCTTTTGTTTAAACGCACATACAAATACGTTACATATGAGTACAATACATTCTTAGCAACACAATCAAACGCTGTTGTCACAAGCTTTAAATTTACACATCGCATGTCAGGAACAAGTTGCGATGAAAATTTATTCAAACAATAAACATTTTGAGTGTGATTTTAAAACGATATTTGATGATTTTTTTTTTCATATAATAAAAAATTCAGCATGAGAAAATGACAATAAACAATCAGAGACAAAAAGCAGATAAAGAAAGAATATGCAATGCTCGGTATGTAAAACACTTTTTTCACGACCAAAAATTGTGAAAATTACACGATTTAAAGTTTTTATGATTTTTTAACAATCATTTTTAAGAGGTTTGCATCTTCTTTTATAGCTTACAATAAAAATAAAATAATATTAAATAATGCAATATTGCTTTCATAATAGAACCAAGTTTGGAAGTCACTCGCTACGAACTAAATTACGTTTAATGTTTTAATGAGTTGGAAAGAGTTGAAGTTTTGTTATTTGAATGTTCAAAAAACTTATTTTTAGAAGAACGTCTTTTATGAATCCCTTAATAATCGTTATTTAAATCCATCCTTTTAAAAAGCATTGTTTAGACATTAATAGTAAGGCTCTGAAGTTTTCCCTGCCGTCTCCATTTCTTACACCCACAACGATTGATTTTACTCGAAATACTCTGTTATTTACAACATATACATTAAGCAAGGTCATGTTTTTAACTTTTTTTCTCCACCGAATGCTTCTTCTTCCTCAAACTCTCGTGCTTTTTTTTAACCTCATAATTTTTACTGCGCATAAGTTTTTCACCTCTTCACGACAGCCTACAACCCATTATTTTTATGTATTATTCGTTTTTATTTAACCATTAGAGTTGTCGTGGCTTTGCGCAATTTTTGGACGGCAGTTATCAAAACGAGAACTAAGCGAATGGCACACGCACGCAAAGAAATTTGAGCATAATGGGGGAGAAAGCACGTGACATAGTCGTGAGTGACCTTTTACAAGCGATAAGTTGTGAAATTTTTATCTTCTTTCTTTTCGTCCTTTTCATATATTTGTACGACGCAGCCATCAATTTCTGCTTTATGTGTCGCGCATAAAATAAATAAGTCGTCCTTTTTCTCTTACTGTGCTTTATCGTAAACATACAAAAGAATGCTTAATTTTTTTTTCTATGGTTGACCGCGTTTTAGTTAAATTAATAAAGAAAATGCTTTACCTTCATCTCGATTACTTCCAACTAATATGTCAATGTTCTCTAAATTAGCTGTTGCAAGCATAGTTGTTGGATCTGATGGCATAAAGTCCCCGTCAATGGTTGGTGCTGAAGGAAATCCAAGAATGCCTGAATAAGAGTTCCATTGTTGTACTGAAATTGACTTTGCGTCAACTGAGCGCATGCAATTTAATACAGCACGTGGCGAATCCTGACATAAGAATTAAAAAAAATATAATTTGTTTAATAAAAAATTGTTTGTCATTTTATAAATGTCTCAAATGTCTGACCTTTAAACTTGACGCATTGCAATTACAATCATCAACCAACAACTCTCCAATTTGTGCTGCCGCCTCTGCAGTCATGTGGCTCCATGGAGCATTTAATGTTCCTGACTGAAGAATTCCACGTGTCACTAGTCCTCGTGTAACAGGCGACAAAAGATGTAAACTGACACTACCGCCTCCTGCGCTTTCACCTGCACAATTTTGGAAAACACAATTAACTAGTAATTATGAATATTTGATGAATTAGATATAAATATCTTACCGAATAACGTAATCATTGACGGATCACCACCAAATGCACGTGCATTATCTTTAAGCCACCTTATTGCCAATGCTTGGTCCCACATTCCTTGATTGCCTAATAATTTGATGAAGAAAGGAAATTATGATTCATAAGTTTAAGGCAATATAATTTTCAAATTCAAAAACTTTATAGGAACTCAAAACTAAAAACAGTTGTAGAATTTCTAATAAATTTGTAAGAAGAAAAAAAAATCGAGCTAGAATTTTCACATCTCATTCATTTGGCATCGTATGAAGAAGTTTGGTCAAGTGGGAGGATCGCTCAAAAAATAATTGAAAGGCTTAATCTAATAATGTGAGAGAAGACAAAATTATCACATCAAGTTCAATTCAGCAAAAAATCAACCCACTGGAAAGAAAATCAATGAGAAATACTCAATTGTCTGTATTCATTTCATTCATGATACACGTAATTATATAGCTGATTGAGTGATGACATAGGAAATATTGAAGGTTGCGATGACAATTAATATGAATGAAAAAGCTCTTTACAATTACTTTGCATGAGTGTCTAATCTACTCATCTCTATTATGAATATTTTATTAAGCTTCATAATGCAATTCTTTAAAGTGTTTGAATGAAAATGGAAATGAAAAATAGAGCAATAATTAAATGTAGAGAAACGATGCAATTAGATCCAATTAGAGGAAGAAAAAAAAATATCTAGGACAATTATGTTTTTATCTGAACAATACCTGGGGCTTCGTCCTCATGACCTGGTAGAAATGGTGCCAAGTAAAGAAATCCAAATGCACCAACACGATAGTTCATTGATGCTACAATAACATTTCCTACAGCCGCAAGCGTCTTGGCATTGTAAATATCAAGTGTTGATGTTCCACTCATATATCCACCGCCATAAATCCAAATAAGCTATAAGAATAATAATCATGAATATTTTAATAGCAATGATTATGTTCAGGTCTTCTTACCATCGGCAATCCACCCTCATTATTATCATGATCGCGATGATCATTTAAATTTTCATGATGGTTTCCATTCCCATGCTTTCCATTTTCATGGACATGTCGAAGACGAGCTTTTGCTGGTGCCCAAATATTTAAATACAAGCAGTCTTCTGATACATTTGTATTTGGATTCCACATCTCTTCACCAGCAAATCCAGGAAAGTATTCATATCTATAAAAGAAATGAGATTTATTTTTATAAATAAAAGCTTGCAAAAGATTATGAATGTGGAACATTCTACGAATATCCATCATAAAACATAAAGCATAAAGAAAGAATGAGAGCATCATATTCTCTGAATGACAACATCATTATAATCATGATAATATAAATATTCACAAAGTGCTCGCTGAATTGTGAAAAATCAGTGAATTTTCTCTGATGAAAATCAAATTACATGTAAAAGGGAGTAAGTGCAACTGCTTGTTTCATATCAACCATAGTCTAATTGAATAATTAAGGACGCTTGAGTTCATGATGATATAATTTCCCTGCTAATTATAATTTTTTTTTTCCACACTTCATCTTTTCTGTTTGTCTCTGATTTTTATAATTTTTCAAATGCCATAAGTCAGTCTAATCAGAAACGGTTTCTTTCGTTCGGTTAAGACATCAAAAAGGAACACGAATCATTAACATTTTGGAATGTCAAATTTTCATACTGCCTTTCAAGCCATGATTACTCTTTTAATTTTGATGATGGAAACTTTTGAGTTTATTTTCAAAGAATCAAAGATTGATGAGTTAGATCTGACCAGAGGTAAGACACAATTTGACGTAGGAAGAGATTTCTTATAAACGTTTTTACGTCATTTTTTTATGATTTTGACAGGTTTCCAAAGACTTCCACGTTGTTTCTTTTCTTTTGTTTTGTAAAAAGTAACAAGTCTTGTAAAAAGTCTCTCTTTGATATTTAACTCTATTGTTTTAGACTTCTTGACATTCTTAATATTACCTTAATTCAATTTGTTTAAATCATAAAATCTTAATCATTTCATTAATTTTTTAACATAACTTTAATAATTTTTTTTAAATTTATCAAAAAACAGCATTATTTTAGCTGAAAGTTTCATAAGAATGCGATATCGTCAGTTAGTAACAGTTTGATATTTATCAATTTTCAAAAATTCAAATCAGTCAACATGAAGGACTTTAAATCCTTAATAAAGCATCTTATCAACAACACAAATCTACCCATAACAATACCTGTTGTATACATACTCCATATTGCTATGGAAAATATGACGCATATCATCATTGATATGAACGTGAATCATATCTGATAATGCTTGTCCCAAATCCTAACCTTTCTGTCATTTTATGTATTTGCCCTTGTTTTTCTATTTTTATAATCATACTTTATCACATGCTCAACTGAGAGTCATAGATGATTCATTCAAAAAGTCATAAAATATTTGGGGTGAACAAACTTAAAAGCACCATAAAAAGCTTTTATGCCTGAAAATTCTTTATTAATGAAATGATAATTGAGTCTGAGCTATTAAATTTAGACTCTTTTGCGCTTAAATTAACGTTTATTAATATTTAAAATCCTCATCGAAGTCAATTATTGCAATCCACGCGAAAAACCGTAATCACCTGCCAATATTCATTTAATAAGAAATGTGCATATTAAAGTATTAATGATATGGAAGCTTTTTAATTTAGAACGGAATTTAATTTTTTGTTTATTGGCTATTCTAGTGATTGAATAATTTATCATTCCACGTGTGCTTTCCAAGCATCACAAATAAGACAATTACAAATAAAAGATCTATTATTAAATTTATCAAAATTATTTGTGAATGATTTCTAATTGATATTACAAAAGGTCTTTATCATAATTTCAGTATCTTGAATCGACTTACATCGATAAACCAAATTGTGAAATCCTTCAATTTTTCGGATGCTGACGAATATGAATGCTTCAAATAGAACTAAATTATGTGGCAAACATCTTTTCATTGTCTTGAAGCTAAATTTGCTTTTCATATTCCGCATACATATCATCTTCGTCTTACTTGATATGGAATTAGGGATAAAAGAGAGTCTGTGCAAATATTTGTTGGACATTCTCGTTTATTAAATAATACTGAATTTTATGCGAGATGAGATATTGAAATTTTCAGAAAAAAAAATTAAGGAAATTTTATTCGTCAAAAAGCTCCTTTCAAAAGCATTTGTTCTGTATTAAAATAGTTCAAAGTACTGTGGGTTCACGATTTGATAAGTGGTCCAAAAATCTCCAACAAAAATCGAATCTATTTAAATACTGAGAAAGTTTGCTTCAATCAAACTTAAAGCAAGGGTGTGGTACTGATAAAATGATCAAAAATTATTAAAAATGATCAAAAATTATTAAAAATGATCAAAATGTAATTCTTCAGTTCCACACCCTTGACTTAAAGTTCACATTTTTTTTTTCAAATTAAATATTTCCATCATATTTCACTTATTTACATTAAATTTCAGAAGGCTATTTAAGATGCAATTTTAAGGCACTTGTCCCAAAATTAATAAATAAAATTATTGTGCAAAAGTATGCCCCAAAAATATTAAAAGAAAAAAATCCAATTCTACCTGAATGCTTTTAATTTAATTAAATCAATGAATTTTCTTTCCCTCGACTCTGACTTTAAATGGAAAGGAATCAGTTCAATTCATTTTTTTATTTATTGAAAAATTTCCCTTTGCTTCTTGTCTAGGAAATATAAATTTCTGTAGAAATCAAATTGGAAAAAAGAAGAAATGAATTTTTTTTCACAGCGTACACAAGCTTCAACTTTTTTTTTCCGGGAAATTGAAGAAACGTGTCTATGAAAGTGAATTTTTGCTTGAAATATAAAAGATTTTTTTTTTCAAAATTCTTTATTTAAAGAAAATTTGATTTAAAGCTTTAAATAAACAAATAAACACAAGATTCATGAAAATCTCATCGACGGGTGTGACAGCATTGAGAAAAAGAGATCATCAACCGAAAACAAAGAAAATCAAGCAGTGCCAGTGAATTAAAAAGAAAACGAGAAGAAAATCTTTTTCTTATTTTTTTTTTCAAATTACGTGATTGTCATTTATGATGACATTTTATAAGTATGAATGTGATGTTTGTTGTGGGAAATAAAATTTCTGGGATATTTGTTTAACTTCACTGCATGTAGATGTTTTCAAAAAAATATGCAGAACCCAATAAATTATCACATATTCATGTTTTATGAAGAAAAATATCAAAACAGACAATACGACTTTTCAGCTCAATTGACTGAGTATTCTTGATTATATTCATCGCATGGACAATAGCAACATCGTTTTTCACTTTAATTATTTTATGTTTATAGTTTTTAGTTGATGTGATTTTTAATCATCATTTGAACATCATGTTAAGTTTTTTGAGTACTAAACCTATGAATTGCAGACCTAGTGACATCCTCGAGTGTTAGATTTTACTCTCGCAAAATCACAAACCTCACTAATTGATGAATTTAACAAGTGATAAATCCTAACATAAACTTGAATTTTAATGACCATAATCATTAGACGTATGTAGACTACAAAATAGACAAAATAAGTGTCATACACAAAAATTTGATTCATTGAGATTTTATTAAAAGTTGGAAAATATTTCAATTTTTCACTCAAGATTGAATTAAAAGTGGAAATATTAAAAACTTTTTATCTCACCTATCGTCTTTATAGAGAAGAAAAAACTTATACTTTTTGTTTATTAAGAAAATCAAGAATCTGCAACACGAGCTTCTTATCAAGTTTCATTTTTTTACGGTAACTTAGTAAATCAAATATTTTGAGCATGGGCTTGCCAAAATTTATCAATTGTTCATGTATTAGGCATGCTGTGAATTAATTCTTTTTTAACTTTAAATTTACTAAATTCATATATTTTATTATCGATAAAAATATTTAACATATCAAATTGAAGCAATTTCCTCTCGAAATATTGTAACCTATATCAAACAATTAATACCCAAATTTTCAGCCCAAACTTCATCTTTCAATCATTTTACCACAAAAACAACAATCCAATGTATTTCAACAGTTTATTTTAGGTTAAAAAAAAGTTTCTGATTAATTTCTCGAGAAAATTAAGTTTTCATCTCAAAAAATGTCATGGATCATAATGGATATTTTGTTTTCTGAAAAATCTGTTGTTTATGTTATTCGATTTGGTATTATATCAAGTCTGAGAGTTGCCCAAAAATCGAAATTCTAAAGAAAATTGAAGAAAAACATGAAAATTTAACTGAAATCGATTTTTTTTCTTACTGCTACATTTTTGCCCCTTCGATAATGCCATTAGGATTCCAATAATTTTTCTCTTTTTTTTCTACTTCGTCCTTATTTTCTCTCTGTCTCTCTCTCTTATTTTTTTTTATCTACACAGACTGTTGTATATCTACGCTCACAGTATGTTCGATTTAATTTAATTTTGCGCTCAATTTTGTCAGAATTCATTTCTTTTGTATGGTTTAGATGTTTACATTTTCAATATTGTCGTATCAAATGTTATATTTTTTCTACGTGTATGCTTTTTCTCAACTATATGCTCCCGAACAATGGATCTACGAATCTCAAAGCATAGGATATACCAAAAGGATTTCTCACTAGTTTCATCTTTGAATCAAATGTCATTTAATAAGTAAAAAAAGATTCATTCGCCATTTTAATCCCAAACACAATCATTCAGCCATGATTCTTCCAGGAAAAAGGGAACCTTACCTTAGAAAATCTCATTACAAAACAAACAAATTCCTTTTTTACTCCGAATTGTGATTGTAAAACATAATTTCGAATGACAAAGTATAACGTTACTAAGTATTTATTACAAATTTGTTCATTGCTACTCGGAAAATTATACCAATGAATACGTGAATGTACGTTCGTATCAGAGAAATAATGCAGATATACATAGAGTATAAAAGATTTTTCGTTATTATAAGAATTACGAAAAAAAACAGAAAAAATAAAAAGAAAAATGAAAAAAGATTAAGTTTCATGTAAGCATCAGTAGATTAAGATGGACGTATGGCATTTCACTTTGTGAACTTTTACGAGAATATGTCTTTCTATTTATATTATGTGTGAGGATTTTTAGTAAGTCAGTAAATATAAACACATACATAAAGTATTCTTTCTTCATTACAAAAATAATATATTGCTAATATTTGTCATTTATGATTCTCACCTTTCTTGAATGCATGAAGGCGGTAATCGTGTTGCATCGTATACCTATGATAAATGTGAGAATAAAAAGAAGGGAAAAAAAATTGTTTGTGGATTTCATTTCATAATCTCTCATTAAGAATTGAATATCTAGCTGAAGTCTATAAAAATTTGATATTTTTTTTGCGCTGTTACCGTTGATTTAATTAAAAGGGTTAATTGACAACAGATAACCAACTAGATTGATGGATTTTTCCATATTTTTTGAAATTAATTAATTAAGGTTCAATTCAAATTATCTTCAATTTCAATTTAGCTATAGGAAAAAAAAGTGTCAACTTACCCCATGCCATGGTTCACTCGGTACAGGCTTTCGAAACCTTAAACTATCAATTGGAGGTTTTGCAAATGGAATTCCATAAAATATGTGCACCTCATGTCCCTCAACGGATGTAGATGAGCCACGTATTGGACCGCTTGTCGTTTGCACCACCAGTCTATCTATTATACCATGCACTTGACACACATTCACCCAAAACCATATAATGCAAATTTTCAACATATTTTGTGCCGCCCTCTTGTTTTGTTATCACACGAAATATTTCTCCTTGCTCGAGATACTCTTCCTTGTATCCTTGTTGTTGTTGTTTATTCTATTATTATTAATATTATTATTATTATTTTATTTTCACATAAATGTTCACACAATAAAAACGCTCATTCACATTAAAATGCAAAAATTTATCCACTCTTTTTTAAGTTTTCAAAAACAGAAAAGCAATTTGATTTGAAGGCAGAAAGCTTTGTGCTTATATGGTACACACCAGATTTCTACTATGTAATATCATAAAATAAAATCTATATCAAGTTTTATTTCAATGAACGATAGTTTTATTGAAGTCGGAAAGAATCTCAGACCATTTAAGCTGGCTAGTTCACTTATTACGTAACGTCTGAGATTTTTTAACAGTTCAAACATAAAAGGTTGGAGACAACAGGGGTAAGGTGTCTAAAAACTATAGTTTTTTGTATTACGTAATTATTGAATGACCCCCGAAGCTGGCAAGTTGAATAAAATGAAATTTATTGACTACTTGACTATTTACTTGATTGCTATTTGAACGGTAAATATAGCTTTTTCACAACGGAAGAGCCTGACATTTTTAAGAACATCATGAAATGTTACAAATGAGATTGATAGTGAAGGTCGGTGAAGGATATTAAAGGTCATTGTTTATGCTACAATCAATGAGGTTTGATTTTCAATTAAGTCTGTATACGTTGTATATCTAAAGAGCTTTACTGAAGATGGCATCAATATAATCAAGGTTAAAAGATTGATGGATATTTTACTAGGTTTGTGAATACAAGAAAAACTTAACTATCAAATATGAAAGTTATTTCAAGAATCTATGATATTTTGTAGGATATTTTAAATTTAAAAGTTTTAGATCAGACTATTGCTTATTCCAAAATTTAATTCACTGACATAATCGTTCATCATTACTTCATCAACTAAAAATCTCGAAATCAAAGTAAAGGCAAATCCTTACAATAATTAATATTAGAAATTTAAATAATTATTATTAAGAGATTTTCAGTTAATTTATAAAAAATGGTATTAGAAACATCCTTACAATGAATTTATTTCCAAAATTTGCCACCTTTCACATAAGGAAAGCAACACAGAGAATTAATAATATTTTTCTGTTTCCCTGAACCAGCCAGAGAAATTCACCAAGATTTTTACTTTCACAAATTTTTTTTCCACTCTATATTTTTATCAAGCACCCCTTTTAAACTTTTTTAAGGATGTTAAAAAATTTCCAATAAAGATTTCTGCTTTGCAATTTACATTTTATGTCACTTTTTTAACTTTTTAATTTTTCTTATTTTTCACTTTATTTAAATGGTTTACATCACTGAATGCAGTAGTTCAGCTCTTTGATGTATTTTGTGAGTTATGCACTGGTAAATCTGAAAAATAAAGTTTTTGAATTATTAAAATTGAAATTTACAATAGAAATGAAAGAAAAAATTAAAAAAATGTTGGAATGAATTTTGAATGGAATTCTTTTTAACGCTTTGAGAGTTGAATATGATGGCATGCTTTGTGAATGCATATTTGAAATTTCATAAAAATCCAAAAATTCAATTTAATAATTTTGCTATAAGAACTGATTTTACAAAAGTAAAAACTTCCTTAAGATTCTTAAAATTAACGAAACGATGTATTAATATCTTTAAAGAGGCTAAACTTGAAAATGTTAATTGACTTGCTAAGTCACCTATTTATTCAATTACATAAAGTTTCTATCGTAATAATAGTATTTTAATTAAAATGATACTTGATTCCTAACTCGACCTTTGAAAACTCAAAGTGCAAATTTTCTTCTTGATTCGCATTTCAAGGTTGTAATTTACAACATAGACCTGGGAATTTCAGGAAGTATTATTTTTTCAATTTTTTAAAATTATGTTTATTAATTTTAAAACAATCATTGAACCTTATTAGAAAATCGTTATCTCAAACTCTTGTTCATAGATAACAAAATAAAATTCTTAGTACCAGTATCGTAGTCAGGAGCAGCAATTTAGTGGAAAATAACCGTATTAGATAAAACTTTTGCTCAAATTTTTCAACTCATCCTACCAAAAAAAGGACCTGACTACGTTGCTGCTTAGTATCATTTTAAAAAGGTAAATTAACTTTCGAATATTTTATTATCCTATATAATAAAGCATATATACTAGCATTTCAAGTAAATCTTTAAAATCCCTAAAAATCGACCTAATATTGGATCTCTTAAAGAGAATATTCTTGCAGCTTATAAGCATAAATACAAATGATATGAAAAAGTCATTAAAATTTTAAGTACATCCAAATTAATTTTAAATACGTATTCACGTATGCCTAAGATGGTGTAAATGAATTAATTTATTCAAAAAACTTTTGATTTTATTATTGATTTTTTTGTGTGTTCTTGTAAGCTGCAAATTAAATTAAAATAATCCTTAACTTGTGAAATTGTCTTATGGCAACGAAATATCAATTCAAATCGAATATTTAATGAATTGTAAGTAGATAAATACGCTTACATAGCCTCAGGACAAAGAGATTATTTAAATTTTCATCCATAGAACATTCAATACTTTTCGTCAAGGATACTATGAGGTTATGTATACAATTTCAAGGACATAATATGATGAACTTTTTTTTCTCCCATCGTACACTGTTACCCAGGTGCATCTACCTTTAAATAAAAGTTTTCCCAGAGCTTTTAGTTTCTAACATTTAACATGAGCTTAAGCTCGCAATTATTATTTTTAGCAAATCCACTTGCAAAATTTATGACTGAACATGGAGGTACAAAGTATTTTATGAATTATCTTTGTACACTTCAGGCTTGTTTATTGGATGTAAAAAATATTGTATTTATTTCCTCGCTCTCGTTTCGGTTCTTGCTCGATATTTATAATGTGGAAAGGAAAAAAAATTATTTTGAAATTATTCATTCGCATGCATGCTTAACGATGAAAATAAATTTTCGTAATTAAGCCAATAAAAAATCATTGACTTTGCTAAATTGGGTAATTTCTGTTGCGTTTATTTTCGTTTCATTTGTTTTTCATTGTGGGTTTACTCGTGTGAATTTTTGTTGGAAAAGTAGGGAAGCTGTAATGCTGCTGCTAAATTTATTGAACTTTAGAAAATTCTAATTTGTCTCAAAATCTTCAAGAAATTCAACTTTGATTGGGATAATTATTAGTGCATAGCAAAATAATTAAATTTCTGAAAATCGAGGAAAATGTCAGAAGTCTCTTTGATGCACTTCATCAAATCTCAAGCATGTAAATTATTATAGACCTTGATTAAGGTAAGCATAGCATGAATACAGGGGCGTTCCTAGAAGTTTTTTAAATCAAAAGAAAAATGTTTTAACATTTCTTCAAAAACTCTATAAAATTAAAGAAATTTTTCAATTATACAAGGAGGGCTGACTCCAAAAAAAAACTCTCCGCCCCTTCAAGGTTGCAGCAATTTACATCTAATTGATGAATTTAACTAACGTTTAATGACAGGATAGCAGATTTATTTGTGGTTTCAAATTATTTTTTTACAAAAATAAACATATCAATTATAGGGACACAAACTAGGTCTGATAAAAATTAATAGCTTCACCGATATTTATAAATTCAAACTAGTGTCTAATAAGCTCTGTTCCGCGACAAACGCTGCTTCGTCCAGTAAATTTTATATCTTAGCTTGATTGCACACTTTCAATATCAAATACTACAGCTGTGTCCAAGACACAAAAATGGAAGCTATATTAAAAATACTAGAACGTGAAATAAAAGCAGTTCTTAAAACTAACGCCTCGCTACTTGGCATGCGAAACGTTCCAAATCCCTTAAGTAATTTTACACTTCAACTATTTCCACCTTTTTTTGCTTCCAATATCCGAAAAAAATAAGAATCCTACAATTTAGTAATGCAAAAACACTCTAATTAAATTACTCAGATTTCATTTAGTCTCTCGTATTTTCATATTTGAGATAGCATTTACAGCACAGCAAGTAAACGTGCTGTTGAATTTCAGTATTGAAATAATTGACATTTCTACGAAAAAGACCTTTCTGATTTGTATACGGAATAATAGTAATTTTCAGCATTCATCTCCATGCAATATTCAATCGATTTGCTTTGACCTTCAAAATTAAATTATAAATGACAGACTGTAAAAACCGTATAGATTCATTTTTATGGTGAATAAATTTCCTCTTTTGTCCTAGATAAATTTTCATCTCGTATTTAAATAATGAAATGAAAATCAATATAAATTGTGTTAATTTCGTATTCACTGAATATGAATGGGAAATTTTCATCGAGCATAAAATTGTGGACGTAAATATAAATAATGCGAAAATGAGAAATCGTCTTAAAAGATAAAAAGTTATAACTCAAGTAAATTCACTGTAAGTGATTAGTTTAGGTCAATGACTACTGGGTTAATGAAATTCTATCAACCCTAATTTAGTCAGTAGAAAACATTAAAGTATCCGAGAAGGAACTAAATTAAGAATAATTTTTTACGATTATTCAATTTTCAAAACAATTGCTTTTATTTTCGGAAGTTTTCATTACCATGAATTATAGAACCTTATCGGTTTTGTTTTTTCATTGTTTTGATTGTTCAGAGGCGAAGCTAGGACCGTCGTTTTACAGGAACAGTTTTTGACCTTCCCCCCCCCCCCCCCCCCCAATTTCTAGTTCTGAAAAAAAAAATTTTTGCCTTTGATTATGCGTGAGCAACAAATTCATTCGATTCTTATTCATTTTTAAACTCATTTAGACAGCTTGTGAATACCCTCGCCGCATATTTTTTTCTCATGCTCTTGATACATTATGTAATTTATGTAAAATATAGTGAGTAGAAGCGCTCGTGATTACAGATTTGTGTGCATTCTGTACATATAATAAAGTTCATCAGTTTGTGATTTTTTAAATTTAATAATATAAAGAGTTGCAAGACTTATTGAGTTATGGAACTGATTGAACAGTAAGCTACAGACTGGATTATGTCGAAGAAATTAGAAATAATTTGATTTTAAATTCACTCTTTTATCAAACTATTGGCAACATATTTCAAAATTCAAACAGACTTACACTAGAGTAAAGGGGGTAAAATTATTTTTTTTAATTTTGACCCCTCCCCCTGCTTGATTTAAATTTTATATTAATAACACAAAATACAAAAAAATCTTACGGATTTTAATAAAACTAGCTACTAAGCAGATAAAACTAAGAATAATCCAGTTAAATCTCAGTAAATCTTTCAATCAAAAAATCGATTACCTTATTCAAGTAGCTAATGGAGAGTAATTCAATAACAACCCAAAAATGATAGAGACACATGAATGAATTTATCATATTTATTCATTAGCTGGTAAACACATTTGAAAACAAAATAATTTATTATTTATCATTTGTTAAATAGTAGAAAATAGTCGCTGGTTAGTCACCAAGTGTGATCTCTTAACAATGTCAATTGTAATACTTTTAATCATGTTATTAATCAACATTTTTATTAGACCTGTTTCATGACAATTTACATGCATGTATAGAACGTAAATTATGCAAATTTAAAACGAATCAGAATTAAAATTGTTTTTTTTTTTTGAATTACTCATTTCCTTAAACGAGGCAATAAAATAAATACATTCCGAGAGACACACATCACTCATTTGGTGGCATATTGATTTTTTTTTGTGAACATGAACTTGGTAATCGAACCTCATATCTCTTTATTGCCGGTAAAGTGCTCAAAAGCTGGTTTAGAGCTATCTGAAGTGCTTTTGTTACATTTACTAGTCTCAGGCAAATTTGATGTGGACCCTACAGTGAAATATAATTTATTTTCAGTTTTAGGATGATATGAGAACATCAGATAACGTTAAAAATCAGCACCAAGTCTGAAATCTGATTTTACACTTTTTTGAAAAATTTCTTAGATTTGTGATTTTAATTTTGGATTTTAATTCCCGAACCCCTTCTCACTATCAAGTGAAAATCATTACAAACTCAGCTCACTCAACTCTCAGAAATTTTCCAGGCAAGTCAAATACTACACCGCTCGGTATATAAGCATTAAATATTCACATAAAGTGTTTTGAGTGAATTTTCAATTATCTTCTCGCTTTATAAATTTCAGGCAGTGTACGAAAGTACAACAGTTGTAAGAATCACATTAAAATCCTTTATTTTATCCGAGGTAATTTAATCGGACAATTAGCTTTGCAACAGACATACATAACTCCACTCGTATTTTATGTATGCCTCCCATCCATCCGGAAATAAAAAAAAAGCATTTAAATTATTCATAACATTCAATGACGACACGTTTTTACGATGATGATGATGGAAAGTGAAAAAGAGATGGATGCAGAGATGAAAATAGAAGAAGAAGAATGCTTTTTAAGGTCCAGGTAATCACGTAAAATTTTTCCAGTAAGAAAAAGAAAGCTTTTGGCTCTTAATTATTCACTTCACATAGTACGATAGTAAGCAGATAGGAGGATATGGATAGAAAAAAATTATTTAAATTTCAACTGATGAAGATTCAGCACACAAATATGCTACATTCAATATCCATTATGTGTGCGAGCATAAAAGTCAATAAGTTAGGAATAAAAGAGAAGAAAAAAAACTGTATGTATATGTATATATCAATTCACAATATTATCAGTCCCAGCTGAGCTCTACAACCTCATACTATGCTGCATTTCTGCTATACACACATATATAAAGAGAATGAGAGGCAAGTCAGCGAAATGAGAGCTTTTCTAGTATCCTCCAAATAACATTTTCTTTCTTTCTAAGGTCAGCATTAAGTTTCTTTTCTGTTCTGTTCTGTTCCTTTCTCCTTTACTTCTATGTCGACATTTTTCGATTTTTTTCCCTTCTATGTATTTTTTTTTGAGAAATGGATGCCATCATATCCTTGACTTTTTTTCCATTTGTTCTCTCACTTAGTCAGTCACACTTTCTCACACTCCTGACTGTGTGATGTTATCAGTGATAAGAAAAAAAGGAAAAACTATAGTTTAATGCGTAAAAAGAATCGACTCCATGAGTATGGATATCATTCCAGTCAACGATTTAAAAATAAAATGAGCCACTAAGCTCTTAACGAGAAGAAAAAGAGGAATAAGAAGAATAAGAAAAATGAAAAAAAAAATCAATTTGAAAAAAAAAATCTTTCTTCTCTCACTTTTTTAATCTCATATAAAAAATTTAAACCAACTTTTGTGTCGACACTCTCACTTCCTTAATTTGAATTTAATTTCACTTCTTTCACTGAGCATTAATCGAATTAAAAGCAATCATTTGATGTGGAAAAATGAACCAAAGAACTCAAGTCAATTGATTTTATATTGAATGCTTTTATGCATGTATACATATAGGTATATATTATTTTTTATTAATATTGTAATATTTCCGAGTACTTAAAAAACCGAACTTCATAACTTAATGAACGATAGAAAAATACTGAGTGAAAAAGTTCTGTGGAGCAGTTGAAAGTCTGCGAGCCAGTACAATCATGAGATTGCGCATTTTGGGATACATTTTATTTCTCTGTATCGTGAGCGAGAGAGAGCGAGAGCTTGTTGAGGTTGTTTTCGGCTAAAACAGTATTAAGCGTGTGAGAGAAAATGATTTGTTTTGAAAATGATAACAAGTTTACAAACAAGCTGCTGCTGCTGCCTTTTTTTTCGGGCAGAAATATTCATTATTATGTTTACATAGTTCTTCATTATAATACGGGTTTTATGAATATATTACATTTAAAATCATATGGATTATGCTTATCAGATTGTTATGTTTACTGATAATGCTTTCTGATAAGCTTGAATTTACTAGTTTCGAATTTTCCGGATAATTTTCTTTCTTTCAGAAATAGGGGTTTCCTTTTTTTCAATTTTGAGGTGTCGATACATATTCATAGTATTTTGGACATTAATAGCTGCTTTAAATTGTTCTGTTATTTTTTAAATTAGCTACTAGAACCTGTTGGGTCATTAATTTTTATATTCATTGAATTAAGATGACATAATTTTATCTTTAAAATCTCATTTAATGATACTTTATTGGAATTTATTTTCCGGCATGGGGATCGAAACATTCACTTATGACATACATGATTAAGGAGTATGAGGTATAAAAATCCCATTTTTAATAGACTTCAAAAATTATCGTCAATAAAGTCCAGTTATACAATAATTAAATTAAATTGTAAGTTAATAATTCTTCAGAGTTCAATTTTTTTAAATAAATGCATAGTCCACAGTATCCTCAACTGGTGCAGACGGAATGACAAGTATAATAAATTTAAAATAATTAAATTAACAGCTTTTTTTTTTAAAAAAAAAGCTTATTCAAAGCTTCTTCAACATGAAGTTGACTGCAATTCGAGAAAAGCTTTGAATGTGTTCAGTAGTTAAGTTTATTTCAAATTTTAAACAGTCGTTAAACAACGATAGGGTCCGTTTATTTTTTACGTAACGCTTTTACTTATGGGGGTGTGAGATTTTGTAGCAATTTAAACAAAATAAATTATTCTTGTTACAAATTTTGTGACAAGAGGAGGGGGGGGGGGGAAGGGGGGTCTATTTTTGCGTTACGTTAAAAATGAAAAGCCCTAATGACTAATTGGTCCAAATTTTTTAAATACAAGCATAATCACTGAGGGAGACACTTAAGTTAAATTAATTCACAGTTTAACTCAAACTGTTTCGTTAATTGAACTTTTAAAAATAACAAAGTTTGTTTTGCAATTTAAAGCGAAAAATGTTTTTAACGGAATTTTCAAAATCGGTGACAAAAAAAACAACAATGTTTACATCTAAAAGTTTAAATATTTTTAAAAAACATGAATTTCTTATTTAGATAAGCTTAGTTCTTAGAATCAAAGTGGTGCAATATGCATATAAGCATATAATAAACAGTGTCAAGTTAAAGGATTTTAAAAATATTTCATACTTTTGTGAAACAAGAAATAATTGTGTAAACATCAGTATAGAAAAGAAAAAGTAAACATTCCGAGCTTTATTTTCCTACTTCCCATCGTACGATTCGTTTGTGTTTTCATCTATCAGGTGGTTTTTCTTCGAGCTACAGTGATTTAATATTCATGGAAATAGAAATTTTGAATTAATAATGGAGAAAAGTGAAATTAAATTGGACAGAAGCAATGGCAAGTCAGTGTTTCGGAGATTCCTACATCCTGGTCCGATTCTAACAATATGTAAGTATTATTATTAATAACTCATGCAATTTTAAAAACGAAAATAATCATCCGACCGACGAGCCTTTATGACATTTTTGTCATTGCCTTAAAAATAGACATGCAGTGATCAGTCTCGACTTTCCACAAACGAACAAAACTAGTATTATTCATAGAAATAATTGAAAGAAAAACACCTCAAACAAAAGGATAAAATTAAATATTTGTTGTTTCATTATTGTATCACATAAAATCAAAAAGTACGTCCGGTACTTCACACGAGCAATAAGAAACAGCAAATTAAAAAGATTTTCAGTTTGCGTGCAATTGAATGGTATCAAGATTAGCATAATATAAAGATTAATGATATATAAGCTTTTGTACAACTTTAGTGAATAGAAATGGCAGCACTACTTGTCTTTTATAGTGTGAGGCTTTATTACAGGCACTCGCACTCGATTTTCGGTCATTATTTTAATTAAATCAGAAGCATAAAATTGTACGATAATCAAATCCTTACTAAGGCTGAGTAATAAGCTTCTCGGCTTACTCATTCACAAGTGTTTCGTTGTGGCTGACTCAAGTGACAAGTGAATAGTCCTTATATAATTCTCATTCATTAAAATATTAATGTCACAAGCGTGATATGAGGACTTTTAATGCATAATATTAATGTAAATTTCTTGTTGGTTAAAGAACTCATTATGCCATGCATAGAAACTTTTCAATTATTTCTATCCTTTCTTTATAAAGCTCCTTCAAACACGGTCGTAAAGTATAAAAATATTTGTGTCAAAAAGAAAATTCCGCTTAATGGAAATGTGTTTAATAATTAAAACAACAAGGGTTCGTTGGATGATTGCGTCCAATAAATTTAAAGAGGTGTTGATTTGTCAAGCTACTAGATTTTGTGACACAAAAGGAGGATAAACTTCAAAACGTGTCAAATTTTCAGATAGACATCACTTATATACAACCAAATTGGCTACACAAAGGTGCAAGCATGTCACATTGAAAAATTGCTGGTCTTCACGTGGATGTTCTTCGTCTTCATCAAATTTCATGCTCAATCTACATACAAAATTAGTGCTAATATGACTTGACTGTTATACAATAAATTTAGACATTTAAAGAAGTTGATGATTATAATTGGTAGCTAATAGTGGCTAAAAGGTACTCTAAATATATAACTTGCTAAGTTACTGAATTAAAATAGCACGAATTATTGAAAAACAATAGAAATGTCAAGGAACTGTTGAACGGTTTTGAAATTTTTGTCTTTTCGAGATAATAAGAACTTTGTCTTGTGAACGTCTATACATATGTTCAGACTATTTTAAGCTAATGTCTTGAATCACCGTAACAAAGTCAGCATCCTGAAAGTGCTGATAAAGTTTAATTTAAACAATAATTAACCCAAAACAGTCTTTATTGAGATTCAGAATTTTAAAGATTCAAAGAAGCGTGTCAAAGCCTGTAAATTAGACCAGCTTTTAATGGCAAATTTACCGTCTTTAAAAGATTTATTAGCTCACATTTCTGCACTATATTTGCAAATTAATTCCTAATAAATCATTTGTGACCTTTCAAATTGTGCGACATAAAAAATTTTTAATGATTGCAGGATGTACCGAATAAAAATTACTCATAATAATTGTTGATGTTTTACGATCCATTCTGACTATTTGAAATTAGGATTAATAAATTGCTCGTTTTTCTTATCGCTGCTAACTCATCAATGAAAAATTACCGAGAAGCCACATGCTGACGAAAAGGTGGGAAGAGTGAAGACGGGAAGGAATAGAAAATTATGGGCACGCGAGATTATTAAGTTCCTTTCTAAGCATTAAAGAAAAATGAACTTTTATTTGTTTGAGGAAAATATTAATTGCAGAATGTAAGGAAAGCAATGTCGCGCTATTTTTTTTTTGTCAGGAAAAGTCAGACTGCAAGTCAAGGAACGTACATGTCGAATTTTTTTTTCGAAAATAATAGGGTTGGCTTATCTTAATAGCATATCATTGTCCAGCTTATGAAAACATTTACATTTCATCCAAAATAGCAATTAAATAGCCATTTATTTCCATTTCCTTTACAGGTATTATTAAGTCGATAACACTTCAAACGCTCTACCTCAATTCAATGTGGTTTCCATCACATACATCATTTTATGCATTCCTCAATCAAGCATTATTCATCACATTTTCAGCTTTAACGTCCTTCAATTTTGCCATGACTGCGATAATTGGTCCATCGTACTTACCGATTGGTTGGAAACCAAAAAATAGGAAACATGAGAGTTACCTGCAAATGTGTTCAATTTGCCCCGATACATTTAAAGCACCCCGAGCACATCATTGCCGGAAATGTGAGAGATGTGTCGTCAAAATGGTAAATTCAATTTAACTGCTGATTTTGTTGCAATTCCTAATGTGTTGTATTCTTCTATTCAGGATCATCACTGCCCATATGTTGCAAATGTAAGTTCTATAGTCGTTCAATTATAAAAAAAAATTGATATTTTCCGTGAATAGCGACTTAATTAACAATTCAAATAAACTTATTACTTGCAGTGCATTGGCCACAGCAATCAATCACATTTCATTTGGTTCCTATTCTTAGCTGTCGTCGGATGCTCTCATGCTGCTGTGATTTTAATTTGTTCACTTTATGCTGGACTTTATCGTGACTATTACATTTATCATCAAGAATATGACAAAGCAAATGTAAAGCTTACAACTTGGAGCTTAATCTTAACAATATTCAATATAGGATTAAGTGTGGGCGTTGTTATAGCTGTCGGAATGTTACTTTTCTTTCAATTGCGTGCCGTACTTAGAAACCGAACAGGAATTGAGGATTGGATTCTCGATAAGGCAATTTATAGGCGTCAGGCAATGGCTCGAATTGCACGTGAAAATGGTAACACAAATTTCCAAACAAAACCATTTGTCTACCCATATCATTTGGGACTGAGAAAGAATGCAGCACAAGTACTCAATTTTTCTTGCCTTCCTATTGGCGATGGAATTAATTGGCCTGTAGTTGATGGATGCGATCAATATACACTCACAGTAAGTTCCTAATTAGTATGTTACTTTATAAACTTTTTCTAATGATTAATTATAACTTAGCGTGAGCAACTTGCACAAAAGGCAGAAAAAAGGATGCGAACGAGACGTTATCAAATAGTTTCAAAAGTTACTGGAAGTTGGTTCCCATTATTCTCACATGGCTTTAAAGTTTGTATTCATCCTCCATTTACTGACGAGCCACGAATTAAATTAGATCCAGATGATCTTGTGAATGTCACTCGATGGAGAAAGTATTGGCTGTTTGGTGAAAAAATTCAAGAGCCTTCAGAATCAACTCCTATAGTACAGAATGGCAAGACAAAAGAAGAAAAGCTTGACACAAAACCGAAACGTGTGCGTGGATGGTTTCCAAGAAAAGCGGCTATTGAATTTTTCGAGGACAATGACAGTGATAATAGTGATGATGATTATGAAGACAATGTGGTGGTGGAGAAAAAGAACAAATAATTGTAATGGATATCAACAGCTTTTACGTGATTTGTATGTAGTCTTTTCATCACATAACACTTTATTCCTTTTTTAAGAGCATTAAAAGCATGATAAATTCACATCTTTTAAATAACAAATATTTAGGAGTATAAATAACATAGGATCAAAAAATAAAGATTAAAAATTGTCTACAACAAAATTAATCATTCATTTATTGTAACTGTAAATAATATAAATGAGTAAGAAAGTTAAATCCAAGATAATTCTTTTTTTTAAGCTCTTTCAAAAGCAATTTTAAACTGTTTAATAAGCGCCGCATACTTCCTTTGTAAATCAATTAATCCTAAAAGCTCATTGTTTAGTTGATCCCTCTTTGTCTTTTCATCGTCATGTTTTTTACGGAACTTTGTCTTTGTTGTTGAGATACCTTCAACAATATCCTCAATTTTCTTCAAAAATTGCTCTTTTGATGGAATTGTTGCCATTGCTCTGTAAATCAATATTATTAATTAATTAATTTAAAGTGATTTATCATAGAACTTACTGGTTGTAATTGTCATATAATGAATTGAGGAGTTCCAATTCTTTGCCAATGTAGAGATGTGTGTCATTGAGAGTATTATATAAAGCATAGAACTGTTTAGTTTCTTTATGCTTAGCACTAACTTGATTATACAATTCTAAGAATCTCTTTTGATACTGTGAAAGCTCAACATTATCAGGAATATTGTCCAATTGACGCTGCAAACTTGTAACTGCTCGATTTTTCTTTGCCAATTGTAATCTGCATACTCGAAGCTTTTCTTCTTCTTCCTCTAAAATCTGGTCATATTCAGTAATTTCTTCGTCTGGTGTATTTGCGAGATTTTCAGCTTCTTCAATTTTTTTGTGAAGGTCTGCAATAATTTTTTTGCAGTCGTCTTTAAATGCAATTTCTTCTTGCTTTGTCTTCTCATTCTCTAAAATTAAAGTTTTTATTTGATTTTTTACAGCCTCATCAGCTTCTTTCTCTTGAATCTCCAACTGTCGCATTTTTTCAACAAGCGAATCATAATCATGCTTTAAATTCTCATAAATATCTCCTTCCTTTTTAATATCATCGGATATAACTTCATTTTCTTGAATAATCCTCTGTAATCTTTTTTCAAGAGCAACCTCCATTGCCTCTAATGTTTTTATCTTATTTTGTTCTGATAATTGTTTTGCATCAATTAGCATTTCTTGCTTTAAATTCTCATAATGTTTTGCTATTTCTTGTCGCTCTTCTTCCGTCAAATTTGCATTCTCGTAAATTTCCTAGTTAATTAAATTTTTGGTTTATAATTAAATCCATTAAATCATAAAACCATACAATCGTCAAAAAATTGTAAGGTTTCGAAACACAAAATTTAGAGTGTTTCATTGTTAAACGTGAGTTTTGGAATTGAAGGGTTTTCAGGCATTTAAAAAATTTGTAAAAGCCGTACAACAGATTAAAATTAAACATTGTATGGTTTTAGAAATTAAAAATTTTGGTTTTAACAGTGATGAAAAAAAGCAAGCTACAATTATCCACAACAAGAAATATGCTACATACCTCCTTAGCAAGTGAAAGGTTTTCAATGACAAGTTGCTGAATCTCGTTCTGGAAATTTAAAGCAGTAAAGCACAAAGAGCACACAAGCAAGTTAAAGCCACAAAATAAATACAATTGAAATTTTTATAATCACCTCATGCTGCTCAATTTCATCGGCGAAAACTTCTTTTGCGCCATCTTGTGACTTTCCACTATCAGCATGTCTAGTGATTCCTCGTGATAAGGTTTTAATTCCATACTCGAGGAGAGTCAGCCTAACTCGACTGTATTCTTCTTCAGGCTCAACATTTTGCTTCCTTTTGTATTTTCGTTTTGCAGCATAAATGTCCTCGATTTTTCTTAATAGATTTTGTAGATGTTCTTTTTCAATTTTCTCTTGTTCATTAGCTTTTGAGCTACAGTGATTATTAAATTGTGATATGGCAAATGATTTTAGTCTTTCGGCTTTTTCGTTCCTTAATTTTACCGATTCCGATACGAGCCACTGGATGACTGGAAAAATGCTGATAAAATCCAATCCTTGAATTTGATGAGGTTCTAAGATAAATGGACATTTCATTTGAGGTAAAACAGTCACAACTTGTTCTGTTAATGCTCTGAAAGTTAAAAGATCCAGTTATTAAAATTAATGTAATTAATTTATTTAATAAACTTACATTTTCTGACCTATCGAGAGATTTTCATGAAACAAAAGATCTACATCTACATCAAACTCACAAGCTTCAATGCACCATGTCATTCCACCAATAACTTTGTCAAAATCTGACAGAGTTTTAATCATCACTCGAAAATATCCAGCTGATAACAATAAATCCAAGATTTTCTTCCTGCATTGCGATGCTTCAGTATCTTCTCGAATTTCAACATCAATTTCCCTTCCATCTGCATCGAATCGAGTTCTTAGCTTAATATTTGGAATGACTTTTGCGAATATTTGCTTGTTAGACATTTTAAGTTTACAGATATCATAAATATAAACAGATGACATACAATATTACCAGAAAGGCATTAACAGATGATTGGGGAATTCAATTATTTGGGTAATATCTATGAGCACAAAAGCATGTCTATGCGAACATGCTTGATAAAAAAAATTGTCAGTTAAAACGGTTGCATTTCGAAATTTAAACCATAGAAATGTTGAAAACTGTTCAAATGTTTATTTTTTTGAAATTCCAATCACACTTTTCCGTTACATATTTTAGAATTTGTAAGGTTTTTAGCAAAAAAAGCATCCATTTAATCTCTCAAAAATGTCGACTTTATTTCTCTTTTGTAAGGTCCTGATATGGTCTATAAAATAATATTTTCTAATTTTTCTTTATTTTAGTGGTTTCAAAATTTTGTCTCTTTGGCCACATTAATTAAATATATAATAGCATCACATTGCATGTTAATTTACATTAAGCTCTCAGATATGAGATAAAGTATGGATAAACACCCAAAAGATCATTATGAACAAATAAAAGCTTAATTAAATTGATTGATTAATAGGACAAACTTATCTTTTTGTGATAATAATCTAATTAAATTGATGGGGAATGACACATGATAAATGTTTTTTTTTTTCTTTAAAATTAATTAATTAATCATAAGCATGAAGCAAAAGCTTCATATAAAATTGTCTTGATATTGAACCATTCGGAATTTGTTGGGAGTAACGCATCAGCAGATCGATAAGCTCACTTCCACTCAGATAATATTCAATGCTGTGAAATAAGATATCCCATGTGAGAATTCGGTGGACATTCTTGACATCATTGATCTCATCGCATTTTAAGCACTTGAATTTTCCATGATTTATTGCCATAATATATTCATCGAGGAGTTGATGAAAGAGGGAAATGTCGTTAAAATGTTCTAGTGACTTATGTAAAATCTCTAAATCACCCAAGTTTATGGCATATAAAATCATCTTATCAAACTTTTTCTCATCTGTTAAGAACTTTCCAGTGATTTTGAGTAAATGTGGCAACGAACGACACAGTTCATAGCACTTTTCATATTCTCCTCTCGACCAATAAAATTGCTGTAAAATATTTGCAATATCTTCGTATCCTGTGCCACTTGTTCCACAATTTAATGGAAATTCACAGCGTTTACATCGACTAACTTCATTCACGTGATTCTGTACTTGCAGCAATGCATCGGATATATAATTTAATGTTTTCTCATCATCAATTTCAAAAATAATTTCAGGTTGTAAATACTCGAGAAACATTTTACACACAACTCTCCTCGATTCCTTCGCATTGTACTCATCATTCTCTATAAATAACTTCTCCAACTCATCCAGTATGCGAATAATTTGTGAGCTCTTAAATCGATCAAAAATCTTACTAAGTCGTTCGCGAAAATTTAAATTGCTTACGAGTGACGTTTGGTGTATGATGTATAATTGTTTTACAGCTCTATCGACCTCAGCGGATGTGATGCTTAATGAATCCTCTTCTTTTTGCTTTGTGATTGGCAACATTTGAGGAATTTCGTCTACCTTTTCATTATTATATTCATCCTCTTTGTCCATTGATTTATTGAAGAAATTCTTGCTGAGTATGACAACATTTGGGATTCTTGTGCTTGTTAGTTCATCAAAAATATCAGACAATGACTTGAGGAGTTCACTACGTTCATTTGCTATGAGATAGTCACGAATTTTAAGGAATGTTCTGTATTGATTCATTTCAGAAATCGTGCGCGAATTACGTATAATGCGTGCAAAGAATTCAACATTATTTTTAATTAAGTCACATGCTTGCATTATTTTCTCAGAATTGCATAAAAATAGCGCATAATGCTGAAGTTTGTAAAATCTGAGTTCAATTAATCGACCGTCTTTTAAATACAAGTAGATTGAGCTGTTTTGAATGATTTTTGCATTAGCTATCGAGCCATCAAATTCATTATTCCAAAATATGACTTTTGACTCTTTTGGATCAATAATGTAAAATCCAGAAGAGTTCCAAGTAAAAACGAATCTATTATCTAGTGGCAATGCCAATTGAAATTGGTGAATCTTATTAAATAATACTGGTGATGAATCAATCTCATGGCTTCCCATTATGGCTATTTTTTGAGCTGTGTAATTTGCATTCTTATATTGATGTGTCTTTAATACATTGCCATTTAAATCTACTTCCCATAATCGCATGCCTGGACGACATGAATAAATTTTTATATTTTCAAGCAACATCTTTTCAAAGACCTCCTGATCAATTGTTGTTAATTTATTTTGTTGTGCTTCAAGTGCCTCATAATCAGCTACAAAACATGCTCCAAACTTTCCATCTCGTGGTCTATTTCCAATCTGTTTAAACTCCTCCTTCTCATTATTACATAAAATTGTCTTTGTGGACGATGACACTAGGAGGAATTCATTGAACCCATCAATCTGCTCTATGACACCTTCAAGTTCATTCAGTATTGAGTTTACATGAATATTTATCAAGTTACGTCCAATAAAGTATGATAATGTAATGACTGATAAATTTCCAGAAATATCTCCACAGTAAATCTCATTGTCCGAGTAATGCCAATAGAGTGCTGAGCATGGTGCTTCCAATTTTCCAAAAGCTGTTCGCGATAATAATGCACTGCTTTTCAACGAATGCACAGCGATATCACCAAAAGCATTCGAATAAGCAATACATTGTTGATCATTTGAAATTTTTATATGAGTTATTGGACCTGTACAAATAAAGATTATGTCATTATGTCATTCAATCAAAATCCTTATCTAAAAAATTCATGCCTGTCTAATTATATTAAATGTAAGCAATTATTTACCTCTTATACTTTGACTTCCAGTGATTGCTTTGAAAAATGCATACGGATGTCTTTTATAAATAAATAATGCACCAGTGCTCTTGTCTGTTCCATAAACTATCAGATCTTTAGAAATATCGATACTTTTGTACTGTGAAACATAAAAAATCAATAGTCAATTAGTTTTATATTTGCGTACTTTCCATGTTTTGCACGAATATTCGGTAATTATCTTGTGCTTACCACTGATGGTTGCTTTGAAGTGATATTATTGATGCTTAAATAGTATTTTTGATCTATATAGTCTATTTCCATTATTAAATAATAATTTTTCGAGAAATTATGAAGGAAAATTTCTATACACTAAGATTCTTCTACAGCTTTATACCCATTTAGCCTCCTTCATATGAACTTGGTTTCACTTTGTCCAATCTGATATTTTTTTTACTGGATGTTTATCAAACTTTGAGATTCATCAAAATCATTGAGTTTTTAAGGATTTTTTGATGAAACGATTCACACAAATTATTGATAATATATTGAATTTTACTTTCTGATCACTTTCACTATTTAAATCTGCTTAATTTCTTTAAAAACTTTAATTTTCAATAAGATTGTTTATATATAATTTTTTTTGTTTACAAAAATTCAACTGTCAGAATTAATTTGAGTTTTACTTTTCAAAGATTGTTTGATTCAAATATTCAAAGTACGTTATCATCAAAAAAGTTTAATTAAAGTGCAATTTTGGAACAAAATCAGCTGTTTTTAAGCAAAAATGAATTAGACGAGGTTCTGTTACTTATTCTAATAAATAGGGGGTACATAGCGTGTAAATTGAGTAATTTTTTCACGAATTTCATTAGTCAACATCAATTCCGTGCATTTTGCGTGGAATTAAGAACGAGAGAAGAAAATTAAAATTTCAATGTTATCAGTTCATTAATAATACTAAAGCAATCAGAAACATCTAAATCTTAGAGTATCCTTTCGGGTTATTATAATTATTTAGTCATTTTTGAACGTGAAAAGTGAGAAAATAGCTTAAAAAAGAATTAAAAACTTTAACAAAGAGAAGAAAAAAACGCAAAAAAAACTTCCAGTGAAAAAAATTATAATCCACGAAGCATATAATATAGAAATTAGTAGTACAATATGTACTCTGATGATGAAATAGGTATCGATTCGGGAAATGTATCGTCAGAAGAGGAAGATAATTATGATTTTATGGATGTTGATGCTTCAACGCAAAGATCATCGTCAAATAATCAAAACGACCAATTAGAATATCCATATGAAGTCCTTACAACCGAAGAAATTGTCCAGCATATGCTCGATTGCATAAAGGAAGTAACAAATGTTGTAGAGGTAAGCAAAGTGCCATCAAAACCTTTGTGGAAGTGAATTTATCTGATGTTAAGCTTCTCTTGAGCATTTCTGTAACTCTTTTTATTTTTTTTGATTCACCGTTACGTGATTTCAATGACTAATAGTGCAGTAGTGAAGAGAAAAAGTATCAAAACACCTTGCTTATAAGAATTCTGTCTATATCTGTATGCTATTTATAAAATTAAATATTTTTTGTTTTCATTACTAAATTGTTTTGGCTCTGCTCTGCTCACATGAGTTTTCTTATCAGACACTAGTAAACGTTTTAGTCTCAACGCTTTCCAACTCTTCTTCTTGCTAAAAACCAAAAAAAAAATTCTCTTTCATTTCACAATTTTTCGTCGTCAAAGAAGATTTCATGAACTGTTTTTGTAAAGAAGAAACCAAAACGTGTAATATAGATTGAATGAATCAATTTAGAAGGAAAACAGAAAAATATTTTTATTCTCTTCTCTTGTTCTCTGTGTGATTTTTGATTTTAAATCTTATTATTTGTGATGAATAATTTAATCGGATCAGTTTTCCATTCAAATGACATCATTTTGTTTTCCCTCTCTATTCCTCATATCGACTTATAATAATGCAATGAGTCAATGAAATTCCACAATGAAAATTTTTCCTCTCTTCCTCTGCATATATATCTATGATATTCACTTCATTGTGACCCAATTTACAAGATCAATGCTACTTTACTCATTTTACACGAACGCAGTGAACGAAAATTCAATCTATGAATTTACTGAGCAGCTTAAAGCGCCTTTTTTCTGGTATTACTAGCTGTTATTATGTCTTATTACTTGTATTGTCATTGGAGTGAAGTTCATAGCAACGTGACTAATGTACACAAAAAAAAAACAATTTTTCGGTTCCATAAAACTAGGTTTTAATGCTTTTAACCAGAAATATGTACTTACAAACAAACGACCTTAAAAAATTCAAATTCTAAAACCGTACAAATTATTTAAAATGTTTGAAAACAATACAAATTTTGTACTTTTTTCAAAACATTTGAAAGGTTCTTAAACTTGAATGCGTCAAGAATGCCTAAGAATTTTGTGTACACTTGAACAAATAATCAAACTTTATGTAAATAACTTGAGACTCCAACATAATTAATTTAAAGTGTCACATTATGAAATTAGAAAATGTGATGAGGAAAAATACAGGAAAACTTTATAATTATCTAGAAAAGCTCGTCTAATGTTTATTATTTTAGGTATAATATTTCACTATCTACAAACGACTGACACTGAGTGATGTCACTAATCAACATCTAAATGCAATATAATACATCCAAAAAAACTTTGTTTGTCGTCTTTCTAGATTCCAACAACGACGACGAGAATATTATTAAATCATTTTCGATGGGATAAGGAGAAATTGATGGAGAGATTCTACGATGGAGACCAAGAAGCATTATTCAAGGCAGCACATGTCATCAATCCATACGTTAAACCAAAAAAAGAGCCAAAGGTACACATTCAGCCATGCTAATAACCTTCAATACACGCATTTTTACAATTTCAAGATGATCGCGATGAAACGTTTACGGAAGAAAATTCTCATTTCTTAATTATTATTATTTTCATCTCCGACGATCAGCACTTGAAGATCATTTTCTTTATTTTATATTTCAATGACTTCTTTTGTGACATCATAATTGAGACTGTTTTCTCTTTCATTCGGACGACCTTTTAGACTTTTCGCTGCTCTATGATGGAAGACTGTGAAATTTGCTTCCTAAAATATCAGTACACTAGCATGACAGGACTACAATGTGGTCATCGCTTCTGCAAATCATGTTGGGTTGAATATTTAACAACAAAAATAATGGAAGAAGGTTTATGCAAATCGATTGCTTGTGCTGCACATGGCTGTGGTATGCATCATCTTCAATTTTATTTTATTCATTTTATTTGTTGCCATATAGAGCACAGATGTAATTAAATCACTATATTTATAGATATTCTGGTTGACGATGTTACTGTAATGAGTTTACTAACAGATCAAAGAGTCCGTACTAAATATCAACAACTTATAACAAATAGTTTTGTGGAATGTAATCGTTTATTACGTTGGTGTCCATCTGCTGACTGTAGTTTTGCCATTAAAGTTCAGTATGTTGAGCCAAGACCTGTCATATGTAAATGTGGCCATACCTTCTGTTTTGAATGCGGCGAGCAATGGCACGATCCCGTACAATGTCGACTGCTGAGAAAATGGATAAAAAAATGTGATGATGACTCGGAAACGTCAAACTGGATTGCAGCCAATACGAAAGAATGTCCCAAATGTAATGTTACAATTGAAAAGGACGGTGGGTGTAATCACATGGTAAGTCTTACTTAGTCGTTTTAAATTAACTCATGCTAATTACAATCTATCGTTGGATCTATGTATAGGTTTGCAAGAATCAAAACTGCAAGCATGAGTTCTGTTGGGTATGCCTTGGAAGTTGGGAACCGCACGGAAGTTCATGGTACAATTGCAATCGATATGACGAAGATGAAGCTCGTGTTGCTCGTGATGCACAAGAAAAGTTAAGATCCTCTTTGGCTAGGTAAATTGAATTAAAATTAACTGGTTTAACATTCAAATCAGTTAATTAAGAATTTGTTTTAGATATTTGCATTATTACAATCGTTATATGAACCATATGCAATCACTGAAATTCGAAAGCAAACTCTATGCATCAGTCAAAGTAAAGATGGAAGAAATGCAGCAACATAACATGTCATGGATTGAAGTGAATATTAAAGCTTTTCATTGTCCACAAGACAACTAATCAAAATTTAAATGTTTAATTCATTTCAGGTTCAATTTTTAAAGAAAGCTGTAGATATTTTATGTCAATGTCGACAAACTCTAATGTGCACTTACGTGTTTGCTTATTACTTGAGGAAGAATAATCAATCGATGATTTTCGAAGATAATCAAAAAGACTTGGAGTCAGCCACTGAGAAATTGAGTGAATATCTCGAACGTGACATCACGAGTGAAAATTTATCTGATATAAAGCAGAAAGTACAAGATAAGTATAGGTAAGTGGATTTATGAATTACTTATTCCATTGCTTCGTTTGGGTCCAGTCTGTTTACGGAAAAGCTTCTTTAATAATTTTCACTGATTAGATTACAATTTGTGTTCCTCTTATTAGTTCTTTTATTGCAAATTAACGTTAAAACAGATGTTTATAAAGTTTTGTACACTGATAAGGAGGCTAATAGAAAATTACTGACCTTATTACCTTGCTTTTAAACAAATTATGATGATAGTATAATTATTATTTTATTATGTTCAAAATTATTGCGGAACGGCTTTATTCACAATTACTTCTTGATTACGCTCGGATTTTAAAAAATGACGAAAAGGAAATTCCAAGTAGTCAGTAGTCGACGCGACATGGAACATTTTGCATAATTTTTCTTAGAATATTACCATGTAAAGCTATAGATTCTCTACATTATATGCTATGTAAACTCAGCAGTTCTCTATCAATAAGTAACGATGAAATTATCATTTTTGATGGATGAATGAAAAAAGCTTTATATCGATTATACAGACGAATATGAGTTGCCATTCAGATTTGCATGCAAAATTTATTCAAAATATTCTGCTTTTGACAATTTTGCGAGTCAATATTTTTTATTGCCTCCGTCTGTTTTTGGAGGAGTTTATTCCACTGACTCGTAATGTTTGTTTGGATATTTTATAAGTCAATTGTGTTTAAAAAAGTAAAATGATTTTAATAATTACTCATCATGCAGCTGTAGGGGAAATTCGCTTGATGCATGATCAGCGAAAATGGCTTGAAAAATTGGATTTAAATTTTTACCGACTTTTTTAAATTTAAATTCATAACGGTTTTTCCTAAATTCAAATTTTCAAACTATCTTCATTCTGATTTGAATTTTAAAAGTTCGATATATTTAAAATAACTTCAATTTTTTACATCTAATGATCGTTTCCTTAATTTAATCCACAGATACTGCGAAAAACGAAGGAAAGTTCTTTTGGATCACGTACATGAAGGATATGAAAAAGATTGGTGGGAGTATGTCGAATAAGATCTACTAGAAACTCAACAATTATCAGCTTTTGGTTAATAATGTCAATACGAGTCTGTCGATAGAAATCATCAAAATGTTTTTTGTTCCTTCATTTTCACCTTTTAATTCTTTGTTCCTTTTATACTTTCCTAATCATCTTTTAACGTACTAAATTCATTATTTCTTTTTATGCCAAAATAGGTAATGTTGCAGCATAAACTTCCTAACAATTTCCTTTATTTTTTACATCGTACCTGAAAGTATATCTTTCTGATAAAAATGAATAATAGTAATAATATATTCTTTTTAGATGATCAATCGATAGACTTTTTCCTTCCTTTCCTATTTTCAATGTTGATTAAAGAAAATTTAACAAGGAACATAACAACAACAACAACAAAAACAGTGATAAATGCGATCGTTAATTAAATCAAATTTAAATGATGCTCTAAATTTATTGATTCGCTTATGATGAGCATTGTATAAAGATTTTTTATGATTAATAATAATGCGATGATGTTGGCTTAATTATGTTGAGAATTTTTCATCTTGAATAAGATTTAAAAAAAAAAAGAAGTAAAAAGATAAATTTTTTAAAAATTTAGCCGTCGAATTTCTCCTGAAATAACTTTGTTCCCTTCTTATTTATGGGATGAGCTACGTTTTGGTATTTTACTCCTGACTAGTTAATTAATAACATCCAAATATTCACTGCCTGATAACAATGAAACATTAGTTTACTTAAATGGTATATTAAGTACAAAGTACATAAAATCGGAACTATAAATGACATGAAGCACTTGAGCTATTTTTGTTTACTTTGAATATTGTCTAAGCTAGTATAAAATAAAGATTGTCAACTGGTCAGGAGCAGTTCTATGCTCCAGGCGTGTAGCTATCCCTTAATTCGAATCAAATTTTTGTAGTAATTTTCATAACTTTAAGACAATTTCTGTTCTATTTGAATTTTAACTCGAGCAGCATACGTTCGGGTCCATTTGACACAAAAGAAGCATATTGCTGTAAAAAAAATCCAATCTAATCAAACTATTAAGAAAAACTTTATATTTTTTGCTTGGATTATGGTTATTCCTTTTTAAATCCTTTTGAAAATGAAATAAAAAAAAACTTGAAAAAGAGTTACAATAAAGATGAACTTAAATTATGAATCAACATATAGTAAATCCCGATAAATGTAAAGTTTAATAAAATTTTAATTAAATTAACTGTATGACACATATGCAGATGAAATAAAGAGTCCTTTTAAAGAAAACATAAACATTTTTGGAGTTTTGATTTTATTTATTTCCAGATCATAAATAGCAGTTATAAACTTTTAAATTGATGATTTGTCTAACGGATAAATTTTGTTTGAATTTTAAAACACTTCAACAGTTTTTAAGAAAACCGTATTAATTGGTAATTTTGAGCAACATTTTGAAAATTGTATGTAAACTTGAAGTAGGTAGATAAAATCGACAATTGGATAATATTTTAGCTAGTTTGCTTGATATTTCAATATTATAGACCAAATATTTAAAGAAATTTTCAACATTTAACAATGATATTAAATTTAACAGCCATTTTTTGTTTGAATTTCAAAACCTTACAACAGCACAAATAATTTTTGAATGTTTAAAAACCGTTAAAATATAAAATTCTACAAGAAGAAGCAACTTGATACAGATACTAGGTAAGAAAAATACCAATTACCAGCTTAGAATCAATTAATAAATATAAAAAAACTATTTTAATTGTAGATAGAATTCAATTAAGAACCATTTCATAATTTTCAAAGTTTACAAGTACGTTACAAGATTAGTTGAACAACAAAACAGTAATTTTCTTGCTTAATACCCTGTATAATGTGGTCTAAATAATTCAATATTTCATAAGATAATTTTCACAAGCACAACACAACATGACATGCATTACAATCACAATTGCATGACAAACTCTTCAACCATCTTAAAATCTCAAATATCCAAACCAAATTCCTTCAACCACTTTAGACCATCAACTGTGCTTGTCAATGGCTTATATTCTAATCCAATATATCCATCGTATCCAATTTTAGAAATTTCTGCCAGGATATATTTATAGTTTAATTCTCCGTCCGTATTTGGCTCATTTCTGTTTGGTGCTTGAGCAATTTGGATATGGCCGATGTATGGTGCGAAATCTTTTAAGCTATTAATAATGTTACCTTGAATCATTTGAAGATGGAAAATATCCACCATAAGCTTAATATTATTACTTCCAACTTTTTTTATAGCCTCAATAGCAAATTTATAATCTCGAAGAAAATAACCAGGCACAGAATAATTGTTGATTGGTTCAATAACTCCAATCATACCTTCTTTTTCTAAAAATGGTGCTGCATATTTTAAATTTGCGACAAAAGTTTCACGATTCTCATTTGTTGGTGAACTTTCAAGCTTTCCACTCATCAAGTGGATCTTCTTGCAATCAAACTTCTTCGCAAACTTGACTGTATTCTCAAGTCTTTGATGAAAATCATTTTTTTTATTAGGCATTGAAGCACATCCAAATTTTGCATCATCTAGTTCAATATTCACTAATGCCACTTCCAATTTACTTTCAACTTTTATAGCCAACAATTCATCATGATTAATATTACTCTCAGGAAATGGATGTTCCACTGCACTAAAGCCAGCTAGCTTAGCTAAACGATACTGCTCGAGAATATTTGACGATTCACGAAAGAGAAATCCAAGATTAGCGCTAAATCTCATTTTGATTGACATGACAAGTTTTCACAGCTACTTCAAAAAAAGGCGATCGAGCAATGAATGCGATAAGAACTGAATGTTTTAATTGAAATTTGTCTCTCGATTGCGGTTTATTGTTTATTTTTTGTTATCAAGCCTGAGTGTTTTTTCGTTTTCCGTGTGACTGCAGACGGTAAAACTTCGTTTTAATTGCCAACCTCGATTTATTGCCACCTGCCGAATAAAATTGTTTAACAACATTCGGAATAGATTTTTGCACAATAAAACCCATTCAAATTCATTTAAATTAACTTTTATTTCATCAATTCTTTATTATCGGGCCATAATTACGACACGAAATGATAAGAGGTTTTTGCCAACTGCAATGTATCTAAATATATGAAAAAAATATATATAATTTTAACTTATAATATGCAATAATAATTAGTAAAAAGATTAAGCAGCAATAACTTTTTCTGGATGGAGGTTCTTTTGTGAATGATTTATCTTATCTCCCAAGCTTAATGCCATTCCCTAAAAATCAAAAAATTCTCATTTGATTTCATCTTTAAAAAAATACTTTAAATTTTACCTGGCTCTTTGCACGAATTCTTATATGTCCTGTAACAGGTGCGTCTGGATTATCAAAAGGCTTCTCAATACTAAGATTTGCTAATGCATCCTCGCCAAAAATTGATTTTGCATACATATTTGCAGCCATAAAGCCACACTGACCCGATAAAGCCTTTTCTGGTGTTAGACATTTCATGTTTGTGCTCTTAAGTAATACACGAAGATATTCATGAAGATCAGTTATTGTTGTATTAACAGCAACCTTATTCTCCCATTCAAATTCAATCCACATTGTACGGAATTCAGCATCTGTACATGATGCAGGAATGATATAGTCCATAATGTCAATATGAATTGTGTTGAGGACGACGACAGTAGTTGAATTTGACGTGTCATAAACTATAAAGGAAAAAGTTGGTTAATATTTTAAAATGTTTCGAAACCATAGAATTGTTTTGATTTCAAAACCTATCAAATGTTTTAAATATGAATTAAAATTGTTCATTTTGAAACCTTTCAAATGTTTTAGAATAAAACTTTACAACAGTGAAAATGTTTAAAATCCCTTCAAATGTTTAATTTTTGAATTAAAAAAATACGTTGGCATTTAATTAAAATTCGATGATAAAATCAAAATCTTTTACTCACCAATATTGCCAAAGATGATTCCATTTTCAGTAGATGATACTTTAACATTAGCTTTAATATTACAAAAGTCGTGGGGAGCAAGAACAACTGGCTGTGGACGTTCGACTAACTTTAAATCACCAACGGTAGCTAATTCTAAAGTGCAATTTTGGAGAGTATCGCCTAAAATAAACACAAATTTCTTAGTAATAGTTTCAATAGATATTAAGTTTTGTCTTGACTTACTAGTTTGATTAACGATAAGAACATCAATAACGACGTCAAATTGATTCACTGTCACGTATGCTTCAGCATAAACGGGATCAGAAAATCCAGTTAATTGTGTAATCTTATTCAGCTTGCTGCTTGAGACAATATCAGATATTCCAGTGGATTTTGTGCCAGCAAGTGCTTGATTTAAGCTAGATTCGAAAACATTTTCGCCCAATTGATCATTGCGGCTTGTAGCAAGTTGTGTAAAAGCAATAGGGTCGTCAGCTTGAACTTTTGCAGCTTGCTTCTTCTTACTCTTTTTTTCTTGCATTTCTTCGTCAGATTGTGCAGTGAGCATATTGGCGAGAGCTTCACGGCATGAATCCTTAAAGACTTGAACAATTTCTGGAGTTCTTTCACTCAATGTTTTCAAGCACAAGAAAATTCGATCTAAATCATCATTTGTGATTTGCTTTTTTGGGAATCCAGATTTTCCCAAATGCATAATCGAACTCATAATCAGCATAGCTGTTGTACAAATACGATTACGTTCAATATCTTTTGGTTCCCAATCAAAGTATTTCAATACCAATTTCGTTAATGTTGCTGCTAACGTGGTTCCAACAAAGAAATCTCCATCCATTAAATATTGTCTCAATGGTGGACGATTTTCCTTCTTTGTAGTTGCAGGCACACTAAAAGCACTTTGTGTGGCATAAGTTCCATCAGAAGTAATCTTTGTGCTGCTTGATGTTACTGCACTTGGACCATTTTGTTGTTCACTCTCAGTATTATTTTCTGAAGTCAATTTCTTTTGCTCAATTTCAACGATTGGAACTTCTCCAAGAGTCTGTTGAATGACATCAAGCACTTCAATAACTTCCTTTGCACTTGCTGCATATTCACCGAGAATCCACATTGCTGAACGATGAATTTTAGTTGATTTAATTGATGGGAATGCTTCTAGAAGTTTTTCGATAATTAATGAACGTAAAGTTGGGAACTTTTCGATAGCTTCTCGAATAAAAATGAGAACATCAGCAGATGCAAGTTCATTAGTGTCTGATAAGAATTCAACTAAAGCTGGAATGACAGTTTGAGCAACATCTGGGAACTTGATACTACATGTATGTAAAGTTCTAACAAGCAATTGGCGATATTTGCCTGTATCTTCATGCTCAATATTGTGAGTTTTGGCAACTTCCTTCTTCAATACTAGCACCATTTCCTCAATATTTCTTGATGAAACTAAGTCCATTGCCAAAGTTAAAGTTTTACGACGAACTTCAATGTCAGTCGATGTTAAAATTCTCAAAATATCCATAACTAAATCCTGCATAACACGTTCCATATGCTCATTCTCTTTCAAAGCAATTAAACGATCCAAAACGATAAGTTTGACATTGTTATCTGCTTCCTTTATGACCAATTCAATATAACAACTTACAGCTGCTTTAATGGCTGTTGGTGCTGTAGATAATGTAACTAAAGTTCCAGCGGCTTCATAACGTACAGCATTAGATGTTGAATTTAATAAATTATAAATGCAACGAATGAAACGTGATCGCTCATTTGGATTTGTATGACAAACTTTATAAATTAATTCCACAATGACAAGTTGAAGAATGTCACCAAAATTATGCACTTGATCTAAACATGATGCCAAATAGTTTAATGCTCTTTCTTGATCAGCATGAAGTAACATGAGGAATGCATTTCTCTTACAAGACATGTCTTGTTGTGTATCGAGGAAATTAGCAATCAATTCTGGACCGTCGGGAACTAGCCATTCAAAATTCTTGTAAATTGTGAAAATGGCTAAAACAGCATTACGACGAACGTAGGAATGACGATGATCTAAACATGCGCGAATAGCAGGCATTAAAGGTTCCAACAATTCAGGTTCCTTTAGTTTACATAAAAACCTTAAAGTTGAGCCACGAAGAAACTCATTTGGATGTTGAAGATCCTTGCGATAAGCATCACAAACGAGAATCATTTCATGTAACAACTTCCCATCACCAGAAACTTTCGGAACAATCTCCCAGTAGATTAAGAGCAATTTTTTAATTGTATGATTTTGCAGTGGAAGTACAAAACGAATTATAGTCATCAAAAGTCCAGGAAGTTTTTCTCCATTCAGCATCAATTGAATTACTTTCTTCAGTGTATCAATTTTCGTTCCTATTTCACCTTTTTCTGTAATATTAAGTTAAAAATTGGTCATAACAAAATTGCTGGATGTAAAAATGATGACATTTTTCCGTTCTTACCTAAATCTAACTTTATTTGCATCTCATTGTAAGGCTCCATATCCGGAACATTAATGATCGTGTAACACGCACTTTCTGCAAGCGACATGATGAATATTTACTTTATTATCCTTGTTATTTCTTTAAATAAAATCAAATTATTAATTTTCAATTTATTTGATATACGTGTCAACAAAACTTCTTGATGATTTCAGTGCCCTCTACACAACTTTGGTTGCTTTCACATGATAATCATTAAAATTAATAATTTCTTCATATAATAAAAATTATCTTAACATATTATGGCTTGTCTATAGACATATTCATGATATCTATTGATTAATTAACGACTTTTTGAGTATCATTTAGTAGATTTTGCGAATTTTCGTTTCAACCGTTTTTTAAAATTCAAAACCCGGTTTATCGGTTTTTATTGTGGTAAATACTCAAACCGGTCTGTTGAAAACCCTAAGTTCTTCTAAGATCTTGGTCAATTTATTTTTGTGTGAATTCTGTTACTTTAATTAAGTTTAAAATGTCGCTTTTACGTTTACCAACATCCATGTTAATGAATCAACAACAAGGTAAAGTCAGAGTATTCAATTTACGTAACAATTCCTTTACAATAATTTAAAGTTCCAAAGTCCACTTTTTCGTCTCATAATCCAAAATATTTTGATATCGTATCGACTAATCCACAAATATTTCCTACTTTATTCAGTGATTCGTACGCTCAGCACAACAGCCTTTATATCTCAGAAGAAGCAATTCAAGTCTAAAGCACCACAAAATATTGTCTTGGTAAGATCCATAAAATACTCAACATTTTTTTATAGCTTATAATGATTTCCTGATCTCAACAGGTTGATGGAGTTCGAAGCCCATTTTTGATGTCAGGAACTGACTACTCAAAATTGATGCCCCACAATTTGGCTAGACATTCACTTTTAGAATTATTGCGCAAAACTGGCGTTGATAAGGAAGTGATTGATTATATTGTGTACGGTACAGTCATACAGGAAGTCAAAACATCAAATGTTGCTAGAGAAGCTGCTTTGGCTGCAGGATTTTCTGATTTCACACCAGCACATACGGTGACAATGGCATGTATCAGCTCGAATCAGGCAATTAGTACAGGAATAGGTTTAATTGCAAGTGGAACTTACGATTCCGTTGTTTGTGGTGGTGTAGAATTTATGAGTGATGTACCAATCAGATTAAGCAGAAAATTCAGAGCTTTATTGCTTAAATTAAATAGAGCAAAAACAGCTGCTCAACGACTCACTCTTTTATCGTCATTCCGTCCAAGCTTCTTGATTCCTGAATTACCGTCCGTAGCTGAATTTAGCAGTGGAGAAGTTATGGGACATTCTGGTGATCGCTTAGCATCGGCATTTGGAGTCACTAGAAAGGAACAAGATGATTATGCTTTGAGATCACACACATTAGCCAAACAGGCACAAGAAAATGGATATTTTACAGATTTAGTTCCATTCAAAGTTGATGGTATCGATAAAACTGTTAGTAAGGATAATGGAATTCGTGTGTCAACTCCAGAATCATTGGCTAAATTAAAACCTGCTTTTATTAAACCTTATGGAACCGTCACAGCTGCAAATGCATCATATTTAACTGATGGAGCTTCTGCATGCCTAATTATGACTGAAGAAAAGGCAAAAGCCTTAGGATTGAAACCAAAAGCTTATTTGAGAGACTTTATGTATGTTTCACAAGATCCAAATGATCAATTACTTTTAGGACCGGCTTATGGAATTCCTAAATTATTGAATAGAACAGGATTAACATCTAAAGACATTGATGTATGGGAAGTTCATGAAGCTTTTGCTGGACAAATTTTGGCTAATTTGAATGCTCTTGATTCCGATTATTTCTGCAAAAACTACTTAAAGCTTAACCAAAAATTCGGAGCTCTCGACATGAACAAATTCAACAATTGGGGAGGGTAAGCTAATAACTTAATTATTCAAATTGTCTATAAAATATTAAAATCTCAATTAATTAATAGATCCTTATCAATTGGACATCCATTTGCGGCAACAGGTGTTAGACTTTGCATGCACACATCAAATCGTCTTGTTCGCGAGAATGGTCAATTAGGTGTTGTTGCAGCATGTGCAGCAGGAGGTCAAGGTGTTGCTATGTTAATCGAAAGACATCCTGATGCTAATCCAAATTAAGTTTCTTTAGTATTTTTTAATTTTGTCATCACAATCCATGTCTCTTTCCCACGAAATCAAAATTTTTTATAATCGAAAGAGTTTTTAATTATGTATATAAGCATTTAATAAAACTTGGCTAATTTTCCTAACATTTTAAATATTTGTGGACGTACTTAGAATTTTTAAATATATATATTTCAGTTCAACTATTCAATTAGTCAATTAATTATGTGTTTTTTGGCGTTGAATGCGATGAAGGATTGAAGAATTTGAGGCTTGAATTCCTAATTGCTAAATTAAATGGATATGGAATTTGTTTAGATAATTGCTGCTCACAATTTTGTGGGTGAAGTATTGACGAGGTCTGATATAAAGGTTTAAGGCCTGGATTTTGAACAGGGACTAGATTGGAAGCTTGATGACAACTAATGATGTGCTTTTTCGGTGGAATAAAGTCAGCTTCACTCTCAGCATGTCGCTTTTTATTGACTGGGTTGCCTTCTATGATAAAGATATGAACAGATAATGAATAATGATGATAAATTATAGAATAAAGTTAAAAGTATAACCAGACTGAATTTCGACGAGTAATCCATTCAAGTCGCGATGCAATTTCCACACTCTTATTTTTTGATCTTCCGTACAAGTTTCATCATTCATCACGCTCTTGTAAACTATTTTTATGGCTGTTTTATGCTCAACTGTTTTTAATTGACGATAATAAAATGGATATCCTTTATTTGATCCCAGATATGACTCTGCTGATTCAACATCCTTTAAGAACAGAAAGAACTGATTTTCGTGCTTCATTTTTGTAGTTTAAACTTTATTGAATTAAAAAATCACGTCTGATAGAGTTCACTTCACTTTTACAACTGAAATTTCCGTTGAAACATTTTACAATGCAAACGTGATCAAAATTAAATTCAAAACCCTACAAATTACAATTAACATTTGTAAGGTTCTGTAACATTATAAACAAAATTTGTAAGGTTCTATAACATTATAAACAAAAGTTTTACCAAATAACATTTTACTATTTTCATCAAAATCAAAGATTAACTAAGTTAAGAATGCAAATCATAAAGTTTCATGTACAATAAGCAAGTATGATATTCAAGAAATACTGAATGAGTGATATTCCCTTCGATATTTTGCAAAAACAGCTGATTAAAAAAGGTAAACAAACTTTAAATTTGATCGCAGAAAAATTTGAGAAAATTTTAAATTAAGGCATAAAATCAGCAAAAGAAATGCTGAAAATAGCTTCACGATATGGATTGAATCATAATTATCAAAGAAGCACTGGATCTATAGTGCGATTTTTCCGGAATGGCGCTAACGAGCAAGAAGAAACTGAATTGCCAAAAAATGCACGAATTGTCATTTGTGGAAGCGGATTAGCAGGAAGCAGGTATTATTGATTATAATTAAAAGTTGTTTACTATTTCTTAAAAACTCTTTAACATTACAGTTTGGCATATCATTTAAGTCTTGCGGATCTTGGACATCACGTAGTCATGCTCGGTAATATTTGGGTCAATATAAAGTCATAATGATCATTCAGTAAACAAGTGTATATCTTTTTATTTATAGAACGAGGTACAATTGATATGAAAAATATTGACGAGAAGAATTTCTCTACAAGTAGTGGATTAGTGGGAAGCTTTAAGAATTCAGCTCCACAAATCAAACTTGGACAGTATTCCGTAAAGTTATTAAATCAATTAACCAGAGAAGGTTTTGATATAGGATGGGAACAGCGTGGGTCTTTGCATTTAGCAAGACACCATGACCGGATGTTACAGTTCCGAAAAATGAAAACTCAGAGCGAAGTTTTTATGATTAAAAGTGAATTACTGTCACCTGATGAGTGCAAGCAAAAATGCAGTATAATTAATGATAAAGATTTAATCGGTGGGTTATTTGTAAAAGATGATGGCATTGTTGATAAGGAAAAATTGAGAAAAACGCTCCTGAGTGAATCCATAAAAAGAGGAGTAACACTCGTCGAAAACTGTGGCGTCACTAAAGTGCTAAATTCAAATCGCATGGTTGAAGCTGTAGAAACTACTCATGGAACTATCGAATGTATTTATTTCGTCAATGCAGCAGGATTTTGGAGTCGAGCAATCGGTCAATTAAGTGAGCCTCATGTTAAAGTTCCACTGCATCCCATCAGTCATCAATTTGTTATTGCTCAAACAAATCCAGAAATCATTGATAAATTGAATTGTGTCCTTTACGATTTGGATGGACGAATTTACATGAGAGAGTTTAGAGGAAAGTTATTAGGTGGAGGATTTGAACAGAACGCCAAACCAGCATTTCAAGACGGTGTTCTTCCTGATTCACCAAAAAAGAGATTTTTGATCAAACCCGATTATGATCAATTTTCTGAATTATTAGAAGAAATTCTACATCGTGTTCCTTCATTTAAGGATGCTGAATTAATCAAACTTGCCAATATCCCTGAAATATTCTCGCCAGATGCTCGTTGGATTTTAGGTGAAAGTCCTGAAATACGTAATTATTATGTTGCAGCTGGAATGATGATAGATGATGTTGGTGGAGGGATTGGTAAAGCTCTGGCTGATATTCTAATGTATGGATATGCTCATATTGATCATGAAGTTGAGGTCAATAGATTTTTAGGCTTACACAATAATCGAAAATATTTAAAAGATCGAGTCAAGGAAATTCATTCAACTCATTATGGAATTCAATATCCAAATTTCGAATATGAAATGGGACGTAAACTTCGAATGTCACCAATTTTTCCAGCCCTTCAAGAAAATGGTGCAGTTTTTGGTCAAATCATGGGATATGAAAGACCATGCTATTATGATTTAAATGGCAAACAAGTTGATTCTCAAGGAAATACAATCTTTAGAATTGCTCATACAAATACATTTGGAAAACCTCAATGGTTTGACCTTGTTGAAAGCGAATATCGAGCATGCCGTGAAAGAGTTGGACTAGCTGATTATAGTTCATTCACAAAAATCGATTTGTGGTCAAAAGGAACGGAAATTGTCGACTTTTTACAGTATTTGTGTTCTAATGACGTTGATATACCGATTGGTAATGTCTGTCATACAGGAATGCATAACGAACACTGTGGTGGATATGAAAACGATTGTAGTCTTGCAAGATTATCAGAAAATCATTACATGATGATAGCACCAACAATACAACAGACTCGTTGCAAAGCATGGATCCGAAAAAATTTACCACCTCCTGGAAAGCATTCAATCCACATTAACGATGTAACTTCTGCCTATACAGCAATTTGCATTTTGGGTCCGTTCGCTAGAAAACTACTTTCAGAATTAACAGATACAGATCTTTCACCGAAGAATTTCCCATTCTTTACATACAAAGAATTGGACGTGGGTCTCGCAAATGGAATAAGAACATTTAATGTTACTCATACAGGAGAATTGGGTAATTTTTTTATCTTTTTTTTTTAATTACAGCAATAAATCTTCTTTTCAATAGGCTATGTGATGTATATACCCAATGAGTTTGCACTTCATGTATATACACAGCTCTGGGAGAAAGGTCAAAAATATCAAATTAAACATGCTGGATATTATGCAACTAAGGCACTTCGTGTTGAGAAATTTTATGCAATGTGGGGACAAGATCTTGATACTTTTACAACGCCATTAGAATGCGGTCGAACTTGGAGAGTTAAGTTTGAAAAGAATTTCATCGGACGTGATGCATTGTTAAAACAGAAGGAGGAAGGAGTTAAGAGACTTTACGTTCAATTATTATTGGATGATCACGATCCAGATTTAGATATTTGGTGAGTTAAATCATATTTTAAAATTTTAAAAAAATAACGCTTCTTTAAAACCATACAATTCCATTATAAAGGAATTGTGTGGTTTTGAAAATTAAAACTTTATCAAAATTAAAAAGCTTGTATCCAGTCATGTAATAAATTATCAAAATTTCTTTCTCTTCATTCATTCATATACATCTGTGCAAATTCAGGCCGACTGGAAACGAGCCAATTTATCGAAACGGTGAACTTTGTGGACGAACATCGACAACAAGTTTTGGATATACTTTAAAGAAACAAGTTTGTTTAGGATATGTACGCAACATTGATTGTTCCGGAAATCTTGAGAATGTTACCAACGAATATGTTATAAATGGTGAATTTGAGGTCGAAATTTGTGGAATTCGATACCCTGCCAAAGTTAATTTACATTCACCTAATTTACCGTCCATGATTGCTGATCGCGAGATTGATGAAAAAGACCGTTATCAAGCAACTAGACATAGATATTAATTGATGTTACCAATCCCATCTTTTAAGTATTTTTACCAAGCAAAATATTCATATTGCAATCATAATGATCTAATCGCATTTTTAAATGAATCAGTTGTTTAAACTGAATAGATAATTATTTACAACGTTTATTTTGTCACATTTTTTAAGTTTATTTTATAGTTCGAATGCTATTGATGTTATTATTTTATAAATAATGTGAAAAAAATATTTTAACTAAAGTTATTTATCTCTGCAAATTCAACACAAAGCCAAACTGTGTTTTATTCTGGGAATTTCTCAAGCTAGTCATCAAAAAGTAATAATCATTGTGTAAGTTTCAACTTTGTGTCGATTCTGTTTAAGATTACGTCAGAAACTTTTTTGCTTGCCATCAGAAATCTTTTGAAGTTCATTTAAGTTTTATTAAAGGTAATTAACATTTAGTCCAAGAAATGTGTGAATATTCGTTGAGCTATGCCAATAAAATGTGTTAATTGTTTTGTTTCTGCGAGCACATTTGATTTTACATTTTCAGCTAGGGGCTGTTCACTTATTACGTTCGCATTTTAGGGGGGAGGGGAGGTCTTAAAAATTGTAACATAGGGGGGGGGGGGGGGGGGGGGGTGTCAAGAAGAATGTAACGTTCTAACTGTCGTTTGTTTACAAATTCACACCAAAAACATTTTTTTAAATTTTCCACCTTTTTAATGATAAAATAAATTATTTACGTTCGGGGAGGGGGGGTTGTGAGTTGTATTGTAACAAGGGGGGGGGGAGAAGGGTGAAAAAATTCGTTTTTTTGCGTAACGTAATAAGTGAACAGGCACCTATCAAATGACGGATTCCAAGTAATCTGAGCGACGATATTTACTCATTTTATAAATTCTTGATAAAGTTTTACTTTCTTTAATCCTATCTTATCACATTATTCAGTCGTATGATATTTTAAAGTCAACAAATGATAAAAGATAACGACTGATGATTAAATTAAGTACGGAAACTTATATGTTTGAGAAGTAACGCTTTTAAAAGTATTGAAAATTCTACAAAAAAATTATTTGTTTTCTGATTTTTAACGGTTTTCTGAACTTCTTGAAAACTGTCTTTATTTTTGAGCTTTAACTTTTTTGAAGCGAATTCAAGATTTTGAATTTTAACGGATTTTTCAAATATTAGCACGTGTTTGAAAAATTAAATTTTAACGGTTTTTGAATTTGATGTTTGCATGCTTACAGAATTTTTGAAAATTAATATATATATTTCCAAATGTATTGTAGAATGTTGAAAAGAGATTAAGTCAGTCAAAATGACAGTAACAATCCTATTGCAATGAAAAATTACTCTAAAATATTTTTGAGTCATAAAAGGCCAATATTGGATTTTTATGAACGACTTTCAATTATTATATCACCTTATTCTTATCTTTACTGCAATTAATTAGTAAATTAATGACACAATTGAGTTTTTTGTTTATTTTCTTTGCGCCTTTTTATTATTTTCGCTATTTTGTCTTCAATTATTTACAAATAATGCTTGTTCTTTAAATTTAAATTTTTTGTAACTTTTTACTTTCATTGTAAGGTACATGAATATTATTGAAGTCTGGATAGGCGAATGTATATCCAATTTTGCTAATTTTCTGCTTATAAAAAGGTTTCGCATAATATTTTTTTTTCTAAAGATGCTCAAAATATCAATTTATATAATAATAATGATAAGAGGTTTTTATATCTAATGAATCATTTCAATCATAATAAAGGTGGATATAAAAAATTTATGGACATTCTTTGATTTAACTTGACAAGAAGGAATTTCATTAATTTTTTTTTTGAACTTTAAAATGTTAAAATTTTGGTTTTCCTTTTTTCAATTCATAAACGAACACATGTAAATTATCAAAACATGAACTAATCAAGCATAAAATAGAATTCAATCTATTCAGTTAGAGCACATTCGAAAATATGATTAACATAAATTAAGCACTTTTTCAACAATAACTGATGCGATGCTGAATAAATAAAGTATATGAATATGTCACATATTTATCTGTTGACTATAAATGTTTTCTCTTCAGCCTACAATTCTCTCGACCAACGGTGTAAAGTAATGTTTTGCTTAAAAAGTAATACTCCGTGTCATTGTTTCTTTATGTTTATGACACATTATTGCGATGTAACAAATCAAAATAAAATATTGCAACAAAATAATCTACAAATTGTACGTGTACATGTGAAAACTAATGAAGGACGAAAGAGTTCACATCAGGAGGGGACTCAATCAATCATCAATTTTGCTATTTTCTGGCCCTCAAAGTCACCCTCCTGTTTCACATTAATATGTTATTTTATTATTGTTACTTTATTTAATAGGAGCGAATAGCTGGAGGTACTGTATTGCATTCACCATCAAGTGTTTTGTCAATGACGGGTCTATAATCAATAGAAACATCGCCAGTATCTTTGTTAATCCATGCTAATGTGTGCTTTCTCCAATGTTCTTCAATTGGCTTCTTTTGTTGCCCTTCGATTGGCTTACTGTAATCATATTCATCGCTACGATTTTTGTAATCTTCACGAGCATGTGCTCCACGTGATTCTTTACGATTTTCAGCTCCAACGATCGTCATATTTGCATTCAATAACAAGTTTTGTAATTCCAAAGTCTCAACTAAATCAGAGTTCCAAATTAATGAACGATCTGATACTTTAACATCCTTAATTGTCTTATAAATACCAGACATTTTCTTAACACCTTCTTGGAGTGTCTTTTCTTCACGGAAAACGGCAGCATGATTTTGCATAGTTTTTTGCATCTTTAATCTCAAATCGGCAGTTGGAACTGATCCATTAGCATTACGTACCCAATCTAAATTAGCAACAGACTCTTCACCAGCGGAATCTGGAAGTGATGGAATCTTTTCACCAGGTTTATTTTCTTCAGCAATTGTTTGAGCACAAGCACGTCCAAAAACAACCAAATCGAGAAGAGAATTAGCTCCTAAACGATTTGCACCATGAACTGATGAGCATGCAGCCTCTCCACAAGCATAAAGTCCATTAACAATAACATCCTGTCCATTCTTATCAGTTGTAAGAACTTGACCACGATAATTTGTTGGAACTCCACCCATATTATAATGAACAGTTGGCAAGACGGGAATTGGTTCACGAGTGACATCAACTCCAGCGAAAATCATAGCCGTTTCTGAGATACCTGGCAAGCGTTGAGCCAATTGCTCTGGTGGCAAATGATGTAATTGTAAGAAGACATGGTCTTTTTCAGGTCCACATCCTCTACCTTCACGAATTTCAATAGTCATTGAACGTGAAACGACGTCACGTGAAGCAAGATCTTTAGCGACTGGAGCATATCTTTCCATAAAACGTTCACCCTGAGAATTGATTAAATAACCACCTTCCCCGCGACATCCTTCAGTAATCAAACATCCAGCACCATAAATTCCAGTTGGATGGAACTGTACAAACTCTAAATCTTCACATGGAAGTCCAGCACGAGCCACCATTGCTGTTCCATCACCAGTACATGTATGTGCTGATGTGCAACTGAAAAATGCTCGTCCATATCCTCCCGTTGCCAGAACTGTATTCTTTGCTCGGAAACTATAAATAGATTTATTTTGATTTAGTTTATATTTATTTCATTGAGGCACAGACAAAAAGAAGCAAAAATAAACGCAACTTGTGTCAAAATAAAAACTTTCCGAAAATCATACATTCTCAGTCATTAATTTTTTTGTCAACATGATATTATACACAATGTAATTAGGTATACATGCTATATAATGAAATAATACATTAGTGTGCATCTAGTGAAATAAAATAGTAATGTTGTGAAATTATGGAAAAATTTAAAAAAACCAAAAAAAGGAAACCCTAGTTGTACATTGTCTATAACGCATTTATCATATTTAAATGCAATATATAATTACTTTGTGGATAAAACATTAAGGAAGCCTTCAATAAAATTAATATTTGGCCGAAAGACAATGTGCAGGCATCAGAAACAACTTTTCTCTTTGGGAAATTACACTAGAAATTTTACGTCACTATCAAAAAATCTTTTTTCTTTTCATTCACATGCTCTTTTTTTTCATCACACACGCACGGTTAAAAGCAATAAAAGTACCATCTTCTTTCATTTATTATTGTTATACACAAGCAAGCTTCATCCAATTACTGACTATCATATATTCAATTAACGAGAGAAAAAAACAGCTATCGACCACACTTACCGATGAATTGTTCCATCTTCTAAATTCAAGGCAACAACGCCACGGCATTCGCCGTTTTCCATGAGTAAATCCATAGCAAAATACTCGATAAAGTAATTGCAGTTGTAACTGAGAGATTGCCCATAAAGTGTGTGTAATAACGAATGTCCAGTTCTGTTGAGGAAATGAATAAAATTATGAGAATGTACACACGTGATAAGAATATTTAAAGTAAGTATGTCTCTTGATAAGACAATTTGCTTCTTCTTCTTCTTACCTGTCAGCGACGCAACAACAACGATGAGCCTGTCCTCCTTTACCAAAATTATAACTCTGTCCACCAAAAGCTCTTTGGTAAATTTTGCCGTCTGGCGTTCGTGAAAAAGGCATTCCATAATTTTCCAATTCAATTACAGCTTTTGGTGCTTCTCGTGTCATGTAATGTATAGCATCTTGATCTCCCAACCAATCACTTCCCTTAACTGTATCATACATATGCCACTTCCAGTCATCATTCTCCATATTTCCAAGTGCTGCATTGATGCCACCTTGAGCAGCGACTGTATGTGAACGAGTTGGAAAGAGTTTTGTGACTACAGCTGTTTTAAAGCCCTCAGCAACTAATCCAAATGCAGCTCTTAATCCAGCACCACCTAAATTGCGTATTTAAAATTATTTTTGGAGAAAGGAAAAAAATAAAGGAGAAATGTGTAAGGAAGAAGAAAATCAAGTACATGCGTGATTGAAGCAAGTGAAAAAAAAAACATAAATATTTTTGTGCGTAGTTAATTTAATTTTTATAAATTAAACTTACCGGCACCAACAACGACTGCATCATATTCATGATCGATTACTTGATAGGAATTAGATATAGCATTTGGGTTGGCCTTTGCGTTATTATTTCCGACTGTATAATGAAGAGATCTCGCCGACAATGTTTTTAACTTTAAGAAAAATAATAATAGATTCTGTTAAAACATCCCTTATCACATCCAGTACCCAAATATATATTTATCAAGATTCCCAAAAATCCACAAACATGATAAAAGTAAAAATTTATCATATTTTATTGAGAAAAACAATATAAAATTATGTAACGTGAATCCATCGTCTAATTAAAATATTTTTTTCACGAGAAGTTCATGTCATTATATCCACTAAATGAAACATAATGCACGTAATTTTGACTTACAAGATTTTGTGTATTTCTGGCGACTATCGTAGAGCACTTTAGCAGGCCAGTCATTTTCATAGACCCAATATATTTAATTTTTTTCCTGCGACGAAAAAATGACTCGAGGCAAAGCAGAAAATAGACTGAAAACAAAGCGTCTGAAAATTTGAGTTGGAACTGCCACAATCTAGGCGTCTAGAAAGTTTCAAAAATATTTCAACAGTTAAACTTAACTTTTTTGTCATGAAATAGGTATTCTCAATATATTCTTTATTTTTGTATCTCTTTCGTGAAGGTAAACTTAATTTTATTTTAATGAAGTTTATAAATTATTAGATGCAAAAAACACTGACTTAATGTTTTCTCATAAATATTGGATCATTTCAATAGATTTTTTTTATGTATTATCGTTATTAATAATATTGTTTATCACTTTATCAGCTTTACTTTTCTGATTAAAATCAACATTATGTGTATGCTTCTTTCTCTGATTCATCATGTGATCAAATTATTATTTTTTTGTTATCTATCACATTTGATTTCTCATGCACATTTTCGCCTGACTTTCGAATGCTGTACTTTTAACATAAAATCGTTGAATATTTAAATTTCAAAAATCATAAAATTTGAATCTTTAAACACCGTTAAATTTTGAATTATCAAAAACTGTTATAAGTTCTAGTTAAAAATTTTAATGTTCAAATTATAGTATTATAACTGGCTGGGCGAAAATGTGTCCACGAATGCTTTCATTCTTGCATTCTGAGATTCTATTCTTTCTCCGTTTTAATATTTTCATTTAAATTCATAAAATTTCCTAAAAATAGTTTTTCACGTGACACATTCATTTTTTCCTCTTAAAAATAGTATTTTTGTCAACTATAATTATAGCTTATAGAAAAGAAGAAGATTGAAATATAGTTAACGTGTATAATAAGAATATTTCTCACATAAAATGAACGCTTTTTAATTCGTTTTCAAAAAGGAACTAACTATACATCTACGTGGAAGTAAAAATGAAACGTTTTTCTTAAAAACCATCAAAAACATGCTAATCACATTTAAATTAAAGTACGTTGATATTGCAACTCGTTCTGTATCATAAATATTACTATAATTCATTCATTTTTTATTATAATATTTAATCATCTAATTTTGGAAAAATAGTTTTTTGCATTTTCTTGCATTCTTGATCCATTTCAAAAAGGGAAGGGAGATTCATGATATTTCATGGAACTAACATTAAGAGATAGAGAGCATATCTGCTACTATATGTTTTATAAAAAAAAAAAAATAACTTACAACGAAAAATACTTTAAAAATTGATGTGGAGGAACTAATTGTGTTTTCTCAATTGATTCAAAGGATAATCCAGCCTTTTCTAGTTTCTCTTTAAATTCCGGAGATTCTGAGATGCATGGGTGACCAGTCATTGGCCAAAACAGACAGCGACAAAAACGGCATAACGCCAACACTTCCGTGTATTGAAAATCATCACGAAGTCCATATTTCCTAATCACAATAAAGAGATATTCACAATCAATTAATTATCACAATTTACGTCTAGTCAGCAAATACTTACTTTCGTAGAGTATGATAAATAGTCTGCCAATTACGATGACGATCAAGCGTGTCAAGTAAGCTCATCTTTTCTAAAATGGAATCAATTTGTTGTTGATTAAAATGGAAATTACTCAATTCACGCCAAATGCGCTGTTCTTGAATAATATAAGCCATCAAGCTCCAAGCACTTGCAGCCGATTCTAAATCTTTGTGATCACTCATTTGCAAAATAATTTTTCTTATACATTCTTCAGGCAATTCCGTCAATTGTGGATTAATAGCTGCGTTTGGTTCAATTTCAATTTGACTTGCAATATTTTGGATACGCTCAATAGTTTCTAAATGACCAAACCATAAGTTTTGAGATCCAAGGGGTTTTCCCCAACATTTTTGATTCTCTTGCTCAACAAGATGTCTTAATTGACCAACTAGATCTCGAAGTGTGTTAATGTGTTGCTTACTATTATTAACATGCAATGCGACTTCTTCAATCATCTGCAATAAAATCCTCTGAGCACCTCCACTTAATGATGTCAGTATGACCTCGCCAGACACGAGCAATTTCAAAAGTGCACAAATGTATTGAAAACGACGTTGATTTTTCACAGATGATTTAAAATCAAGTCGTTTCACAGCAACATCTAAGCCATTAAAGCCTGCAATTTCTCTTGTTGATCGCAATATTATTTGACAATGTGGTGGTGGACTAGATGATGATGATTCATCATTGGACGAATTATGACTGAAAGAGATTCAGGAAGAAGAGCAAAAAAATTATTGATTGAATCTATGCCTTATATGCATGCTGTACGAATATAGTTCATGGACAGAAAATCAGCTGTATGTACACAATCGATTGTGTAATGTAACACATAATGAACGTATAGCGTAATGCATACAATTTAGTAGTTTCTTTTATTAGCACATTTAACGAAATAAATTCAATTAAGGAAGTAAGTTATTTTAACTCACTTTTTTGATTCACATTCTATGACTTTCATACGTTCCCAGTTTCCGTCGTCAGTTTTGATCCATTGATCTCCTTCAGCACGCCAGTCTTTAGATATAAATGGCATTTCTTCTAAAACAGCAAAAATAACGTTACTTCCAACACTTTACTGAAGAAAAAGTACCACGGAAAATAACTTCGCGCAGTTCACTCGACGGTGCTCAAATTGCGTCTAAAATTGTATTAATATTTTTTTCATTCACTCGAATATTCCTTATTCCACAATGTCTGGCAATAAAAGTCTTCTCAAGCGATAGAATTAGAGCTATTTTTAACTATGATTTTTCAATAAAGACTTTCACAATTTTCCTTATTGTTGTTGTTATTTTTTTTTCTGATGTTTATTACGCAAAATGTATGTTTTCACGTTATTTACTACCTTACTCGATGATTTTTCACTTAATTTTATTACAAACCAACTCACTATCGCCTTAAATTAATGGAACACAAGAGATTTAATGGATTAATTCAACTTTTCTATTAAAATATCCACGAAAACATGAAAAATTTTCTTCACTTCTGATTTTTTTTTCTTTCTTTGTTTTTATTGTTTTACGATTTTTTCCTCTCTTCGTGAACATTTGTTTTTAACATGTTTTTCTAGCTCGATTGCGTTGCTATGTTCACTTTGTTTTAAAACTGCTTTAATTAAGTTTACAGAGTTTTGCACGTTTTTTAACGATTATCGAAAATTTAAATTCAAATTTAAGCGAATTCATGATTTCTGAATTAAGCAAATTCGAACAAGTATTTTTAAAATGATAAAATCCGTTTAAAATTTAAAGTTTTAAAAAATGCAACTTTCGTCGACAATCATCATCACAAAAACATTATAACAGAAAGCGTCAAAGTTATTGCACTCACAGCTGATTTATCAATATTGTTTTATAAACATTGTGGTGAAATGGTGAACATGCTTTCAATATTACAAGAACCGTTATGATAATTTTTAAAATCAATGCAATAAATCAATTAATATTCAAATTTTTCACGACCGTTACGTTTTTAAAATTAATTTAATTTATTTGAAGAACAATTGACACTGATTTTTGAATTCGTGACCACTTCAAGAACTTTTATTGACACTAGTAATTTCTTTTGCACGTCTGTTGAGAAAACAAATTTGCAGGCCTTGACATACTGTCAATGACACATTATCATATTGTTACGAGTGAAAGTTAATTTCATTAAATATTTGCCAAAAAGCACAGAATCGATATCTATATGCAAAAACGAATTAAAAGAAAATAGGACAAAACAGAAGAGTAAAAAAAAACAACGTGTATTTGGCTTTTGTGGAAAGAAAGGAGATAAAAAGAACGCAACATGTTACGAGTAAATTGAGAATAATGAAAATGAAAGAAAGAGATTCATTAGTTAGTCTTTGGCATTCATCGAATGTGCATTAAGAGAACCAAATTTATTTAAAAACTCTTTTCTGCTAGACAAGTGTGAATGCACACAAGATTTTAATTTTAAGTTATTAATTAAAGCGTTTAAGTGGAGAAAAACTTTTTATTTGTTTTATCACATTAAACTCATTTACATTCTGCTTCCGAGCCAATTTTCATTAATAAGAATCAGCAAAGACGTAAAAGAAACAAAAATAAATTAACTGTTATTTGACTTCATTCGAACAAGCACATTTCTCGTTATATGACAGCATAACATTCGTTTGAAAACTAAAGAACTAGCTACATACCGTCATAATTATTTGATTTTTATTAAAAGCATGGAAAAAGTTGTGATTTTCGCATTTGTGGTGACAAAATTATTATGTCTCATAAGTGCTCAAGAATGTGAGTTGTAAAAGTTTCGTAGACAGAAAGTTTAAAAAAAACTGAAAATTTCTCTCATTAACAGTGTATTTCGTGGAGAAATGTTATCGTGATGACCCTGAAATTGATGAGTGTTTGAGGTATTCCGGCAATAAATTGGCCTCATATCTTCATGAAGGAATTCCAGAACTAGAACTTGTAGATGTTGAGCCAGTTATAATAGATGGTAAGCAGGTGATTAAATGGGTTATTCACTTAGGGGTCATGCATTAATAACATCAATTCAAAGTTGAGATTTTTAAACCACCCAAAATATTATTTTTTTCTTTAAAAAATCCCAAATCACTTTTAAATGATTGACGTCATAAGTAAATGACCCTTAATGACGTCCGAAAATAATTGGAGAATAATGACTGGGTTTTATAAATGCAATTTGAAGCTCCTATGAGAAAACACTTGATAATTCAAGGGACGAAGCACCAGTTATTGTCAACCTAATATGTGATATTTGACGTCCTGTCAGTTTAAAATCTAGGTTGTAAATTTATACATGCTTCAATTGCATACGTCAAAGTGTAGCCCGAGAAAAAATAATCTTGCAATTGCATCCAGATTTCCCTAAAGCACTTTTTTAATAACATGCAAAATCATCTATATAAACAATTCCAGAAATATCAATTTCACTTGGAGATCCGGAAGATGAAGATGCATATAGAGCAACATTTAGGAACATTGAAGCATACGGTGTTAGTAATATTACGTTAGCAAGAGTACGGTCGGACATTGACACATACCAGTTTCAACTTACTTACGAAATTCCAAGAATCAGAGTTCGATCCAACTTTGAGTCGTCTGGTGTTCTGTAAGTCGTTGTTTTCTCTCTTTTCACTCTTTTTCTTTTAAAAACATGTCCATCAATCATCTTCTCCTCGTTTTATTTCTCACACATAATAATTCAACATATAGGCTATTAATAAAAGCAAGTGGGAACGGAGATTATTGGGGCGATTATGAGAATGTTAAATGTAAAGTTTACTTTAAAGGCTTACCCTATCAGAAAGTCAATGATGATCGAACATATTTGAGCGTTGAAACCGTTAAAATGGATTTTAGTGTGAGAGACATTACAATGGGTGTCGAGAACGATGGTAACAATAAAGTCATTCGTAAGTATTTCAGTATTGCAATTTTAAAATATAAATTGAAATTTTCTTTTCTTCTTTCTCCACTCTTTTTGCTCACTCCTCGGTACGACTACAACGTACTTTATTGCCATTATAGAAGCAGCAATGAATCTTTTCATAAATTCAAATGCACAGGAATTGTTAAAGGAAATGAAGCCAGCGCTAAAGGAAAAACTAACCATACTTCTTCATAACTTTATGGAGAATCTCTTTTCGAAAATTCCATTTGATGAATGGATAGAATAAATTTTCATGTATGATAGTATGTCGCATATGTAAATTTATTTCTGTTTATTTAATACTACTTTTTTTATTATTTATCATTACATACACAAGAATAAAATAGTAAATAAATTGTCATGTGCTCCTCATGCATTTCATATCACTAGCTACAGTAGTTTTAATATCTATATTGTTTTTTTAATGAATATAACGTATTATTATTAATCGATAATAATTGATCATAAATTCTGCACTTCACCACGTGTGCAATATTTATTCGTTTTGAGTTTTGTATTTTATAGACACATGGATGAACTTTATACCTTTTTAATAAGCACAAGTTAGAGAAAATAATTCTCAATAAATTACAAGAGCATAGTCATTGCAACCTTTAAACACGACGAAGATTATAATTATCTGTTAAACGCTTTTGCATATTTATCATAATAATGAATGATTTACTGAATGTGCTTAACATTGTTAAAGTCACTAACTCTGTTTTAATTTAACTTTAATCTGCTTTAATCAAATAATTGATTATTATTTTGAAATTTATAAAGTTCTGAAGTTTAAGGTATAAACAATATACAATGTTCAGCTTTTATGGAAGGATGGTGTTCTGTCGCTGAGTGATACTAAGCAGAAAGACAATATTCATGAACCGACTTGGACCTAGTCAGGATGCATTAATTCATCCTTTGACATTAATTGAATCAATCAGCTTGAAAACGAATAGATTTTCAGAATTTAACTTAACCAGATTACAGATTTTTTAAAGTCACATAAATTTTAAATTTAAGAATTAAAGTAATAAAAACAAATATTTTTGAGTAAGTAAGTCAAACAGATGATCTACATATTGTTTTTCAAAAATGTTTTAATGAAATTGATCGATTTTTAAAGATCAAAGAGTTTGCACGTGAAAAGTACTTCCTTTATACTACTCAATATTTTTTATTACAAAGCTGTTGAAAACTGCCATCTGGCTCGAAAGCTTTCATAGCTGTGTGTGAAGAAAAGTTTATAGTATTTTCTACAAAAAGCACTGCAGCACCTTCAATGACATTGAACTTGAATATTATGAGATAATGTATTAAAGCTAAAAAGTAGAAAGAATGACTTTAAGCAAATCAACTGCATGTTCTCTGATAATAGACATATAAATTTAAATAAAATTGATTTTAATCAAGTCTAGGTAAATTAACAGAACTTTAAAGTTTTCCCAGAAAAAATACATTAAATAGAACAAGTCGGTTAATCGAATAAAAATCTGACTCCAAGCCAGCATGACTCTGGCTTCGTTTTAAATCCAGCACCATGCCAGAGTCACACCAACTCGGTGTTGGGTTTCTGATCGATAAACCGACTTGTGCCATTCGGGATTTTACATTAAGGATAGAACTGATGTGATTTTGTCACAAACTTTCCCATTAACCTTAATTTCAGGCGAAACTATTATATTCTATTTGAATGACATACCTGATGAAAAGCATGTCGAATTAATGTCGAAAAAAAAGTCTATTCGGAGTCAAATTCTACATTTAATTCAGGACATTTACATTTTTTTCCCTCAATAGATTGTTCTTGGTAGCATTACAATTCTTTTTATGCATTGTCTGGTATAGAAGAATGGAATGTTTTGAATTGAGAGAAACAATAAAAGTTAAAGCCTGTATGCCAAACTGATTTTCTGAGAGTTGCACTCAAGATGGAATTTTTAACCGAGATTTTTTGGTCTTCATTTCTGATTCTCACCTGGATACAATAAAATAATGAGACCAACACTGAATTGTCATCTAATAATTTATTAATCAGTAAAGGTAAGCGAATTCATAAAATTTTCCACAATTTAAGATATTTCCAGCAATTAAATCGTTATGAAATCTTTATTTTCCCATATTGTGCTTAGAGTTGTTACTTAATATAGAATTAGAATCTCCCCATCAACAATGTCTCGAAAAAATACTAGTAAAAAAGTAATTTAATTTTAATGGGATTTCCTGTTAAATTAATAATATTCATTATTTAACATTTACAATCATGTCAGCCGGGTTAAGCATGTGAATGACTTTAGAATGTATTCCGTTTTCTCAAAGAAATTATGGCAAATAATTACAATTCATCATGATAAGACAGATAAATTAAAATTACAATTAACAATAGTAACAGTCAATCACTATGTAAAATTGGTTTTAAAGAACATTTCAAAATTTAAACTTTAATGGCAACTTCAGATGCATTTATGTCTAAATGTCATCTATAATATTACCTTGAATTAATTTATTTGATTTATTTCGTAATTCCTTTAATTAAAATATCGTATCTTTATTGAATTTGTCATTATCTCTGGATGATTTAATTCTCAAGCTTTAATAAGATGTAAATAAGGGCGTTGCTGCTGCTGTACTATTAAGAGAATACGTTTCATCAACATTTAACTAAAGAATTTTATGAAAAGCGTAATATAAATTGGAGAAAATTTATTTCAATTTTCTTCTCATAAGGATCACTGAACATACTGCTTATGCAGCATATTATTTTTTATGAATTTCATTATAAATGAGAAAATTATTTTTTTTTCTGCTGCATATTTGTGATGCTTTTGCACATTTATTGTGTTAAGTTTTATATTGAAAAATTGAATTGAGTAATAAATTAAAATATTTGGGTTAATTTAACCCTTATCTTGCTATTGATGATGTTTAACGACAATTTTGACAATAATTGGTGAGTAGTCACTCACTTATAACATCCATCAAAAATATTTGGACTCTAGACCCCCCCCCCCCCCCTCCAGAATGAGAAGATATGTAGGATTAAAATAAACATTTGATTTGGAATCCTTGGAATAGAATTCCAAATTAAAACCGGCTTCATATGTTTAATACAAAGAAAATGGTTAAAGTTATTCCGAACAGGTTTAACTTATTATGTTAATTTTTTAGAACATTAATTAACCATTTAATGAATATTGATTTTCGCTTATTTTTCACGAAATTTTGTCGACCTGTCGAGCTCAAGAGCATTCTTGGAATTATCCCATCTACAAAATTATTAAAACACGGCAAGGTTAATTTACCGGTAAAACTTAAGTTCACTCATAAGTAAATGACCCTAAGTAAATAGGTAGATTTATCAAAAATAATCGTGAAGAATTTTAATCAATGAATGCTGAATAATTTAAGATGTTTTATGAGAATTAGAACAAACCATATGTACGAATATAATTTAATATAGAATTTTATTTTTCAGATTCTTAAAGCAAGTAAGTACTAATAGATCTAAAGTCTAGAGATTAAGCATGTAAGTAAATAAGTAACACAATTCACGTGTGAGAAAAATCGATTCAAGAACCTTGCAATGCGTATATAACAGCTTAGATGAGATTGTAGCATTTTAAAAGCTCCGAGATTTGTTGCTACGTCTTTAGTTATAGTTGAACTGTTGAAAAGTGAAGTTTAAAAAAAATTTATAGATATAAAAAGTTTCCAAAGTAAGCAATAACTTCTCAATATGAGTAAACGTACAAAAGAATTGTGAAAAATTGTGAATTTGAAAGGATAAAGTTTCTCATTCGATGTTACTTGCACGATTGTAGCAAAAAAAAAATAAAAGTTGAACTATATGCTAAAGTCATTAGCACAGAATATATATTGTGAAAAAAAGAATGCAAGAGAATTTTCTCACTGTATGTAATTGTAACATAAAAACCTGAGGAATTGTAAAGTGCGAGAAACCACTTTTATGAACTTTTTTTTTTCTTGCAACTCACAGCTTACAAAGTGTGAAATAAGACGAGAACAAGAAGTGAGGAAAATATCTCCACTCACTCACTTTGGTGTTTTTTACCATCAGAGCCAAGTAAAATAATGACGAGATCAAGAAAATGCGATAGTAAAACTTTTCGGAACGGATATGAGGAACTTTTTTTTTCAATTCAGCTAAAAACTTTTTTTTAAGTGATAAATTGAAGCCTGAGTTAAAATTTATCGATAGTACGTATGTACGTATATGAAAATAGAAATTTAGGAGCATAAAAAAAAGAGAAAAGGTTATCGTGATATCATAAGCAAGCCAAACATAAAATGTTGCATATCATCGTATATGCTTTTAACTATTTGTACAAAAAAGCATTTTTTTCTGAAAAGAGAAGGAAATTTATGATATATGTATATGTACATAACATAGCATACTGGCAATAGCTGAAAATCGTGCAAAGGAGGAAAAAATAGCTAAAAGCGAAAAAAGTTTTTTTTTGTATATTTTTTTTGTTATAAGCTTTTAACGCTTTATAATGTCGCGCGTTAACAGCGGTGAGTCACATAGAGTGGGAGAGAGATAGACGAAAAAAATAATTTGCAGAAAATTGAAAATGCTTTCGCTTTATTTAATATAACCGAACATGTGCGGTGAAAACTTTTTTCCTCAACAAATATTTTAATCTCTTTTTCATTAAAAATTCATTAAAATAATTGTTTCATAATAGTTTATTATCATTTTTTATTTTCATTGAGCAACAACGAGCCTTAAAAATTTATTACGGTTAGAATAAAAATTTATTAAAGGCTAGCTTTTATTTTTTGAGGAACAATATGAAATTTGATTTGTTTTTACCACTTGAATATGTTGAGCATGAATTGCTTTAAAGTAGAATTGAATGCTTTTTTGTGAACTGTTGAAAATAAAACACAAATTATTTCCACTTAAAATTATAGTTTTATGTAGATAAAAACTATAACATAAAGGCATGTAAAAATGGGTGCTGTATATTTTGAACGATACTCCAAAGAGTTCTCGACATTTTTGAAATCAATTTAAATCTTATAAGGACTATTTCAATCGATAAATGCTTGTTATAACTTTATGTTTTATAGTTTGCAGAATATAGTTTTACTATTAGTAGAACAAGAGCAGGTTGTGGTGTGTAAAAATGGGACTTGCTAATTTTTTTAAAAAAAAAACCTAATAAATGGAAAAAATTATTCGTCAAGAAAAAAGAGCTAGCTTCAAAATCCATGTAAACGCCACGCTTTTGTGATAAAATCTGCTTTAAATAAATATATTTCTAGCTACTCTTAAACTTAAAAATAATGAAATTCGGCTTTACAAATTTTTATCAAATTTTATATTTGAACATATTAAGCTTAAATATACT